CGACTTTTGCCCGGTTCAAGCCACTGCGATTAAATTGGTTTCCATCAAAGTAATTTAGAAAAATTAAATCAACGGTCCCCAAATTTCTCGAAATGGCTCAGTCCCGGGCAGCGACGGGCGGTGTGTACAAAGGGCAGGGACGTAATCAACGCGAGCTGATGACTCGCACTTACTTGGAATTCCTCGTTCACGGAAAATAATTGCAATTTCCGATCCCAATCACGGCAAATTTTCAATGGTTTACCCGCCCCTTTCGGGGTAGGACAAGCACGTTGATTTTGCCAGTGTAGCGCGCGTGCAGCCCCGGACATCTAAGGGCATCACAGACCTGTTATTGCTCAATTTCTTTCGGCTGAACACCGCAAATCCCTCTAAGAAGCTGTATACACTAAGAGTATGTATCAGCTATTTAGTAGGTTAGAGTCTCGCTCGTTATCGGAATAAACCAGACAAATCACTCCACGAACTAAGAACGGCCATGCACCACCATCCACTGAATCATGAAAAAGCTACATTTTAATATCAATTTTTTCTCTTTCATCGAGATTCAACCGTTAAGAATTTTCCAGCTGGGAATTTTGTAAAATCCCATTCATGTTAATATATTACTGCCAAGCTGCCCCCAGGGCTACACCAAATCCGCGAAATTTGTGAAGAGGCTGTCAGCTTGTCCAATCATATCAGTTAAATCATCATCAGAACACTTTAAAACGATGACAAATCGATTTAAAAAGGTTGAAAATAGTAGCACATGTGAGTCTTCAGATTGTAGCATAAACGTGTTGATTGGACGATTAGAATTTACATCAAAAGGCACCAAGTAACCCGGAAGGACTTGAGATCTGCTAAGTCGAGAATTATTTATTTTCCTATGCATTCTTCTTTTCCATTTCCTCAGCAAACAACCACTTTATTTTACAATTCGCCAGCACACAGCCACTTTTACAATTGTACTCAACAAACAACCACTTTTCTTCATAATATGAGTCGAGGCGAAAAGAGAAATGGACCAAATGCAACCCTATTCTATGCGCCATCATGAGAAAAATAAATGGAAAGAGAATTAAGCAAGAAAGAAAGCAAAAAGTGGCCGTAGAATTAGTAAAAGTGGTTGTTTAAATAGTAAAAGTGGTTGCTTTAATAGTATTTAATAGTAGTAGTTAAAATCTGGGATGACTGCCTTTGCACAGGAGCTTTGACAGTAATATTAAAAACAACACTGAAGCAGAAGACTTGTTATTTACGGAGACAATTTTCACTACGCAATTTTGGTCTTTCTCAATGTACTTTCACATTACTTCCATTCGGAAGGGAATTAAATTAAAATTTAATTCCTCAATCGACAATGCCATTTCGGCTCGCCGAGCAGCATCTCTATAATGGATGATGCCCGGATTGCTCGCGGTTCCACTAAGATGCCCACTCCATATGCCCTCTCCGCGAGCATTCCGGGCATCACCCATTATAAAAATGTTCCAACACTATGGCTACTGAGTCATATTTGGCAATGATTATCCCGTGGCGGCCTGGGTAAGTTTATAACAAAAACGGCATTGTCTTGGAACACCTCTCTCAGCCCGAGTAACCACCTAGAGGAACAGTTGTTCGAAATTTATTCATTCCATGATGTTCAACCCAGGTCACAGCTCAACCCAAGTCATAAAGTCTCCCTAAAAAAGTAGAAATTTGTTCCAGCCCAAGTAAAGAAATAGTAAGTAAACCCCGATTCCCTTAACCACTAAAACCTATAAAATGTTTCCGGTAATGTTTCAGAAAATCAAATATTTACCCTAATTTATTCAAAGATTACAGCTCTGCTAATGTGGAACAGCCCGGGTAATTCCAGCTTTTTAAAACATTCTCCTAATTTGCCCTATGTTATTCTCTTATTTGCCCTATGTTTTTCTCTTATAATTATTCAATTTGTTCTCTTTTTAATAAATTTCAAATCATCCCCGCGAACAGCGAATTCCCGCTCGCTGTCACAAATTCCCCTAAATTTTCTTCCCTCTACTCTAGAAACCCACCCGCCCATTTTCTCTTTGTTTTTTGTGTCTGCTTTTTTTCTTTGCCTTTTTAAATTCTTCACACCTCGTACATTCCTTTCTCTCCACGGTAAGACAATATGAAGCAAGCAGAGAAGAAAAAAATAAATAGTGCATTTTTTCCTCTTCAGTATATTCAACACCCCCTAAAGACGCAAATTTTGACTGACTAACTCCACTTATTTGTTAAAGTAAAGTCATCTAATCGTGGATGCGCCCCAATTATCCGCCGATAAATAGACACATAATTTTTTGATTTTATTTAAAAGAAAATTTTGAAAAAAAATCAAAATGAAGTGGATCACACAGTCGGATTTTGATTGTACGCACTTCTAAACCCTTGGCTGTAAGAAGACCTTTTTGCATCCCCCCTTCGAAACAGAATTTTAAAAAGCAAACAGCGAAAGAAAAAAGGGAAAAAGCGTGAAAGGCGAAACTCGAAATTTCGCTTTTCGAGTTTCACATCCCTCTGGTGTACGCATAACCTAGATCCGACTGCCTTCAAAATTTCGAAAAAAAAATATTTTTCAAAATTTATTTTTCAAAATTTTTAGGTCCTTTTAGCTATTTTTGAATAAACACTTGTTCCTCCTCCACTAATTCTTCCTCCACTTTCTTCAGAAATTTTTCTTTTATAATTTTTATTTTTAACTTCTGTTTGTGTTGTAGACTCCTCAAAATTATTTAATTTAACATTTTTATTGCTGGTTTGTTGTTCTGTATAGTAGAGGTTGTATGCGAGAAAAGTACATTCATGGGCGATTATATGTTCCTAGAAAGTATTTAAAGGATGAATTTTTTGTGATTGGAAAAATTTTTGATGCCTAAATTAGGGACATTTGTCCGTTTTGAGGAATTTAACCGTTATGGACATTTTGAGAATTCTATCACTTTTGGACATTTCGAAAAAATTTAGCCTTTCTGGCCCTTTGAGAATTTTACCTATAATGGACTTTTGGGAAGATTTACCATTTCTGGGCGTTTTGAAAATTTAGTTAAATTGACATATTTAGTTATTGCGGACTTTTTGAGAATTTTATAGACATTGGGCGTTCCGAGCAATTTAACCCTTCTGGACGTTCTGAGCAATTCAACCATTTTGGCAAAACAACCCTGGACTCTCAAATGGACACCCTCCCCCCCCCCCCCCCCCCCCCCCCCCCCAAATTTTTTTACTACCTGATATTTTTTCTCCCCAAATATTTGTTGTCCACATTCACAGCACAGTCTACTCTTCATTTCAGAATCCCTCACTCTAACATTGTCATATCTTCTTTGGGCAGTTACAAATTTATTATTTCTGTTATTAAAAGCTTCTCTTTTTGTTGTTGGAGAATTATTAAATAATGTTGATTTTCTTTTTTCATTAGTAAAATCCATTTGGCGTTGCATTTTTTGATTAAAAAAATTTTTTTCTCTCTAAAAATTTTTTAAAATTGAGGTAGAATTATAAAAAAAAATTTTTGGCGTTTTAAGAAAAAAAATTTTTTTGCGCACACCTCCATAAATTTAAAAAGGACAGAAAATAATCATCCAGCATATAATGGAGGGTCTCGATATAACGACAACCCTCTTGGGACGAATGTGACTTAGGATCGAATGACAAATCAGGTCATTAATACATACCCCTTAAGACCTAATTAAGGTGACGTTGGAAGATGGACCTCTTTGGGCCAAAGTTTTTACTGACGTTAGGCCACTCTCCCCGGCCTCATTAAAGTAGGAAAGAAAGTGAAATGGACTAAAGTGTCGTTATATCGAGATTCTACTGTTAATAAATTAATAAAAAAATAAAAGAAAAAAAATAAATTTTTCGTTATTTAAGCAACGAATTTTTTTAAAAATAAAAAGAAAATTTAAATTAAAATTTTATTCAAAAAATTATTTATTTAGGCAAATAATCATTTCTAATAAGTTCCAAAGCTTTAGAAACTTGTCTCTCTGTTTCTGAATATTCCCATAAAGAACAAAAAACTATATTGCTTTGTGATATTCTTTCTGAATTTGATAATTGACTTGCCAATCTTTCCATTGCCTTTAAAAAAGAGAGAGATTATTTTTTATTTAAGAAGGATTATTTTTTAGTTAAACCCTATTAAGTCTCAATCACTCTCTCTCTATTACAACACCCTGGAGCTGAAATTTAATAACGTAAGAAAGGGAGGGTGGAGGGGAGGCTATTTTAAAGGGGCTACTAAAAAGGGCTACTAAAGGGGGTGGTTAGGAGGGGGCTATTTTTGTATTTTGTGGACATTTTGAGTTCTGGGCATCTTGGTTGTTGGACGTTTTAAATTAGAAGGGGGCGTCATTATGGGGAGTTCCACTATGTATTCATGTTGGTTAAGAACCTTAATGGAAGCTCTCTATACTGACATCTCTCACTCAGGCCGTTTGTTGACTTTAGAAAGTAACCAATGTATAACAGATAAATCGTCGTTATGTAGAGGTTTCCCCATTCAAAGCTGAATTTTGCGGATTGTCCGCAAATTTTTTGCGGATTGTCCGCAAATTTTTTGCGGACAAATAAAAATTTTTCGGAAGCGTCGCTATAGAGAGATTCCACACTATTCCTAAAAAAATTTTTTACATTTTCCTTCGTAACATTATCCCTCGCCACAATTCGTTCAATAGCTTCATTCTTAGGCACAAAAGTACACCAAACTTGATTTAAATATTTCCCCCATCCAGCCTCCAAAAGCAAAGCTGCATCAATTACAACAATTTCTCTCTCAGATTTTTTTATAATTTCTTTTACACGTTCAAAAGTTATTGGCCAAACAATGTTGTTTAAACGTTGTAATTTTTGCTTTAAAGAAGAAAATTTTTTTTGCGGACAAAAATTTTTTTGCGGATTGTCCGCAAATTTTTTTGCGGACAAAAAATTATTTTTGCGGATAAAAATTTTTTTGCGGACAAAACAATTTTAAAATCGGTTTGAAAAATTAAATTTTTTGAGACAGAATTTATAAAAAAATTTATCGATTAACCAAGTCTTAAAAAAACGAAATCCGAAAAGAAATCCGCAAATTTTGTTCGCAAAAAATATTAAAATTAAAACTTTTCGAAAAAAATTTCTAAACAAACCTTATCTTCAAAAACCAATTCTCCAAGCTTTTTTCTGTCAATATTTCCATTAACCAAAATATCAAGTCCAAATTCTTCTGCAAGTTTGTTTCGTAATTCCTCGCTTTCAGAATATATTTTATGAACTAATTGGTCACATTCAATTACCTAAAGAAACAAAAAAATTTTTTTCTTCAAGGCTAGTAAAGCTATGTATTTTCATGTTAGGTTTTAGCTTTGAAAAATTGAATTTTTAGAGGGAAATAATTTAAGGAAATTTTTTCACACATAAAAAATCAAAAAAAACAAAAAAATATATGAAAAATCAGAAAATCAGCAAATTTCGTCCACAACAAACTGTGAATAAAAACAAAAAATATTCTTTCATAAGTTCAATTTTTAGCCCACTAACAATAAATAGGCAAATTAATTAAAAAAAATTTTTCCCAAGAAAATCCGTAAATTATTTTGAGGACAGAGAATTTTAAAAACTATTCAAAAAAGATTTTTTACAAGGCAAAAATTTAAAAAAATTTTGCAAACATCGAAGCTCTCAAGAAAATGAAATGCGAAAAATCCGTAAAAGTTGTCCGCTAATATTTTGCGGACAAAAAAAATTTTTGCGGACAAAAAAATTTTTGCGGATAAAATATTTTGCGGACAAAAAATTAAAAAAAAACCTCGCATCCTTGAGAAGCCAAATATTTAGCAATGTGTGTTTTTCCCGAAGCTATACCTCCAGTCAATCCAATTAAATAGTGTTTATTTGAAATGATTTCGTCAGGAGAATTTTTAGGTTCCCTCAAAATACTTCCCAACATTTCTCTTCTTTTTGCGCTTGAACTTAATTTAATTTCATGTAAAATTTTGTCATTTAATTGTTCATTTCCGAGCAATTTAATTGGGTGAATTTTTAATGGACGCAAACCTTTCTCCTAAAAAATAGGGAAAATTAAAAATTTTTGTGGGGATCTAGTTTAGTATATGAGTCCCTCAAGTTGGAAATGAAATTTACTCTTTGGCTTTCAACCTTTGGAATTGGGTTCTAAATTGCTTTGAGGCAGAGATAGGACGGTTGGGATAAAAATATCGGGCCAGGTTTCGAGTCGAAAAAATCCAGGTATAGAGTAACCCGACCCACCCCAGGTTCGGGACATATAGTAGCTAGTCGACCCTAGATCAAGATATATCTTTATTTTTTTTCAGCGCCGCAGACGAAAATTTTGAGAAGTTTGGAGGATGTAGGCAAAAAAATTCTTCTCCTAATTTTTCTCCCTTTCCTACATTTCGGTAGAGAGGGCTTCAACCCTCTGGTTACGCCCTTGACCGAGACCCAACCTGCATAGGTTTATGACACAAAAAATCACTAGGGAACCCTCTAAAGAAAACCAAAAATATAATTTCAAAGGACACAAAAATTTAGTAAAAGCCTAAAAATTTTTTCAGAAATTTCCAAAAAAATTCCAAAAAACCCTTAAAAATTAAAAAAAACCTTTCTTTTATCATTAACAGCTTCTCCCCCTTTTATAGTTTCATCACTAACAACAATAGCATCATACCCATTATCTTCAATCGACGGTCCAAAAGCATCATAAATTGGAACAGTAATGCAATTTACATTTTCTGATATGTCCTTTACAAAATTCTCTACATTGGCACAACGAGTCTGAATTGGTTCCATTAATTCGTACAAAACTTTTTCTGAAAATTAAAAATTTTTTAATTGAGTAAGGAAGGGAAATTTAACCTATAAAACGCTTAATAGATGGCAGGAATGCCAAGTATTGAGAAAAAAAAGTCGGGCCGAGTCACAGTGTGTGGTCACAGTCACAGTGTGTTCATCAGCTAGTGTGTGGTGAAAAAAAGCCCCTAGTCAAGAAGACGGAAACCCAAAAAGTCGGAAACCCTGCTTGAAAACCCAAAAATGTCTGTCTACAATTAACAAAGTTATGAGCCATGAAAGGAACATATAGGATATTTCTTAGAGATGTCCAAAAACTCTTGGTCTCGTGTCTTGGCTCAAGACTCTTCTTGGAGTTTTTTTCGGTGTTGGTCTTGTGGTTTTTTTCGGTCTCGAATCTTGGAAAATTTTCGGATTTGGACATCTCTAGTAATTCTACGGTTGTCAGCTCGGACTCCAAACGACCTTACAATTTTTCAGTTAGGCCTTGGATACTAGGAGATTTTCCAAAAACCTATAACCCTACCGATATTTTCAAAAAAATTTTTTAATAGTCATCCCAAGTCTATACGCTTATAAAACAAAAATAACAAACTTTTAATCATATCTCCATCAGTAACTCCACAAGTAATCTTTCTTGAACGATAAACAGCCTCGGAAAGTAATAGTTTATGACCTATTAAAAAATTTTAAAAATTAAAAAAATCAAAAATAGCTTCCATCAACATAGTTCGAACCCATGATCCTTTACTCACTTAAACCCATCACAAACTCAGTTAAAACCGTATAAGAAAAAAATTATGTGCATTAGCAGCGTTCGAAAAACGAACACATGGCCAGCAAAATCCAACAGTATCCCACTTAACCAAAAAGCTCATTTCATTAGATTATTTTGCAAAGGAATCAAATCAACTTTCCACAAAAAAATAATTTTTGCACCCACAGGATTCGAACCCACGTCCCCAACCTAATAAAACCGAAAGTATCCCACTTAACCAAAAAATATTTTTTAGTAATTAAAAATTAAAAAAACCATTATGTAATTTATCAAAAGCACCACCCAAAACTACATGTCTAAAAGGCTTTTCTATAAAATCAAATGGAGCTTTGATTAAATTAAACTTGGTTGAACAGTTTAATTTAACTTCGTTGAAAATTGGAAATGGTGGCTGGTCTGGATCTTTAATCTGAAAATTAAAAAAAAAAATTTTTTAAAGCTAAGGGTTCCACCAAGAATTGTAAAAACTCAATCCTTTGGAAAACAAAAAAAATTTCCACGGGAGGATTCGAACCCACGACCCCATATCCACTAAATTCAAGGATTATCCGACTTAACCAAAAATGCTTTTAATTAAATCTTCTTTTCAGTTCACAACCATAAATTCTAAACCAAAAAAACCTAATTCGCTACAAAGTAAAAATAAAATTCCACACGAGGAGCCGAACCCCCTCCCAGTTAAACGCAAAATCAAGCAAAATTGCAACCTTAACCACAATAGTGATTTGTCCTAAAATTTATTCAGTATACCAGGGGTGTGCCGAAAATACAAAGACTGAAAAAAACGAAAATTTAGCGAAGGACGAGAAGGCAAAAGGCAAACCACTGAAGTAGACCTCTATACTAGTAACCGGTAGAATCGATTTTTCCGGAACCGGATTCCGGATTTGCAACTTGAGCCGGACCGGATCCGGCCGGATTTTTCCGGATAAATCCGGTCCGGTTTTAATCCGGAAATTTCAAAAAACCCGGATTTGAGACCCGGACTCCGGAAAAATCCGGCCGGATCCGGTCCGGCCCCGGTCACTACTATATACCAAAATTAAAATTCCCCCTAATTCCACCCCCCTCCCAAAAACCTCCCCCTTAAAAAATTTCAAAAAATTCCACAAACCTTATCATAAAAAACCTTGTCAACTTGCACCGTTTTTCTATCCATTAAAACACGAAAATCAACTTCAGATTTAATACAAGCAGCACTCAAGTAAATTGCAGGCAATAATTCTTCAAATGATTCAGATTCTTCCAAATGAACATAAAGTTTTTGGGCAACTTTTGAGGCTGCTAATTCCAATAAACGTTGTAATTTGCGTTTAACATTGTCTGTATTTCCTCGAATTATTAATAAACCAATGTTTACTGGCACAACCATTAAAAAAATTTTTTTTGTCTAGAAAAAAGACTTTATTTGCGGACAAACATTGCGGAGTCCGCAAAATTTTTTGCGGACAAAAAAATGTCCGCAAAAAAATGCGCATTAAAACATTTGTCAGCAGAAATTTGCAGACACAAAATCTTCGTCCGCAAAAATTTTTGCGGACACAAAAAATGTTTGTCCGCAAAAATCACAAACATTTTCCTTTCAAAAAATACATAATTAAAAATAAATTTAAAAAAAAATTTGTTTTTTGAAAAATGCAACAAATAAAAAGTTTTTTTTCAAATCAGAATAAATTTTTATTTTTAAAAATTAAAAAAAAAACAGAATTTGTTAATATTTGTATAAAGAAGAAAAAACGGATACAACACAAAAAGTCAAAATTCCCTAAAAATAAATTCTAGGGTCAGTTGTCCACTAAAGGAGTCGACCTTCTGGGTTGATCCAAGAAAGAATAATTTTTTTATAAAATTCACAAGGTTCAAAACTTTTGCGGACACTAATTGCGGACTCAGAAAAAAATTTTTCAGTGGAGTCCGCAAATGTTTAACCGCAAAAAACTTGAACCTTATTCAGATATATTGCCCGACTCTACAACTACATTTCATTTTTAAACTAATAATACAAGGCTTGATTTAACAAAAAAATTTTTTGCAGATTCCGCAAATAATTTTTGCAAAAACCAAAATTATCTGCAAAAGTTAGAAAAAGGAAAACTAATTTTTAAAAATCAAGCCTTTAAACTACAGATTGAGGAAAAAAATATAATATTTTACAAAAATTTGAAAGAATTCCATAGGTTTTTCCCCATAGGGTCAAACCAGGAAAATTTTTTTTTACAAAACCCAAAAAAAAAACAAAAGAAAAATAGATGGTTCCCCCTTAAGTTAGTCCAAAAAATTTTATTGGGCTCTAATATATAGTTTTTAACAGTTACCGAAAAAAAATTTTATAGGACACATAAACCTTCATAGAACTCATAAATAGGGTTATCGGCGGTATGAAAGATAGGATCGAACTTCGATTTTTGGGCCGGAAAAGACGCGAACGTCGACCCGTTCAGTAAAAAGGAGGCCCTAAAAAGACTTGAACATCAGGCCTGGTTCTAAAGCAGCAACACTACTCATAAACCTCTATAGGACTACCAAAACCTCCATTGGACTCATAAACCTTTATTGGACCGGTCAGGTTCGAAAGATCGAATCGGACCTCAAATTTTGGCTCGAAAAATGGCTCGAACGGCCTGGTTCGATAAAAATAAGACTCGAAAAAATACTCGAATGTCTGGCCCGGTTCGGTTCGAAAACAGCAACCCTACTCATAAACCCCCGTTGGACTAATAAATCTTTATAGGACTACCAAAACCCCCCATTGGACTCATAAACTCTTTATAAAACCCACAAACTGCTTACCAGAGCCCAATTATTGATGCTAGTCTAAAAAAAAATTTTTTTCATAAAAATATATATTTTTCTGTTCAAAACCGCTTCATTTAACCATAAAAGACCATAAGATTGTCAAATAAACCTTCAACAGGTCCTTAAATATTTTTAAACTATTCCTTGGCATCAACAGCATTAAAATTCTTTCTCTTACCCCTAATTGTGTTTATTGGATGACGTACAAATGAACTTGAAAAAAAATTTTTCAAAAAAAATTTTATTGGGGAAGGGAAGTAAGGGAGAGCTTTTTTCCAATAACAAAACAGGGGCCAGTAAGAATTGTCGGAATTTAGAAATGGCTTAAAAGTCGGAACCCAATAATTCTCGGAAATTTTTGAACTTCGACCAACTAACCAAAAATTTGTTCCAAAATAATTCCCGTCAAGGATTGACTAATGTAAGCGTCATAAATATAAGGCAAAGATAAAATCCCGGGTGATATTCCTTAGCCTTAATCCATAACTATAAATTGGGTACACCCCGATGTACCGCGAGCCCAATGTACCGCCGAGCTATAACTTTGTCCAAAATTGTCGAATCCGTGGCGCCCTGGTATGGTTCGATTCAGAATTTCGAGACGCATCGAACCATACCAGGGCGCCACGGATTCGACAATTTTGGACAAAGTTATAGCTCGGCGGTACATTGGGCTCGCGGTACACTGGCCTGCTCCCCTATAAATTAACCTTTCATTCAAAATCTAAAATTTCATTCAAAAGGAACAGAGGATGGCTTGAAGACGGTCCCACTCCTTGTATTCCACTCTCCTCCTTCCCCGAACAAAAAAATTAAAAAATTCAAACCGTAAAGAAAACCGTGACTTTTTCTTCTGTTCCAAATCATTATTATTAGAAAAAGTAATATTTGCAGAACCACCACCACCACCAGGTTGACTTGAAGACGAAGGCGGTAGAAATATTTCTTGACGAATTCTTTCATCAACAGAGCTTCCTCCACCTCCAATTTCTCTAACTCCATTAATTCCCTCAACGTGTTTAACCGAAACTTTTCTTGTAAATTTTGCAGGGATTTTGCCTTGAAAAAAAATTTTTTTGAAAAAATTCAAAAATTTAAACAAAAAACCTGGCTCTTCTGAAACTCCTCGACTATTCGAAATTGATGAACGTGGACGGGTTTTGAAAGAACTATTACTTCCTGTTAAAGAACGTCTTTCACTTGCTTGAGCAGCGATTGAGGCACTACAACAGGCCTAAAAATTTAATAAAAAAATCCGCAAATATGTAAAAAATCCACAAAAGTTTGTCCGTAAAAAAATTGCGGACGTCCGCAAATATTTTTGCGGACAATTTTGCTGATTATTTTAAAAAGAAAAAGTCCGCAAATATTCTTACGGACAAAATTTGTGGACCTATTTGAACCTAAAAAATTGTCCGCAAATATTTTGCGGAAAAATTTTGCGGTTTTTTTAAATGAAAAAAAAGTCCGCATATATATTTGCGGACTTTTTTAAAATTAAAAATAACAAAATCAAAAACCATTGTTGAAGCATTCTCAGCATCTTCCCCATTAATATTAACTCCATGCACCGATTCTATAACACCCACATGACATCCACTTGACCAAATTGTGTGAACACTCTGTTGGAAAAACATTTTCAATAAAAATTTTTAAAAATTAAAAAATACTCGATTATCATAATTATATTGTGAACCAGCAATTGCCTGAATTGAAGCATCCTCTGTATTTGGCTTGTCTGTTAGACTGACCAAACCTTTAAAAAATAAGAAAAAATCATTTTTAGGTATTCCCTTGAAACTAAAAAATCATTTCACTTATAATGAGAGGTATATTAAATAAAAGGTATCGCTCTGACATTCCCCAACCCATGACTAGCCGACTTAAAAAATGTACATTAGATAGAGGTTAGCTAGTAATGGGGTATTTAAAATGAAGTCCGACTGGATTGTAAAAAATCCGCAAGTTTAGTCCGCAAAAAATTTACGGATTTTTTCTGTATTAAAAATCCGCAAGTTTTGTCCGCAAAATATTTGCGGATTTTAATTTTAGCAAAATGCGGATTTAAAATTTTTCGGATTTTATTTTTCTGTAAGAAAAGACTAAAAATAACCCACAAATGTCCTCCCTCCTTTAAAAAAATTCCTAGAACCCAAACCCATCAAGCAAGTCCAAAAAAATATAATTTACCAAAAGAAGCAATACTTTGTCGACGTTGATGAAAAGATGATTTACTTGTTGTTTTTGTTGTACTACTATTTTCTCTATTATTATTATTCACATTTTTATTTCCTTCAGAAGTCAAAACAATTTTTTCTTCTTCATCTCTAAAGGTAGAATTACCCCCAACATTATCTTCATTTTGAGAAGTTCCTCCACCTCCCCCGCCTCCACAAGCTCCATTACGACATAAAGATAAAGGAACAACTCCGTAAACATAAGCTAACATTATCGGAACACCAACACCTTAAAATTAAAAAAATTTTAAAAAATCCGCAAGTTTTGTCCGCAAAATATTTGCGGACTTTTTTTTGTATAATTTTTTTGAATAAAAAATCCGCAAATAGTTTGCGGATTTTATTTATTAGGATTTTATTTTCTATAAAAATACTCAAAAATATTTTAAAAACCATACCAACAGTCATAACAGCTAAAACCGGTGAAATTACCAATGAACCAACAACACTTAAAGCAGTTGCCTTAAAAATAAAAAAATTATTTTGAAGGAAAAATTTTCTTTCTAAAGGTTTCCAAGTCTTTAAAACATTTATAGATAAAAAAGGAAAAGATTTTTCTCGACCGGATTCGAACCTTCACCCTTTAACAAAAAAATATGAAACACAACCCACTACACCACAAAAACATAAAAACGTTAGTTAAAGGTTGGAGGCTTCTGGGAAATCCACTGGATATGTAAATACGATATAACAACCAAAATTTTCAGATATGGAATTTTTCGTGTATCCAAAAATGCCAAACTCTATGGAGGTGTCTTAAATCTTACCAAAAATTGCCCACAAAAAATCGAAAAATAATAAAAAAAATACCAATTGCCTTTTCGTTCTAGATAAATTAGAAAATCGTTGATATGTCTTCCTATAAATAAAAAAAATAATTTTAAACTCAGAAAAATTCAAAAAAACCTTCCAATAAATATAGGAACACCACAAATAATTCCTGGAACAGCCAATCCAGCAATTAAAGCAATCCCTAATGGCGCTCCAATTAAAGTACCAATTTGCCATAAAAGCTTCTTTTTTCGAGTCCAAGGCTTTTTTCCCCAAAATGTACAGCCTGTTGGGCTTAAAAATGAATAAAACTAAGCAAAATTAATTTTTGGATTTTAGTCGATTCTGACTAGCATAAATCACCAGAGGTGGGTCGGAACAGTCAGAGGTGTTGGAAATCGGAAGAGCCGGAAATCGGAACTGACTTAAAAGCGGAACTCGGAAAAAAACGTCGGAAATAAACCTTTGCTATATAACCCCACTACAAGAATAGCTCAATTTTAAGATATTTTTTTGAAATTTGGTTGTCTACTAAACGGAGTTCTATTTTCTCTACCAAAATTTCGACACATGGACAGGCCTTTAATGGGGTTGTTCACAACCGGTTAATTTTACCTTGTGACGACCCAAATGTTTTTAACCTCTCTCTATTTGAGCCGTCACATAAAAAATTAATGTGAATACCCCTAACGTTTACCCAACTACAAGATCAAATTTTTCAGCCTCAGGGAGTTTCTCAACGTGAGGTCTAACAAAATTTTATTAAAAATAAAAACCTCAAATAATGTAGCTCATTAATTTGCTTTAAACAAAGCCAACAAAATTCAGCATTGCACAAAGCACATTGCATCTAAATTCGAAAAATAAAATTTTTTTTTAAAAATTAAATATATAAATACATGATTACATGAACCATCGTTCATCTTAAAAAAAATTTTTTTGTAAAAAAATTAAAAGAAAACCTTTGTTATTAACGCTCCACAACGAGGACAAGCTTTCATTTCATCTGTAAAAAAATTTTTTGGAAAAAAAAATTATTTCCCAAAAGGTTTCCAAGGCTTTAAAACATTTTTATGAATAACAAAAAATTTTTCCCGGAGGTTCGAACCTTAGACCTATATTCCAAAAAATTGTAAACACAACCCACTACACCACACGAACTAAAATTGGGCCGGGTCCTGCGACATCCGAGCCTGGCCGGGGAAAACTGTTTCGAGGCATCATGACCACCCAAAGAAATAGAGAAAATTTCCAAAACCCAGACTTTTTGGTTATACTTGACTTTATGAGTCCAAACTACAAAATGACATAAACCTATCCGTTTTCCCATCTTCAGTCTTGATCTTCCGACCTACCCTAGTAGCACACAAATATATGATTGAACTCATAAACTGAGTTTGGACTCATAAAGTTCGATTGGAACAAAAGTCAAGTAAAACCCAGACTTTTTTCTCAGCCCATGACATCCCTCAATTATCCCAAAAAATAAACAAAAAACCTCCAGAAATAACAAAATTTCCACCACGTGTAGACTCAACAAGATTATTATTAGTAGTAGGTAAAGACGAACGAAGAGACGAAACTAACGGAGAATTGAAAAACGATCTCGATCTAGCTTGATCACAAGTTTGGTTTGGATGCCAATAACTTTTACAATGACTAGAAAAAAAATTAAAAAAATTTCTCCTCAAAAATTCAAAAAAATACTAGCAAAACATTGTAGTACAACGTTCACATTTTAATTGGGGACAGGCAGCACAAGAAGTTGCTATAACTGCATATCTTGAAAAAATTTTTCTTTAATTATAACTTCCGGCTCTTGTCCAGTTTATGAGTTCAATGAAAAATTAGTTGGTACTTTATTGATATCCCGCCCCTACACCCTAGTTTGAGTCTCAAAGTTTCCTAAAAATGTGCATAATGGTCTGACATTGTATGAGAGTCAAATTCGAGGTAGGGGGTAACCATAAAGTAACACAAATTATGAATCAGATTGTAAACTACAGAACGGGCTGACAGGGTCGTACGAAAAAACGGGATCAATATCTCAAAAAAATCTCGATTCTCAAAAAGTCGAGATCTCGAATCTCTGCCCGAGAATTCGACTCTGCAAATCTCTAATCTAAAAACAAAAATTCATTATATTCATAAACTAGACCCGAGCAGAAATTTTAAAAAAAAATTCCAAAAAAATATACGTGCAATCCGGAGCTGGACACCAACGAGTATCTGGATCTATACTCAAAATACGACGTAACGAATATAATTCAAAGCGTTCCAGCATTTCGGGTTGATGAGAAAGTAAATTGTAAATATCGCTAATTTGAAGAGAGACAGGGCATTCTGGGCATCTATTTGAAGAAAAAATGAGAAAATGAAAAAAAAATTCTTTAAAAAATCTTCCCACACCTCTAATAAGAAAGAAAAAGACTCAAGCAAAAAATTGCCCTCGACGGGGTTCGAACCTACAACCTAAAAATCGGAAACGTAAACCACTACACCAAAAGGTACAAAAAATTAAATTTTTACACAAAAAATTAAACTTTTACAAAAAATTAAACTTTTACCAAGGTTCCCAATCTGTTAAAACGACACAACAGAAAAAAATTCCTCAAAAGGATTCGAACCCTACACCCATCCCTCCAATACCACCCACACAACCAAATACACCACAAACTACTTAGTAATAAAAAAAATAATTTACGATATGTTTGTTCTGCTTTCTGCAATTTCAACACTAATAAACTGAAAAATAAAATTTTAAAAATTTTTCTAAACATTTTTTAAAAAAAACCTTAACAAGGCATCCTTTACAAAAAATATGCATACAGGCTTTAAATCGATAAAAATTTTGTGCAGATTGTCTAATACAACAAATTGGGCATTCCTGTTTCATGCATGATTTAATTCCTGATGTATTGCTTTGAGCTGATCCGGCAGAAAATAATGATTCTGACGGACCCTAAAAATTTAAATAAAAGAGTAAGGAAAGTCTTTTTAAAGTCAGAAAGCCTGACTTTCCCCAAAAATCAAAAGTTAAAGAAAAAACATGGTTCGTTAAAAAAATTATTTTGCGGACAAAAAATGCGGACAAATGTATTTTCTGACATAATTCCAAATTGGAATTTTCAAAGGGGGAAGGTATACAAGACGTCGGGAAAGGCAAAAGGTAGACAAGAAATATCAATTAATGTAAGATAATTAATGTACGATAAACCTCTTATCCCTGGCATCACTTTAAATCCTCCTTAATCCCTCCAAATTCCCTTTTACTGCCCCGACCCAAAACACAGATTTTTCCCGACCTGAAACTCAATCCGAAAAAAATTTTGAGACCCCGACCCGCCTTTTTCTCAACGCTGCCCATCCCTAATTTAACCAGTAAATTAATTTAGTTTTATTTAAAAAATCTTTTTGCGGACAAAAAAATGCGGATTTCTTGCCTAAAACCCAGCCCCAGACCCCTTAATAAAAAAAATAAAAACCGAATTTGAAGAAGCCGCCATACTAACACCGCTTTTAATCGAAAGTTTATCTGCCGGAGCGGCCGAATTTTGATTTTCTGTCACATTTCCATTTTCCTTATTGAATTCATTGGAAATTGAATTTTCTATTTTTCCTCCACTGTTTAAAGGGACATCACCAACAGACAACGCTTTTTCCTCTTTTTGATGATTTTCATTTCCAAATTTTTCAGAAACGGTCAATTTCCCGCTCAGACTTTTGGTTGATTTATTGATATTTTTGTATTCTGGTATTTTTATTTGAGGGTGGTGGTGGGAGGCTGCTGTTGGTGTTGTTGTTGAGGAGGTTATGCTGTGACTACGAACATTTTTTCTTAAAAAATTTGAAAATTAAATAAAGAAAATACTGGGTATTGAAAACTTTTTAGAATCTCAAGGACTAGGAGAGAGCCGAAACAAATTTAAAGACGAAAGACCAAATGTGAAACGTGAAAAGCCAAACAGCCCAAACAAGGTCAAAAAAAATCCAAAAATAGATCGTAGTTCCGCAGACAGCACGAAACTACAATACATACCCACTAGGGTCTAGCCGACATAAGAAATAAATCGGCGAGTTCGAGAGTTGACGACCAGTGTTTGAAAGCTCGCAGCGAGATTTCAACACCGTTCACAGCCATAAACGATGAGAATTCTCATTTTATGACTCGGGTTGGCTAGATCCCTGATGCCACCAATGAATGAAATTTATGAAAATAAAAAGTCCATGGTCCATGTCAGGCCCGTAGCCAGGATTTTTTTCGGGAGGGAGGGGGCCAAGGGGGAAAAATTTTTTTGCGCCAAATTTTTGGCGCCAAAGGCGCCAAAAAGCTGGAGCTCAAGAAGCCAGATTTCTTCCATTTTTAGCGCCGCAGGCGAAAATTTTTTGAATTTTGGAGCTCAAGAAGCCAGATTTCTTCCATTTTTAGCGCCGCAGGCGAAAATTTTTTGAATTTTGGAGCTCAAGAAGCCAGATTTCTTCCATTTTTAGCGCCGCAGGCGAAAATTTTTTGAATTTTGGAGCTCAAGAAGCCAGATTTCTTCCATTTTTAGCGCCGCAGGCGAAAATTTTGAAAATTTCGAAGGCCGTAGGCCAAAAAAATTCACTTTTTTTGCCCCAGCCCTTCCCCAAAATTTTCCCATTTCGGGGGGAGGGGGGGGGGGGGGAATTCCCCCCCTGGCTACGGGCCTGGTCCATGTCCCCTTTACCTGGTCTCATTAAGCAAAATTTAAATAAACCTAAATAATTCTTCAGAAGTATTATCCAAATCAGAACTTGTTGGCGAAGCCGTAATATTATTCAAAAAAGTAATTAAACCTAAACGGCCTCGTTCAAAACGTGAAGGTTGTTGATTTAAACTTTTCTTTTTGTGTTTACTACTGTTTAAGTATTCTTCCATATCATTTTTAGTTGGTGTAGATTCCTGGAAATTCATAATTTTAACTAGGGTCAGTCCGCGACACCCTAATTTCTCTGGCCAAGTCCAGAGACGATTTTAGGTCATACTCTAACCTCGATATTCCCTGAGATTCCCAACGGTCGATGGAATAATTTTGAATATTCCAGGAACAGTTGAAGTCATGGACGTTGGCAGGGGAAGAGGTTAATGGTTCGCTAAGGTCATCCCTTAGCGAAGCCACACACACCCTCCCTACAATTTTTACCTAGCCTTTACGGTAATGAGCAGGGTCGGAGGATAACCTAGACATCATCGAATAGTAGGAGTCAAGGACAGACACCCAAGTTAAGTGACTTTGGATCCCGAAATAAACCTGAGATTGACTCCAGATTCCCTAGCTTCTCCAATTTTCCGGTCCCCAGCCGACTATGATTTTTAGGTCATTCACGAACCCAATCCCTAACCTGCTATTCACCGACATCCCAGTTCTCCTCGACGGGCCGAGGACAAACTCCAAATGAGTTAGAAGTATGACTCGCGGACTCGTTAAACTTCCAGTAAGTGTTGCAGTCAGGCACAGCCAGGGGAAGTGGGTCAATTCCTAGGTGAGAAAGGTGGTCCCGTAAACGCTCCAATATTCCAGGAAAAACCCAGGCCCAGAAAAAACGCAAAAAGGCCAAAAAATGCCTGGGACTGGACTGTGGGCACAGGGAAATCTCTTGGCCCTTTTAAATTTCTTGGCCCAGACCCAGCTCGATCTCTAGTAACAAAAAAAGTAAACCCCAAAGGACACCCAAAATTCAAAAATAAACCTCTTTCACTTCTCCCACTTCCCTCAAAATTACTCACCATATTCGCGTTGACCATCTTGTTAATATTCCCTTCCAATCGCTCAGACAATTTTCTTTTACTATTTTGACCAGAATTTAACAACAAAGCTTGACTTTCATCAGTATTAGAAACACTACTATTCTCAATACATTCAACTACAATTCCCAAGTTTTTATTACACTTTGTTGTTGTTGTAGTGCTACTGCAAGTGTTACTATTCACATTCATTTGAAATTTATTTTTCCTTTTTAAACTAAAAACTAAAAAGAAAAATAAATGACTAACATTAAGAACACTTTTAAAAATAAATTGAAAAAAATTTTTTTTTTAATTTACCGATAAAATCAATCAATAAACATACAAAAATCAACACAAAATAAGCACAAAATTGAAAATAAAATGGCTAGCCATATTTTGCCAAAACGACATTTTGCCAATAAGGGTAAAAATTTGCATTTTGTCAACACACCTTATTGACAAAATGCGGGTTTTTAGCCTTATTGGCAAAATGTGGTGTTGGCAAAATGTGGAATTGGCAGAATATGGAACAAGAGTAAAGGTAAGGTAGAGAATTTTAATGTGCAGTGATTTTGGTAGAAAAAGAACGAAAACACAAACAGCCTTCGAAAAAATTTTTTCTTCACCTTAAAGAAAAAGAACACTTCTCTTTTACCATGGCAATAGTATAAAAGAAAAGGAAAGAAGGAAAAAAGTAAGCCCTCACATTCTGCCAAACCCACATTTTGCCAATAAGTCTAAAAAACCACGTTTTGCCAATAAGAGTGGAAGGCAGTGTTGGCAAAATGTGTCTTTTTAGCCTTATTGGCAAAATATGGATTGGCAAAATATGGAGACTAGGAAAACAAATAAAGTCAAACAAGAGTCTTATCTACTTTAATTGTCAACTCTCCAATTAGTGTCAAAATTACAATTCCAATGAGACGATATCATCGATATCACGCCCACATCCCTCTATATTCCTTTAATCCTCCAATACCCTGATATCATTTTTAACCCAATCCAAATCCCTCGATATTTTTGCTTCGAGAAACCAAAACCCTCTAATTTTTAAAATGTCCTTTCTCTGGGCTTTGGTCGTTCCTTGATTTGTAGGATCGTGACTCATCGGGGAAATTATGTCTCTCTTCAAGGCGTCTATGTTAATGACCACTCTCTCGTCTGTAAAAGACGCAGAAGAATGTGCACATTTTGGGTATAAAGCAGGCAATGAGACGCCTTGAAGAGACACAATTTCCCGAAAAAGAAGAGAGAAAAGATTGAAAACTTTGGTGCTGACACGCTCGCGTCAACAGGATGGCCCTTTGTTTGCTCTTTATTCCCCTCCGATTATTCCATTGCAATGGCCAATATTTCCAACAAGGAGGAGCTTAATTTAAAAATTATACGCCCATCATTTTGTCCATATAAATTCTTAAACATATGATATTTGACGAGCTATCGCTTCGTTAAATATAGATGAATCCTAGACGCCTTGGTATGGTTCGATTTAGACCGACGAGGTGCATCGAGCCATATGAAGGCGTCCCGGATTCGACAATTTTAAGGAAGTTAAATGGTCCCCTCAAGGGTATAAGATACATTTTTGGGGCGGAAAGGACTTGCGCCTTACCTTAATAAGGGAACCCATTTTTTACTAGCGTCTCTTAAATTGAATGGTATCAATCAGGGGTCTAGCCGGCTCGATTCCCGAAATCGGGAACTTGTATTTTTTGGGTATGTTTTTTTAGCCACGCCCCTTTTTCTTTTTCCATCATTAATTTAACGCACTACAGCACGCCCCTTTTTCATTCTCACACTTTCCAAATTACTTTCTTCACTTTAACTTCAATTCATTTAAGCTTTTATTTTTTATCTTGTTAATTTTAGGTTTATCAAAATCAAAATTGACCGCCCTCGTAATATGGAATCATCATCATCTGTTGAAGGAAAAGCATCTTCTGATGCATCCTCCAACTCAAGAAATGAATCTATAAGGATATGTATTACTTATCTAGTTCATGCCTGTACATGTCGGGATATACATTGTCGTCGTGGATTGTGTCACAAAATGAAGAGGGTTATTGCGCACACAAGGACGTGCAAAAGAAGACAATCCGTTGGGGCAGATTGTGCTGTGTGTAAAAAATTGATTGCTCTTTGTTGTTGTCATGCTAAACATTGTAAACTGGCAAAATGCCAGGTACTTTTTCATAGAAATTAAAAAATGGCAATGGCCCAGGAGGGTAGGTCAATACCAGGGGTGTCCGCAATTGGAAAAAAATTTTCCGCAGCCGCAACCCGCAATTTTAATTTAAAAATCCGCAAACTCAATCCGCAATTGCGGACACCCCTGGTCCGCAATTGCAACCTTCTGGGTTCATCAACCTTCTGGGTTGATTTTAAGGATATCAGCAGGTGTATCTAAAAAAGATTTCTTCAATTTAATTAGGTTCCATTTTGCCTTCAAATTCGACAAAAAATGCAAGAACAAAAACAAACTCAAAATATTCAAGCTGAAGGAATGGTGCAAGGAATGATGAAATTACAAATTTCAGTAGATGATGGAATAAATGAAAGTGGTGTTGGAAATGATGTTGCGGACTTAGGTATTAGAGTTGGCCGGGATCGGGATCCCGGTTGGGATCTATCTGCGGGTTCGTCCCACTGTGGGTTTATCCACTGAGGAAGAATCGCAGAATGTCCAACAAAGTAAAAATTCTCAATTTGTATCTTTTTATTTCTAGATGATTCTGCGTGGCTCAAAATGATTCTGCCCGACGAGCTTAAGAAGCGAACATTTTCGGAAGAATGATGCAGTTTCGGAAGAAATGATTTTTGATAAATTTTAAAGAATGACTTAAAAATGATTTTTCTTTTATTTTTCTTGTAAAGATTATCCATTCTAACTTAATCAGTAAAATTAAATTTGTACCACTTCCCTTTTTTAAAAACAATCAGACTTAAAACGTATTGCCAACCTTAAGCTATTGCCATTATAAGGGGTTGGCATTATAAAAGGGTGGCATTATTCGCTGTTCGCATTGCTACAGCCCGAATAGTCGCGCGGCCATAAGGTTGTCAAGCCATAACTTGCTAAAAAAAATTTCTGGCCCTTATCAATTTGGTACCAATCTCATTAGCTCGATGAGAGGAATCGTTTAAACTAAATTTGGAAAGAGTCGACCAGGCTTAAATGGTCCAAAACGTCGATTTTTTAAATTTCCCAAAGGCCAATTGAGAAACAATAGTTAAAAGCTTTGTTCTGATTTGTTTTTTATTCTGATTTTTGAAAAGTTTCGACGTTATTGCAAAATAGTCTGAATCTCGATAACACATCCCCCGCTCAGAACAGAGAGAGAGAAAAAGGTTTAAATGGGGTATAGACATATTATCGAGATTAACGACTTAAAAGAAGACTAGTAAAAAAGAGAATAAAGAATAAAAAGAGAAATATAAAATCTTTTCTTTTTTGCCTAATTTTAAAAAATTATTCTATGGATGTTGGGGGTGGTTTGCACTGTATTGAGTCAAAATGAACTGCTAGACGATCAAAACTATAATTTAAATTTTTTAAGCTTACTGGCAGAATTTCCAATTTATTACCTTAAAACATCGTTACGACGAAATTCAACAATCTGAATTAATAGAAAATTAATCCACCGATATCCCTCTCCTATCAACTTCCCAATATCTCTCAATATCCACAGATGTCTTAAACCCTCAATCTACCGAATCCCTCGTAAGCTGAGGTCGGTAGGAAATGAGGAAGGTGCCTGAAATCGGAACTGTCGGAAATGGAATCAAAAGTCGGAACTCGGAAATAAGCCCAAATTTTCAGGAATCGGAAATCCGACCGACCTCTGCTCGTAAGAAACAACCTCCTTTCAATCCCTTACTCATTAGAGTCTGAAATTTTTTTACTTTATTAACCTTAGATTTTCTAGACTAGTGGGTAACCTAAAGAAAACCCTTGAAGAAAAAACTGACCGAATCTCGAAATAGTTCACATATTTTTTGCTGAAAAAATTTTTTTATTAATCAGGCTAAATCTTTTTCTAACTACCTTATCCTCCATTTGAATTAAATTTGCTGAACGACAACTTTCATAATGACAAGCAGCTAAGCATTGGGATGGACTGAAAAAATTAAAATGTTAGAAAATGTCCTTAAAAGTCGGGTCATCCAAAGTCCGCAAATTTTCTTGTCCGCAAATTTTTGTCCGCAAAATTTTTTCTGTCCGCAAATTTTGTCCACAAAATTTTTGTCCGCAAATCCATTGTCCGCAAATATTGTCCGCAAAATATTTTTTTGTCCGCAATTTTCTGTCCGCAAATTTTTTTATCCGCAATACTTAGTCCGCAAATATCCAACAACCAGAACCCTATAAAAACAACTCACGTATCAACCAATAATCGTTTCAACAGTCTAGCACCATTAAACACAGTTTGATACAAAGCAGAAAAACGGCATTGCCCCACTGCCGGATATTCAAATAAATTTCCGTTTAATAAACTTTCTCTTGTTCCCCCTTCAGTATAATTTAAGGTTGCATTGAATTCTGTTGTTTCTGTTATGTTATTTAATATTGTTAAGGTTGAATTAATTAAAAACGAATTATTATTGACCGTTGTTGTTGCTGTTGGTGTAGTAGATGCTGCTATTGTTTCCTTCAAAAAAAAAAAGATTTTTTGGTCTCGGTTCCCAAGTCGGGAAATTTCCCGGGTTTTTGAGCTCTCGACTCGGTCTCTGGGTTGCTTCCCGGTCTTGGTCTCAACTTTTTTTAACTCTCCTCAGGCGCCAGTGCTAGGCACCTTGGCTGTGCGCCATGATTCGGCGTGCCATGAAAAAATTCGGGCGCACAGCCCTGCTGGGCACTTAATGTTTGGTGGCTCCTGCTCAAGAGGCTCCGTCTCTCTTTCCCGGAAACCGACTCCATTTCCAGCGAACGCTCTATAGGACCCTATTGCTAGAGTTACGATAAATTTATAACGACTTCCGATCCCTCTGGCCCCTCTCCCCCATTTTTGTCATTTTTATCCTCCAACAGATGAGTACACACACACAGGGGACTGGGCCATTAGGGCGCGGGGCCATTAGGGCGCGAGCTTATAAAACAGTGAATTGCTTATCAAAAAAGATAAAATTTTGCAATAATTACTCTCATGCCTTTATCTACGTTCTCCAAAAATTTCAGAATTTTTGATCAAGAATTTCGGAAAGTGTGGCCAAAAATGTTGATTTTCCGAAAAAACCCTAATTTTTCGCGGTTTATCGACTATAACTTCAGAAGTATTCGATGAAAAATTCTGAAATTTCTGGAGCAGGTAGTCAATGATGTTAAAGAAATTTGAGAAAATTTTAATAAATTTCGGTTTCGCCTAAGTATCAGTTTCTAGTGCTAGCGCCCTAATGGCCCCGCGCCCTTATGACCCCAACCCACGCACAGCCCTGCAAAAAGTCCTCGGTTATACGCTCCGAAAAACCTCCCCAGTTACAACGAATTACAAGTAATTCCAAAGAACTACCGTTATTGAAGTGCTAGTTATTGTTGTTGCTATCACACTATCATTACTCGTATCAACTGTTGTACTGCTACCACTATTTTCATTTTTATTATGTAATTCTTCTTCTCTAGGCGGGTCAGCTTGTGCTGCTGTAACTTTTATAGAAGTTGTTCCTCTTCCTTTTTCTTCATTTTTTTCTTCTTCGTCCGCTTCTTCCTTTTCATCTCCCCCTTGATTAACTTTGTTTTTACGCTTTTCTTCACCCTCAACATTTACTGTTTTCCAATTTTCTCCAATTTCTTCTAGTTCGGTTGGTTTTTCAATACCTAAAAAGAAAGTTGTTCTTAAAGCAGAGATTAAAAAAGACCAACGAAAATCACCAAAAAATGATATTTTTAAATATTTTTCAGGCCAAAGTCCAGCATAGGGTTTTTGTTACTAGCGATGTCGGGGAGGCAAAAAAAACAGGTGTAATCAGAAGTCAAAAAGATAAGGGGAAAAATAATGTGAGTAGGTCTCTGGGCCCAGTCCGGAAGATCGAGTCGGGCATCGAATTTTGCCCGGCTCGATCAGTAAAATAAAAATGAGACCGAAAAAATGACTCGAACGTCGGCCCTGCCCGAAAACCCCAACCCTAAATGTTGGGCAGAACGAGGAGAAAGGCACAAGTCCAGAATCGTTTCTATTAACTCGAGAAAGGTCATTTGTAGGAAAAAACAAGCAAAGATCAACAGTCAATAAAAATTATCTCCATAAACAAACTCGTAAAACTTACTAGGTATTGCTGTCTTTGTTTCAAGTTGTTTGTCACCATCCTCTTCCTCCTTTTCTTCATTCAAATTTGTAGTTGCTGCTATTGTTGCTGTTGTTGTTGAAGGATCCCAATCCTCAATATTTTTTAAAGACTTTTTAGAATCAATTTTTTTATTCTTTTTATTTTTATTTTTCTTCTTTTTTAAATTTTTATGTTGCTGTTGTTCTTCTTCTTTTAGTTCAGTTTTTGTTGTAATTGTTGTTCCTTCCGTTGTTGTATTTGTTGTTGTTGGAGTTGTAATTGTGGAATTTCTTCCTTTTGACAATTCTTTTGGACAATTAATTTGGATATATTCAAAAAGTGCCTTTTCTGAAAAATTAATTTTAAAATGAATCTCTACAAATTTCCTTAGCTCTTGATGGTTCCTACAAAATTCTCTAGGATACCTTGAACCTAACCGAAAATCCTCTCAGTTCTTCAATTCACTTCCAAACTGGCAACCCTAGTTATGAACCCAATATCCTTTAAATAGGCTCACTAGCATTATCGGACAGGTCCGATGACCTGTTCAGGTCCGGAAAACCAACTCCTGCCTATTTAACGTGGAAAAAATGGTCGGTAGATTACGCCCAGTACTATAGCCCAGACATTTTGGCGGTGTTTATACAAAGGTTGGTTATTGTCCGCAAATGTTTGTCCGCAAAAAAACTCATTGGGACCCATTGAACTTTTGGACTGAAGATGGAGTGGTTCGGAGCATTTGACCATGTAATTTGAGGGTAGGGGTTAAATGATTGAACCCTGCTGCTCTGTTGGACCCTGCTTCCCTGGTGACTTATACGACCGGTTACTGTCTATCCGCAAAAAACATTGTCCGCAAATATAGTTATACCCTCCCGCTCTTATTTAAATCTTAAAAGTCACTCAAGAACTCCCTTGGGTGCATGACTACTGGCCAAAAAAAGTTTAAAACAAAAACTCACTGTCAACCCCACACCGAAAATCCAAATAGCTGCTTTGTTGTTCTCCATTCTGCCCACTGCTATTTTCATCAAAACTGAAGCGTTCTGGAGCAGAAACTCTATTTTCTCCAGAAATTAGACACGTTCCCGAATTTTTATAATATTGAGAAGATTTGCAGCCTCCTTCATTCTTCGATTCATTCCCCTCCAACAATTGTTTCCATTCAGCTATAGCGCATAAGCATTTGCACAGTTGGGGACTAACTTGTTGTCGGGCTGCCAATGCCATGCCTTCGAGCACATAGCCGGGTTGTTCCACAAAACAAGCATCGGATAAGGAGGTGTAAGAAGGAGAAGAAGACTGAGTGGAAGACGGTTGTCTGTCTAAATTGAAGGGAAAAAATTAAAAAAAAAGAAGCAGTTCAAGCCCGACTCGGTTCAGTCGTGACCCTATAACTCATAAAAATGGTAGTCACTTTTTTATGTTCTTGGTACCAACGGATAGAGAATTAAATTCTCTACAAAATTTCAAAAAATCAAAATTTTGGACTGAATAATAAAAAAGTTATGATTTAAAAACTATCATTTTTTAAAGAATGTGATCTTTCGGCACTTAATCGATCACAACTTTTTTCTCAATCAATAGAAAATTTGATTTTTTGGTATTTTGTAGCCTATTTAATTCTCTATCGAATGATACCAAGAACAATAAAAATCATCCTCCCCTTCATAAGTTAGAGGGCTCGGAACGGAACTGGGTTGTACCGAAAATAGAAGAAAATACAAAAAAAATTAGTTCGACGAAAAGCGAAATTTTACCCTATGTGACGAAACGAGTGTCTACTAAAATAGATATTCTGAAATAAAAGGGGCATTGAAAAATCAAAATGTCAACACTGCTAGAAGAAGTAATTAGAGAAGAAAAATAAAGAAAATAGAAAAAGGGTAGAGTAAAATAACAGCAAAAAGAGAAGAAAGAAAAGAAAAGAGAAAGAAGGAAATAGTAAGGGAGATTTAATTCATTTTAAGGCAGCGGAACAACACGTCCAATAAATTTGTTTGAGTTAGCGTATTCCAAATAACATTTCAAGTTTCAGTATCCCTGGTTCCTCTGTATACGGACGAAGAAATCTTTCGCCTTTTACTAAAGATTTCCGTGCAGGGGGACGCTTATGGGTTTACCCTAATTTTTGGAAGCGCTTCTTTTTGAAGCGCGTAAATTCATTTAAAGATCAGAAGCAGTGTTTCCCACCTAGGTTTGTGGACGATTTTGAAACATTGGTGAATGTTTTTGTTGTTAAACTGTCTGATTGATTAATTGAAGAAATTGTTGTCTCCTTGGAATTTTCGCTAATATTTCCCTTTGTTGTTGATGTTTCTATGTTGTTGCCGCAAACATTTTCAACAAATTCCGCTGTTTTTTTGGAATGGCAAAGGAATCCAAAGTAGATCACCTTAAAAATAATTTTGTAGAAAAGTCGCTTATATAGAGAGTTGATTAAACAGAGGTTTTTAGAAAAGTCGCTTATATAGAGAGTTGGTTAAATAGAGGTTTCAAGAAAAGTCGCTTATATAGAGTTGATTAAATAGAGGTTTCTAGAAAAGTCGCTTATATAGAGAGTTGCTTAAATAGAAGTTTTTTAGTTCTCCAAATAACCTGTTGATCCGGTTCTGCAGTAAACTGCTCTGGGGCTGATTGGCGATTTTGTAAATTAAGAACACAATCGCGTTCATCCCCAAAATAACTGACAGAAGCACATTGAAAAGGATAACGTGAATGTCTAAAAATAATAAAAACTTTGTTTTAAAGAAATGTTTCTCTCACAAAGAATTAGCACATAAACATTTGCACTGTTCTATAGAAACATTATGTTCCAAACTTGCAGTAGTAGTTCCATTCATTGAAAAACCAGAAATTCGTTCAAAACATTGTTGATTGTTTTTATCAACATCTATAACAACATTTATTGATGTTGTTTGTGTTGTTGTTTGTGTTGTTGTTGAAGTTTGTTGGACATTAATGTTGTTTTTGTTTAAATTAATTTCTGGTTTGTTTAAATTAAATTCTGATTTGTTTGTTGCTTCAGAATTTTTGTTTAGATTAAATTCTGATTTGTTTGCTGTATCAGAATTCTTGTTTGAATTAAATTCTGATTTGTTTAAATTAAATTCTGATTTGTTTAAATTAAATTCTGATTTGTTTGGTGTACCAGAATTTTTAGAATTTTTGTTTAAATTAATTTCTGGTTTGTTTGTTGTTAATTCTGATTTTAATAAAATGTTTGTTGCTTCTGTTGATGTTGCGGTGTTATTATTAAAAACACCATCATTATTAAATTTTTGATGTTCGTTTGATTTGTTGCTACACATTTTTTCTGCTGTTTTTAATAAATCTGTTTAATTTAAAACATGTCTTAATAAAACAAAAATACAAACAAACATTTTCTCTCACAAGAAACATAATGGTAATCACTGCTTTTGTTGAAAACTAAATCTGATTTTCCGCTATGATCAGAACTTAATAATTCACATAAACCTTCTTCACGTCCAAAATGCAAGCTTTTACATTGTGTTTTTTCTTCAAGTTTCCAAGTGTTAGCACAAGCACAACTTTAAAAATAAACTGATTTTTGCTTCGAGAATATTGGTAAATTTTTAAAGAGAATTAGAAACTTAAGCAAAAAATCCCAAATATAGAAACTGAAGCAGAAACTTATTTTTCTAAAACAATTTTCAGAAGCAAAAAAGTCTGTAGCATAATTCTGAAGCACATTTTTAAAAAATTAAGCAAACTTTTCAATAAAAAAATCCTTGCTTCAGTTTTTGAAATTGTGCTTCAGAATTGTGCTACGGATATTTTGCTTCTGCAAATTTTTGCTTCAAAAAATTAGAAACATTTGTTTTAATACAGCTTCAGTTTCTAAAAAATTTTTTAGGATTTTTTGTTTCAAAAAAATTTTTTGCTTCAGAAATCTGCTTCAAGTTTTTAAAAAAATCCTTGCTTCAAGTTTCAAAATTAAATTTTCCTTTTTCCCACTCACCGACACTCATTCAAGCTTAATCCTCTTTTCATTCCAATGCTAATTTCATCATTTCCATAATTTTGTAAATTTCTATGCTGCATGAATTTGAAACACACAATAGTTCCACTATTAGATTTTTCAAGTTTGGCAACATCCAAGGAGGGAAGGATTTTATTCTGATGAGTCTTTATTGCCTTGTCTTCCTCCTCATTTTCCACCTCAGAGCTAATCCCTCCATTGTGATGAATTAATACAGAATGTAAATAACCTGTAGGAGGTTCTATCAATCTTCCATTAATTAGAATAGGTTCTTAAAAAATTTAAAAATTTTAGAGAAATTTAAAAAAATTGTCCTCACCTTCTTCATATTCTCCACTTCCACCTTTCCAATATTCTCTTTCCTCTCTTCTTCTTTCATCAAATGTTGTAGCATTGTTTTTATTTAATTCTGATATGTTTTGATGTTTTTGTTGTTTGTTTTTAATGTTGTTCTGTTTTATTCCAAGCGGTGTTGAGATAACTCTTATTTGTTCATCTAAACATATTAGAATGTTTGTGTTGTGTTTGTGTTTGTTTTCCGGAAAGTTTGTAATGTTTTGTTTAAATGTTTCTGCTATGTTTGGGAATGTTTTCCGGAAAGTTGTTCGAAATGTTTTATTTAGATGTTTTTGCTGTGTTTGTGAGTGTTTTCCGGAATGTTTGATTTGTAATGTTTTATTTAGATGTTCAGAATTTTTAGAAACATTTAAGATGTTTTCCGGGAATTTGTTTAAAATGTTGTGTTTAGAATGTTTTTTGGAAGCTTGTTTCTAATGTTTTAAATGTTCATAATTTTTTAAAAACATTTAAAATGTTTCTATAGCTTCCGGAAAGTTGTTTAGAATGTTTTCCGGAAAGTTTGTTTTCAATGTTTATTTAAATGTTCATAATTTTTAAAAAACATTTAAAATGTTTCTATAGCTTCCGGAAAGTTGTTTAGAATGTTTTCCGGAAAGTTTGTTTTTAATGTTTTAAATGTTCATAATTTTTTAAAAACATTTAAAATGTTTCTATAGCTTCCGGAAAGTTGTTTAGAATTTTTCCGGAAAATTTGTTTTCAATGTTTATTTAAATGTTCGGAATTTTTTAAAAACATTTAAAATGTTTTCGGTAAAGATGCTTTGTTTCCTAAAGATTTTAATGTTTTTCCTATAAATTATTTTTAAAATGTTTATGTTTCTTCAACGTTCTAATATAAATTGAACATTTAATTATAATTTATCCAAACACGTGTTTTCTTAACCTGGCTTCACTCTCGCTACAAATCCACCCGATTGAATAAGTATTTCTTTATCATTATTTTTATTAATTTTTGAAGCAGGAAAATTTTTTTTTGGTGGTTTTGAATCTTTTGCTATTTTTTGAATATTTTGTAGTTGTCTCTCCGTAGAATTTTGTGAAGGTTGATCACCACTTCCTCCACCATTTCTGTTAGCTTCACCTAATAATTGTTCTAGTCTCTGTCGCATTTGAAAAAGCCTTTGAAGGACGTCAAGTGCGTGCTCGTCTCCAGGAAAGAATAATTTCTGGAATTTTTTAAATTAATTTTTAAATGTTGTTCCGGAAAGTTTGTAATGTTTTCCGGAAATGTTTTATAATGTTTAGATGTTTTTCCGGAATGTTTCTAATGTTTCCGGTAAAGTTTGATGTTGTGTTTTTGTTGGTTTTTTTCAAAAATGTTTGTATGCTTTAAAGTCCTATAAATGTTAGATGTTTTTCCGGAAACTTGTAATGCTATCCGGAAAAGTTTAAATGTTTTTAAGTTTGTAATGTTTTTCATGTTTTCCGGAAATGTCATACAAACATTCCTTCAAAAATGTTTATATGTTTTTATAGATGTTGGATGTTTTTCCGGAAATTTATTTATTTTCCGGTAAAGTTTAAATGTTTTTAGGTTTGTAATGTTTTCTTGTTTTCCGGAAATGTCACACAAACATTTTGACATTATAAAAACATGTTTGTATGTTTTTATAGATGTTGGATGTTTTTCCGAATGTTTTTCTTTCCGAATGTTTTTCTTTCCGGAAATGTCATACAAACATTCCAACATCTACAAAAACATGTTTGTATGTTTTTATGGATGTTTGATGTTTTTCCGGATGTTTTTCTTTCCGGAGAAGTTTAAAACATATGTTCTTGGCTATTAAACCTTCCCTTTTCTATCCCCCACCTTTTTATTCCTTAAAGACGATTTTTCTTCGTCATCATGAATTGGTGAAAATTCTAAAGATTGTTGTTGTTTTATGGTTGTTCTTTTAATTTCTTCCTTGTTCAAAACATTTTCTGTAGGTATTGTTGTTGATGTTGTTGGTTGTTGACATATTTGAATACATGCAAGTAATGATAGGGCATCGGCACCGTCAGTTTTGAGATGAAAATAATTAAAACGTTGTTTGGACTGAAATGGTAGAGATTTAATTAAATAATTAAACAAGGCCTGAGTTTAATTAAAAAATTAAAAGACCAATGAGCATTGAATAGGCCTATTTGGAGAGAGAGCACAACTACGAACATCGTGGTTGTAAATCTAAAAGAATTAAAAATAATTTTTAAAAAATTTAAAAATTTTCTGACCGCTGATTGACAGAAAAAATGCCTCTGGCCGCATAGGGTGGCACAGTCTGCTGCTGAAGAAACGCCTTCCCTAAACGGATTATATTTAATTTTGATTGAGTTTGAAGGTTTATTTGGTCAGAATATTATCACGAAACATTTATATTAGTGTGTTATGTTTTCCGGAAAATTGGCAATGTTTTCCGGAAGGATAAATAATTAAAAGGTAAGTTACAAGTTTTCCGGAAAGTTTAAGTTTTTGAAATATTCTTCAAGTAAATGTTTGTTTCCAGAAAACAAATAAACAATGTTTTCCGGAAAAAAATACACTGATCGTTGTTTAAATGTTTTCCGGAAAGTTTTTTCTGAAACATTTCTAAAATGTTTCATGTTTAAATAAGTTTCCGGAAAAAGAGTGTTTTCCAAAATGTTTGTGTTTTTATAAATTCTGATAAGTTTTCCGGAAAGTTCTACAATGTTTTCCGGAAAATATAAACTAATAGGTATTAAATGTTTTTAGATGTTTTTAGGAAAGTCTAAGTTTGTTTAAAACATTTCTGAAATGTTTCTGTTTAATTGTTTCCGGAAAAAGGGATGTTTTCCACAATGTTTGTTTGTGTTTTTAATAAATTCTGATATTTTACCAACTTTGTAAAATACAATTCCATTGTTCTGACTTGTCTTGAAGAAATTGCCTGAGCAAAAAATACAGGCAAACAAGAAGCATTTATGGGAATAATAAAAAATTCCAAGAGAAAGTGAAGCAAAAATAAAGAAGTAGAAACACTTGTAGTTGAAAATGATAAAAACAAAGGTACAATTTCCGGAAGCATAATTAACAAAAAATTGAGAGAGTAGAGTAGTTGTTTATTCGTGCATATTTTTACTAAACAAAATGAGCGGATAAAATCGAAAAAAATAAAAAAAAAGATAAATATAAAAAAAATATTTAAAAATTAAAGAAAAAATTGGGGCGGCAATGCTACGGCGGTGAAAGTTTTGCGGGAAGAAAACAGGTAGCAAATACTACTATATAAAGAGCAAAACATTATGAAGATAAATTATAATAAAGTGCATGTTTGGATTTAATTCTGAAATTTTAATTAAAAAAAAATCAGAACAAAATTTGAACAAATTAGTAAAACATGATGAGAAAAGAAGAAATCAGAATTTAATCATGTTTTCCGGAAAATTAAATAGATGTTTCTAGTTGTTTTCCGGATAGAAGCAGAAAAACATCAAAACATGAGAAATAAAAATAATTATAAAATCAGAAAACCATAAAACAATAAATAAATCAGAAAAACATCAAAACATTAAATAGAAAATCAGAAAAACATCAAAACATTAAATAAAAAGCAAAACATGAAAAAACATTCCAACCAGAAAAACATTAAAACATAAACAAAAACATCAAAATATAAATCAGAATAATGGATGTTCGAATTTAATTCTGAAATTTTTTGTTAATTAAAATTCGAACAAAAACTTAAAGGGAAATAAAAACATTAAAACAAACAAAGAAATCAGAAACTAATAAAAACATTTCAATAAAAATCATGAAAAACACACAAACATCTCATTATTCAAACAAACATTTCGAAAAATCTAAAATCCACAAAAACTAATAAAAAAAGGCCGTTTTTATTTAATTTTAGTTTTGATTCTTCTTCCTTTTTACAGCTCAAAGAAGCTCAAATTGATTTTGTTCATTTATAAATCCTCTAAAGCCTTTTTCTCAATTTTCGATTTTAACTAAAAAAGGAAGGAGAAAACGTCGCAAAATGGCGAGAAAGAAATGAGGGCAATAAATATATTAAGAGATGGCGCCAAACAAATCCTTAATAAATTTATGTAGTATTTTTTAAATAAAAAATAACTGTGAAAACATTAAATAAAACAAGATATGTAAGAAAAACAACATAACTGAGAAATAAAGTAATAAATACATAAAATCAGAAAAACAGCAAAACATGAAAAAAGCAAAAACAGAAAAGGGTAAAGAGAAATATAACATGAGAAAAAACCAGAAAAACATCAAAACATAAAACAGAAAACATCATGTTGAAAAAAGTAATATGCTTAAAATCAGAAAAACATGAGAAATAAAACAGAAAAACATCAGAATACGAAAAATAAAACATTGAGCAACAAGCCAGAAAAACATTAAAACATTAAAAACACAACTGAAAAACATCAGAACATACGGAAAAATAATAAAACTTAAAATCAGAAAAACACGTTAACTTAGTAAATAAACAAAGAACAGAACGAAAACAGAACATCAAAACAAACAAAACATCAAAACATCAAAACAAATAAAACAACAAAACAAACAAAACATCAGAACATCAAAACATCAAAACAAACAAAACATCAGAACATCAAAACATCAAAACAAACAAAACATCAAAACAAATAAAACATCAAAACATCAAAACAAACAAAACATTAAAACAAACAAAACATCAAAACAAATAAAACAGAAAAACATCAACAAAAAACATTTCAAACAAAACATCAGAACATTTACTCAAAATCAGAAAAACATCAACGCTTTTAAAAACAAAACAAAACATTTTTATTAAATAAATGTCCTCTTCTTTTTTTTTAATTTTCTTCTTTTTAGGTTAATCTCAGATATATATTTGTTGTTTTTGTTTTTTAAATTACAAAAACAGAAAAAATGACCAAAAAGGACACAAGATAATTCAGCCATGAAAAAATATTTTTAAAAATATTAATTAAAAATGGGTGGTTTTTCGGGAACTCAGAAGAGGGAAATGAGAGGGTAAAATCAGAACAGCATCAAAACATGAAGAAAGAATAAACATCAAAACATGAAACATCAGAAAAACATTAAACAAAGAAAAAACCAGAACAAAATCAAAACATGAGGAATAAAACAACAAAGAAAAAACCAGAACAAAATCAAAACATGAGGAATAAAACAACAAAGAAAAAACCAGAACAAAATCAAAACATGAGGAATAAAACAACAAAGAAAAAACCAGAACAAAATCAAAACATGAGGAATAAAACAAAAACTAAAAACCAGAACAAAACATGAACATCAGATACATAAACATGAAAAAATATACTTCGAAACCAGAAAAACATAAAACACGAGAAAAATAGAAAAACATCAAACATACAGTAAAATTTTAAAGAAAAAGTAAAGAGAGCTGCACTGAAATGGCCGACTTTATTAGTCGGAAAATGTCAAAGTGTCAACTGGTTATTATTTTGTCGATTACTCAAAAAATGAGAATTTTAGGCTTTGTTTTGGATTTGATTTTGTTTAAGCTTGCTTTTTCATTTTATCTTTTTTACTGATTTGGAGGGTTTTTGTACTGATTAGGGATCAAATGTCCTTTTTTTAATTAAAAAAATTTTTTTTTAATTTTTTAGACTAATTTATTTCAACTAATGCACAACTTCTAAAATCAAATGCAAGCCCAGAAGAAAATTACCGAATATTTTTCTGTTCGGCGAAGTACTCGAAGGCAGGGGAAACAAATACAGGTTTTTATTAGATTTTTTGTGGTAATCGTGGGTTATTTAGCGGACTCATAATCATAATGGTCAGGACGTTCATACTTTCTTTTCCCGACTCAATGAATTCGAGGAGGTTTTTTTCGGATGTTTTGTGGGATACTTTTTGCGGATAATTTTTGCGGACAATTTTTGCAGACATATTTTGCGGACATTTTTTGCGCACAGTTTTTTGCGGACACTTTTTGCGGACACCTTTTGAGGACACTTTGCGGACTTTTTTTGCGGACAATTTTTGCGAATAATTTTTGAGGACATATTTTGCGGACACTTTGCGGACACTTTTTGCGGACATTTTTTTGCGGACACTTTTTGCGGACATTCGAGGGAACGGAAGTTCAAACGATTTTATCCTTCTATCTGACCATTATGAGTCCGCAAAAGCCACAAGTACCATTTTCCTTTAAATTCTCACAATTTTTTTCAATTTAGGAAGAAAAAATGGCAAATCTTCACAAAATCATCCAAACCTGTTCAAACGAAAAATTTTTGGAAATTTATGTTTGTGAAGAGAAAGGAAGGGGGATAAAGTCTAAAAAATGTTTTGCTAAAGGAGAATTTGTTGTGGAATATAAAGGTTTTTTGAAGAATTTTGAGGGTTTTGTTAATTTTCTAGGGGTCCCAAGGTTACATGTTTTTATTTTTCGAGTCCATAAATCGATTTGGACTTGTCAAGTGTTGGGATTTTTTATTAGGAACCTTTGAAGATTTCTAGTTCCTTTAAACGTCAAGGAACTCTGTTTCGGATTTTTTGTTTCGAAATTTTTCAAGTTGATCGAGTCCCAATTTTTGGACATTTTTTTGTTTTGAAACATCTTTGGTTGAGGCGCAAGCATTTTTTGAATTTTGTATTTTTCCCTAGTCTTTATCCCAATCTCTTGCTTAAATTGCTCCAAACTTCAAAAACTGAGAACCCTTTTAACTTTTCGAAATGGGGGGTCAGGGTCAAAAAAGCTGAACATTGGTACTGGGTTATCGACTCTGCTCTACACGATGATGCAAAAAACGTTAAATTTTTGGCTACTGTTCAAAATGTTTCCTTGTAAGCCCAGTTTTCTTAGACGGGCTATTCCTCTAAATCCAGTCCTCCAAATCGCCTAATTTATCACTAAACCTCTATGGCCATTTCTCCTATTAAATTTATTTTTTAATAATTTTAATCTTCTCCATAAATTTAAGGTGAAATTATCAATTCAAAAATTGCTCGGATTCGAGAAGAGGAATACTCTTTAAATGAAAATATTGGTTCTTACATGTATTATTTTAAACATCAAGGAAATCTTTATTGTGTGGATGCTACACAGGAAACAAAATATAAAGGACGGCTAATTAATCACAGCGCTTTAAGGCCGAATTTGAGGACACGGGTTTGCTTTTATTTTTTTCTCTCGATAATACCTCACTGTCGGGACAAGCAGAGGTGGGTCAGATTTCCAACTTCCGTCGTTTTTTCCTTCCGATTTCCGGAAAAAAATTGGCTTCCGAGTTCCGATTTCCGGCTCTTCCGATTTTCGAACCTCTGACTGTTCTGAACCACCTCTAGGAACAAGTAACCTGGTTGGCCCAGAAGTTCAGTTGGTTTCTAAGTTCCGACACAAAGTCTAATCTCTCGATGATCGTCTTGTTCGTGGTCGGGGACGGGCTGTCTTTGGCCTTCTACAAAAATTTCGATTTTTTTTACTCTTCCACTTTTTAAAACTCAACCACTCCCAAAGGCTGAAACTTTGAGCGGCCATAATTTGGTCCAAAGTCATTTTCCAGAAAAACGAACATCACTTCTCAATAGGAAGTCGGGGGTACCAAAAAATTACAGAATTTCTTCACAAAGTAGAAAATGTTCCCTTGTCAGCTGAATTTCCCAATTTACTAATTAGTTGAGAGCAACTATTAAAAAATTTTTCAGGTTATCGACTTTGGCTCATCTTTCCATTTAATTCTCGTTGCAAAAAGAGATATAAATATTGGAGAAGAATTGCTTTATGACTATGGAGAACGAAGAACTGAAGTTATTGCAAAGAATCCATGGCTTTTAAAATCATAGAAGAAAATTTGAAGAAAAAATTTGAGAAAAAAAGGAGGGCGTTTCTCTTATAAAATACACACACGTTAGTTTTTTTCATTTATTTTTCCAATGCTTTAAATTTGAAAATATTTTTTTTTTCCAAATTTTAATTTTAGAAAAGTGTATTCTCTCCCATCTATCTTCTTTTAGCAAAATAACCAGTGCTTTCCCGTTCTCTAAAAAATTTTTTTCTATCGCTTTTTTTGATTACACCAAATTTTTTTCGGTTCCATTTCCGCATGCTTCAAAGAATTTTGGTAGTTCACAGTTCCTCTAAAATGGTTACTATTGTGTTTTCTGCCCCAAATTCCTTTTTTACGAATTTAATCGGCTATGACTTCTTTATGCTTGCTCCAGTCCGGATGATTCTTATATCATTCGAAAGCTCTCGATAAGCGCTATCTTCTTCTCATATAGAAAAATGGGGGTGGATAACACAAGAGTACTCTAAATTGTCTCGGAACTCCGGTTTCATTCCAAAAATCTTGGGAAAGTTCTGGTAGTAACCAAGCATTAGCCAGTGCTTTCCAAAGAATCCATGACTTTTAAGTCACCAAAAAAATTTTTTTGATTCCAAAATCCCGAAAGTTTTTCTTTTCCAGTTTTCCGGAAATTTCCAAGAATTTTGGGGTCTACAATTCCTAGAAATTATTTCGAAACTGTCGGGTTCCGAAAACCTGGAAAAGCACTGGCAAAAATAACCATTAAAGCCTACCAATTTAAAAATAGTGCCAAAATAATAGCTTATTTGTGCCTAACACCTTAATTTATTTATTTTTAACCTTAATTTATTTTGTGTGTCTTTCAAATAAAATTTAAAAAATGTTTCCTTATTTTTTTTGGGAAAACAAAAGATAATTTTTTCGATGTTTATTTTAGGCTTCTGAAAGAGGTTTATTGACCTCTTTTCCCATAAATGGATACGTGTGACTTAGCAAAAAAAAACTGCCAGAACTCGTGCAATAAATTCAATGGCCAAATTCCCCCCATTAGATCAGCTAGAAGAGAGAAAATGTAAAATAAAAGAATTTTTGTACTGTCCCAGGGGGTCGCAGGATCGACGCTTGCTCGGAGCTACGCTTTTGCTCATACTGTTTTAATAAAATTAAAGAAAAATTCATTTTCTAAAATTTATTCTTATTATTAATTAATCGGCAAGATTATTATTTTTATTAGTATTAGACCAATCCGGATTCAAAACATCCATTTCACTCAACGGCCTCCAAATCGGGTCCTTTATATTAAACAAAAATCCGCTCTGATAAGTCGAAGTTTTGTTTTCTTCTTTATTCCCTCCTCTAACATCCCCTCCAACCGATTTTCGTCTTGGTGGATTGTTTGGATTGTTTTCTTGGGAGGAGACACTGTTTGAACTACTCAAACTTTTTTCGTTACCGCTACAAATGTTGCAAGTTAAATCGGGAGGTAGTGCAACAAGCATTTCTCCTGTAAATATAAAATTACAATTTCCGGAAAATAAATCAGAATTTGTAATTTTCTGGAAAGAATTTGTAAAAATAATTCTGATAAATTTACAACTGGGAAGAGTCGTCAGAATTTGTAATTTTTATTCTTTGCTATTTTCCGGAAAATAGCAAACAGAATTTGTAATTACCCGGAAAGAATTAAAGTTTCCGGAAAATAAATCAGAATTTGTAATTGCAACTGGAAGAAAAAATCAGAATTTGTAATTTTCCGGAAGGAATTTGTAAAAATAATTCTGAAAGAATTTTTACAACCGGAAAGAATTGTCATAATATGTAATTATCCTTTACACTTTTCCGGAAAATAGCAAAAGAATTTGTAATTATCCGGAAAGAATTTACAACCGGAAAGAATTAATCAGAATTTTTAATTTTCCGGAAAGAATTACAATTTCCGGAAAGAATTATCAGAATTTGTAAAAATTATTCTGAAAGAATTTTTACAACCGGAAAGAGTTGTCAGAATTTGTAATTTTCCGGAAAGAATTTACAATTTCCGGAAAATAAATCTGTATTTGTAAAAATAATTCTGAAAGAATTTACAACCGGAGAGTTGTCCTTTACAATTTTCCGGAAAGAATTAAATCAGAATTTGTAAATTTCCGGAATATGTAAAAATAATTCTGAAAGAATTTTACAACCGGAAAGAATTTGTAATTATGAAATCAGAATTTCAATTTACAATTTTCCGGAAAGTAGCAAATAGAATTTGTAATTTTCCGGAAAGAATTAAATCAGAATTTGTAGTAAGTTAAAAAAATCAGAATTCTTTTAATATTTTCGATTTACAATTTTCCGGAAAGAGAAAATCAGAATTTACCGGGTCAGAATTTCTAAATTACAATTTTGCTAAAAAAGCAAAATAGAATTTGCAACAACTTGATTTTTTCTGAAACTATTAATTTTTCATTTCTGATTTGTAAATTGCTAGCCAGCCCAGTGAAATTAAAGTTTTTCCATTAAAGTATTAAAATAAATCAGAAATCTCCCTCACCCAAATCTAAACTTTTTCGTCCTCTGTAAATCCTCAAAAGTCTTTCTCTATATTCTTTTACAAGTTTTGAAATTAATTTTTCAATTTTATTCTCATTATCATCATCACTTTTATTAGAAGTATTAAATAATGAAGCTGATTGAGCTGCTAATTGTTCAAAATCTTCATCAATGTCGCCTATAATATATTATTGCTTTTGTTTTGTGTTTTATAGTTTTTCTGTTTGGTTTTGTTTTCAATGTTTTCGTATTTTTAATGTTTTTCTGTTTATGTTTAATGTTTTACAATTTAATTTTAAATGTTTATTTAAAATTCTGATTTGTTGTTTGTTTGTTTAAAATTCTGGTAAAAAAATGTTTGTTTGAAATTCTGGTTTCTGTTTTTGTTTAATGTTTTACAATTCGATTTTAAACATGAACATCAGATACATAAACATGAAAAAATATACTTCGAAACCAGAAAAACATAAAACACGAGAAAAATAGAAAAACATCAAACATACAGTAAAATTTTAAAGAAAAAGTAAAGAGAGCTGCACTGAAATGGCCGACTTTATTAGTCGGAAAATGTCAAAGTGTCAACTGGTTATTATTTTGTCGATTACTCAAAAAATGAGAATTTTAGGCTTTGTTTTGGATTTGATTTTGTTTGAGCTTGCTTTTTCATTTTATCTTTTTTACTGATTTGGAGGGTTTTTGTACTGATTAGGGATCAAATGTCCTTTTTTTAATTAAAAAAATTTTTTTTTAATTTTTTAGACTAATTTATTTCAACTAATGCACAACTTCTAAAATCAAATGCAAGCCCAGAAGAAAATTACCGAATATTTTTCTGTTCGGCGAAGTACTCGAAGGCAGGGGAAACAAATACAGGTTTTTATTAGATTTTTTGTGGTAATCGTGGGTTATTTAGCGGACTCATAATCATAATGGTCAGGACGTTCATACTTTCTTTTCCCGACTCAATGAATTCGAGGAGGTTTTTTTCGGATGTTTTGTGGGATACTTTTTGCGGATAATTTTTGCGGACAATTTTTGCAGACATATTTTGCGGACATTTTTTGCGCACAGTTTTTTGCGGACACTTTTTGCGGACACCTTTTGAGGACACTTTGCGGACTTTTTTTGCGGACAATTTTTGCGAATAATTTTTGAGGACATATTTTGCGGACACTTTGCGGACACTTTTTGCGGACATTTTTTTGCGGACACTTTTTGCGGACATTCGAGGGAACGGAAGTTCAAACGATTTTATCCTTCTATCTGACCATTATGAGTCCGCAAAAGCCACAAGTACCATTTTCCTTTAAATTCTCACAATTTTTTTCAATTTAGGAAGAAAAAATGGCAAATCTTCACAAAATCATCCAAACCTGTTCAAACGAAAAATTTTTGGAAATTTATGTTTGTGAAGAGAAAGGAAGGGGGATAAAGTCTAAAAAATGTTTTGCTAAAGGAGAATTTGTTGTGGAATATAAAGGTTTTTTGAAGAATTTTGAGGGTTTTGTTAATTTTCTAGGGGTCCCAAGGTTACATGTTTTTATTTTTCGAGTCCATAAATCGATTTGGACTTGTCAAGTGTTGGGATTTTTTATTAGGAACCTTTGAAGATTTCTAGTTCCTTTAAACGTCAAGGAACTCTGTTTCGGATTTTTTGTTTCGAAATTTTTCAAGTTGATCGAGTCCCAATTTTTGGACATTTTTTTGTTTTGAAACATCTTTGGTTGAGGCGCAAGCATTTTTTGAATTTTGTATTTTTCCCTAGTCTTTATCCCAATCTCTTGCTTAAATTGCTCCAAACTTCAAAAACTGAGAACCCTTTTAACTTTTCGAAATGGGGGGTCAGGGTCAAAAAAGCTGAACATTGGTACTGGGTTATCGACTCTGCTCTACACGATGATGCAAAAAACGTTAAATTTTTGGCTACTGTTCAAAATGTTTCCTTGTAAGCCCAGTTTTCTTAGACGGGCTATTCCTCTAAATCCAGTCCTCCAAATCGCCTAATTTATCACTAAACCTCTATGGCCATTTCTCCTATTAAATTTATTTTTTAATAATTTTAATCTTCTCCATAAATTTAAGGTGAAATTATCAATTCAAAAATTGCTCGGATTCGAGAAGAGGAATACTCTTTAAATGAAAATATTGGTTCTTACATGTATTATTTTAAACATCAAGGAAATCTTTATTGTGTGGATGCTACACAGGAAACAAAATATAAAGGACGGCTAATTAATCACAGCGCTTTAAGGCCGAATTTGAGGACACGGGTTTGCTTTTATTTTTTTCTCTCGATAATACCTCACTGTCGGGACAAGCAGAGGTGGGTCAGATTTCCAACTTCCGTCGTTTTTTCCTTCCGATTTCCGGAAAAAAATTGGCTTCCGAGTTCCGATTTCCGGCTCTTCCGATTTTCGAACCTCTGACTGTTCTGAACCACCTCTAGGAACAAGTAACCTGGTTGGCCCAGAAGTTCAGTTGGTTTCTAAGTTCCGACACAAAGTCTAATCTCTCGATGATCGTCTTGTTCGTGGTCGGGGACGGGCTGTCTTTGGCCTTCTACAAAAATTTCGATTTTTTTTACTCTTCCACTTTTTAAAACTCAACCACTCCCAAAGGCTGAAACTTTGAGCGGCCATAATTTGGTCCAAAGTCATTTTCCAGAAAAACGAACATCACTTCTCAATAGGAAGTCGGGGGTACCAAAAAATTACAGAATTTCTTCACAAAGTAGAAAATGTTCCCTTGTCAGCTGAATTTCCCAATTTACTAATTAGTTGAGAGCAACTATTAAAAAATTTTTCAGGTTATCGACTTTGGCTCATCTTTCCATTTAATTCTCGTTGCAAAAAGAGATATAAATATTGGAGAAGAATTGCTTTATGACTATGGAGAACGAAGAACTGAAGTTATTGCAAAGAATCCATGGCTTTTAAAATCATAGAAGAAAATTTGAAGAAAAAATTTGAGAAAAAAAGGAGGGCGTTTCTCTTATAAAATACACACACGTTAGTTTTTTTCATTTATTTTTCCAATGCTTTAAATTTGAAAATATTTTTTTTTTCCAAATTTTAATTTTAGAAAAGTGTATTCTCTCCCATCTATCTTCTTTTAGCAAAATAACCAGTGCTTTCCCGTTCTCTAAAAAATTTTTTTCTATCGCTTTTTTTGATTACACCAAATTTTTTTCGGTTCCATTTCCGCATGCTTCAAAGAATTTTGGTAGTTCACAGTTCCTCTAAAATGGTTACTATTGTGTTTTCTGCCCCAAATTCCTTTTTTACGAATTTAATCGGCTATGACTTCTTTATGCTTGCTCCAGTCCGGATGATTCTTATATCATTCGAAAGCTCTCGATAAGCGCTATCTTCTTCTCATATAGAAAAATGGGGGTGGATAACACAAGAGTACTCTAAATTGTCTCGGAACTCCGGTTTCATTCCAAAAATCTTGGGAAAGTTCTGGTAGTAACCAAGCATTAGCCAGTGCTTTCCAAAGAATCCATGACTTTTAAGTCACCAAAAAAATTTTTTTGATTCCAAAATCCCGAAAGTTTTTCTTTTCCAGTTTTCCGGAAATTTCCAAGAATTTTGGGGTCTACAATTCCTAGAAATTATTTCGAAACTGTCGGGTTCCGAAAACCTGGAAAAGCACTGGCAAAAATAACCATTAAAGCCTACCAATTTAAAAATAGTGCCAAAATAATAGCTTATTTGTGCCTAACACCTTAATTTATTTATTTTTAACCTTAATTTATTTTGTGTGTCTTTCAAATAAAATTTAAAAAATGTTTCCTTATTTTTTTTGGGAAAACAAAAGATAATTTTTTCGATGTTTATTTTAGGCTTCTGAAAGAGGTTTATTGACCTCTTTTCCCATAAATGGATACGTGTGACTTAGCAAAAAAAAACTGCCAGAACTCGTGCAATAAATTCAATGGCCAAATTCCCCCCATTAGATCAGCTAGAAGAGAGAAAATGTAAAATAAAAGAATTTTTGTACTGTCCCAGGGGGTCGCAGGATCGACGCTTGCTCGGAGCTACGCTTTTGCTCATACTGTTTTAATAAAATTAAAGAAAAATTCATTTTCTAAAATTTATTCTTATTATTAATTAATCGGCAAGATTATTATTTTTATTAGTATTAGACCAATCCGGATTCAAAACATCCATTTCACTCAACGGCCTCCAAATCGGGTCCTTTATATTAAACAAAAATCCGCTCTGATAAGTCGAAGTTTTGTTTTCTTCTTTATTCCCTCCTCTAACATCCCCTCCAACCGATTTTCGTCTTGGTGGATTGTTTGGATTGTTTTCTTGGGAGGAGACACTGTTTGAACTACTCAAACTTTTTTCGTTACCGCTACAAATGTTGCAAGTTAAATCGGGAGGTAGTGCAACAAGCATTTCTCCTGTAAATATAAAATTACAATTTCCGGAAAATAAATCAGAATTTGTAATTTTCTGGAAAGAATTTGTAAAAATAATTCTGATAAATTTACAACTGGGAAGAGTCGTCAGAATTTGTAATTTTTATTCTTTGCTATTTTCCGGAAAATAGCAAACAGAATTTGTAATTACCCGGAAAGAATTAAAGTTTCCGGAAAATAAATCAGAATTTGTAATTGCAACTGGAAGAAAAAATCAGAATTTGTAATTTTCCGGAAGGAATTTGTAAAAATAATTCTGAAAGAATTTTTACAACCGGAAAGAATTGTCATAATATGTAATTATCCTTTACACTTTTCCGGAAAATAGCAAAAGAATTTGTAATTATCCGGAAAGAATTTACAACCGGAAAGAATTAATCAGAATTTTTAATTTTCCGGAAAGAATTACAATTTCCGGAAAGAATTATCAGAATTTGTAAAAATTATTCTGAAAGAATTTTTACAACCGGAAAGAGTTGTCAGAATTTGTAATTTTCCGGAAAGAATTTACAATTTCCGGAAAATAAATCTGTATTTGTAAAAATAATTCTGAAAGAATTTACAACCGGAGAGTTGTCCTTTACAATTTTCCGGAAAGAATTAAATCAGAATTTGTAAATTTCCGGAATATGTAAAAATAATTCTGAAAGAATTTTACAACCGGAAAGAATTTGTAATTATGAAATCAGAATTTCAATTTACAATTTTCCGGAAAGTAGCAAATAGAATTTGTAATTTTCCGGAAAGAATTAAATCAGAATTTGTAGTAAGTTAAAAAAATCAGAATTCTTTTAATATTTTCGATTTACAATTTTCCGGAAAGAGAAAATCAGAATTTACCGGGTCAGAATTTCTAAATTACAATTTTGCTAAAAAAGCAAAATAGAATTTGCAACAACTTGATTTTTTCTGAAACTATTAATTTTTCATTTCTGATTTGTAAATTGCTAGCCAGCCCAGTGAAATTAAAGTTTTTCCATTAAAGTATTAAAATAAATCAGAAATCTCCCTCACCCAAATCTAAACTTTTTCGTCCTCTGTAAATCCTCAAAAGTCTTTCTCTATATTCTTTTACAAGTTTTGAAATTAATTTTTCAATTTTATTCTCATTATCATCATCACTTTTATTAGAAGTATTAAATAATGAAGCTGATTGAGCTGCTAATTGTTCAAAATCTTCATCAATGTCGCCTATAATATATTATTGCTTTTGTTTTGTGTTTTATAGTTTTTCTGTTTGGTTTTGTTTTCAATGTTTTCGTATTTTTAATGTTTTTCTGTTTATGTTTAATGTTTTACAATTTAATTTTAAATGTTTATTTAAAATTCTGATTTGTTGTTTGTTTGTTTAAAATTCTGGTAAAAAAATGTTTGTTTGAAATTCTGGTTTCTGTTTTTGTTTAATGTTTTACAATTCGATTTTAAATGTTTATTTAAAATTCTGATTTGTTGTTTGTTTGTTTAAAATTCTGGTAAAAAAATGTTCGTTTGAAATTCTGGTTTGTTGTTTTTGTTTAATAATTTACAATTCGATTTTAAATGTTTATTTAAAATTCTGATTTGTTGTATGTTTGTTTGCTTTATGTTTGTTTAAAATTCTGGTTAAAAAATGTTCGTTTGAAATTCTGGTTTTTATGGGTTTTCCTATTTAATATTTGATTTTTTATTTTAACGTTGTTTTTGTTCAATGTTTTGTTTAAATTCAATTTTAAATGTTCGTTTAAAATTCTGGTTTTATTTCTAATGTTTTTTTTGTTTTAGATTTTTCCCATACGTTTTTCATGTTCCTCCTCCTCTTCTTCATCTGCCCATTCAGGTATTTCACTTTCTTCAGCGCTAGTTTCCTCCGTCTCACTATATTTATTTGAAACATCGTTTCTCCTATTGTTGTTGCTTTTGTTGTCTTCATCATCTAAAGAAGAATTTTTCCTCCAATTTTGTTGTTGTTGTCCTCCGTCTTCCTCACTTGTAGTAGAAGTATTTCTCAATTGAAAATCGTTTCTCTTGAAAGGTTTAGGTGGTTGATTGTCATTAATACTAGAAGTCATTACTGCCTCTCCCAAACTTGAACTACTAGAAACAGAAAGAAACATTTCTCTTGTTGAATCACAAACATTCTTCAAAACATGAATGTTTTCCTTGTTTGAAATTTTTGTTTTGTTGGATGTTTTGTTGTTGTTATTGTTGTTTTGGTTGTTGTTGTTTTGTTGTTTTTCCTTTTCATTTTCAAAAACATCCTCTTCCTGTTGTTGTTCTTGTTGTTTTAATAGATGTTTTTCTTTTGTTTTTACTTTTCTCTGATGTTGTGTTCTTTTCTCAACATTTAAAACAATGTTGTTTTGATGTTTTTGATGTTTTTCAATGTTGTTTTGATGTTTTTCTATGTTTGTTGTATCAACAAAACTTTTTTTCTTTATTCTGTTTATAATTGTTGCTTCTTTATTATTTAATACGTGTTGTTGCTGGATGTTTTGTTGGTTGTTTTGTTGGGTGTTTTGTTCTGTTTTTATGTTTGTTGTATCAACAACATCTATTAAATCAACTAATGGCAGTTGTTGTGAAACTTTAATTGTTGTTGTTGTAGAAGTGTTTTCTCTTCTGTTGTTTTCTCTTCTTAAAAATGGCCAAACATAGGAAAACACTCTTAGCACAAAATTTAAAGTATGCCAAAATATTTTTTGAATAATTCCTGCATCAGACGAGATTTTTCTAAATTCTCTTCTGTAAAAATCTCCAACTTCTACCCCAATATCCTCAACTTGAGCAACTTTTTGGTCATCAGTATCGTTTAAATTAAACACTAATTTTTGTTGCCCTTGCAAAAATTGTTGTTTATAAGCACACAAAACTACACGATCGCCTTCCAGGTAAGCACAAGATATCATGCATATAAGGCAAAACCTGTGGGTGACAAAAAATTTTTTTAGGAAAAATTTAAAATTTTTTAAAAAATTTTTTGGAAATTCGAAAATTTTTCGAACAAAAAAAAATAAAAATTTTACATTAATGCTAGCACACAAGTTTGATACATTAGAGCTTCAAAAGGAGGGCGAGGTAATGCAGAATGACACATTGAAAGTAAATGTTTTGGAACAACAGCAGCCAAATTATATGACCAAGGGGTACCGTTCATATGCATAAAAACTTGAAGTGTTGCTTCATTGATGGAAAATAAAAAGTCAGGAGTATAACTTTAAAAAAGTGAAAAACATTAAAAATAGCAGGCAAAGGTAAATAAAGAAATAAAAAAAACATTAAACAAACAGAAAATAAAAGAGGGCAAATATTAAAAGAAACAAACATAAAAACAAGAATAAAAACATCAAAACACAAAAATTTCAACAAACAGTACAACAAAATATAAAAACCATAATAAGCATGAGATATAAACAAAACATCAAAACAATAACAAAACACTGAAGACAACAAAAAAAGAAGAGGGATAAACAAACCAGAGAATATCAAAAAAAAACATTCACAACAACAAAAACAATCAAAACAAGAAGAAAACATTTCAGATACAAAAACAAAACCAGAATTTAAAACAAACATAATGTTTTGACGAAAACAACAAAAACATTAAACAACGAGAATAACAATTATTGCAACAAAACATTGCAACAAAACATCCAAAACATAAATGTTCGTAACAAACATTAAAACCAAACAAAACAATAAAACATAAATGTTCGTAACAAACATTAAAAACAAACAAAACATCTAAGACATAAATGTTCGTAACAAACATTAAAACCAAACAAAACAATAAAACTAGAATATAAACATCACAAAATAGAAACAAAAACAGAAAAACATTCAAGAAAAACATAATGAGAAAAACATTGAATTTAAAAACACACAAAAACAAAAAATGTTTTTACCAAACTTACGAAATATCTAAATAAGATGTTTCATTCGGTTCCAACCTTGAAAAACATGTTTTTATGTTTGTTTGACAAAATATAGAATTACCTAAACTTGTCACAATTCAAAACACGAAAACCACGATTTTCACAAGGAGCGCCACTTATTGAAATATTCACAACACTGAATCCTACCTAATTTTTAAGAGGGAAAAATATTTTCATTTTTATTTAATTTTTACTCATTTTTTTAAACCTTACTTCTCCATTATTATAAACAGCAAAGGAACGTCTAACAGTTAATGTTGTAGGCATTCTATGCAACTGACGTCGAGGATTAGCACAATCATCCAAATGTTTTGGTTCAAGTTCAAATAGTAAAGGTTGTGAATTTGCAGATTTATCGTCAATAGCCATATTTCTTTAGGAAAAATTAATTTTTTAATTAAGAAAGAAAGAAAATTGTGTGTTACATTCGCGCTCCACGTCCATAGAGAATAATGGGTTCTGAAAATAGTTAATTTGTGATTCTGATTTTTTAAATTAATTTTGATTTTTAATTAATTCTGATTTTTTTATTTTTAACGATATATTACAACTTTCCGGAAGGAAATAAAAATCAGAATTTGCAATTTTTCCGGAAACTAACAAAATGTTTTTACAATTGTAAATAGAACTTTCCGGAAAGACTCAAAATTAATTCTGATTTTTACAATTATTGAATATTCACAACTTTTCCGTAAACAAAAACAATTATTTTACAATTGTAGATTATTTACAATTCATAAACATTTCCGGAAATTAACTTTTTTTTCCGGAAAATTGTAATTTCAGTAGCAAAAATGTTTTTACAATTTATTCTTTCCGGAAATAAAAGTTGAAAAGAATTAAATATATTTTTACAATTGTAAATAGAACTTTCCGGAAAAATAAAATTAATGTAAATAGAATAATTACAAATTTAAACTTTTCCGGAAAGAAAACTAGAACAAAATTAATTCTGGATTGTAAATAGAACTTTCCGGAAAAATAAAATTAATGTAAATAGAATATTTAAATTCATATTCTTTCCGGAAATTAAAACAAACATTAATTCTGATTTTTACAATTGTAAATAGAACTTTTACATATTCCAACCTCTTCCGGAAAACTTTCAAAATTAATTTATAAAATAAAAACCCCTACCTATAACAGTAAGATTGTTTCTTATAATCATCATAGAAGACCGAAGAGAATAATCTGAAGGTAGGAAGCCAATACGAACACGGGCACTCATTCCAGGGCGAAGCAGCATAGTTAAAGTAAATCGAGGAACTGGACCTAAAAATATTTTTTGAAAATTTTTTTTAATTAAGAGACACCTTCAATAATTTTTTCAACTTCTTCACGAAGCTTTGGAGTCTAAAAATAAAATAAAAAAAATTTTATAAAAAATTCCTCTTTAAATTTTACCGGACTTCCAGGTCTAAGAGTAAACAATTCTGTATCACGCAATGAAAACATTAATGTTTCATTCAATTCTATAGGATTAATTAATGGTGGTATTGACAATTCATCACTTAAAATATCGAGTAAACTATCAGAATCAGGATAAATAACCAAAGGAAGTATTTGTATTATTATTGGTGACTAAAAATATTAATGAGGGTTTTTACAATTGTAATAAAACAGAAATTTATAATTTTCCGGAAAGAAAAAGAAAATCAGAATTTATCGGAATTAAGAGGGAAAAAATTTGTAATCTGTAGAATTGTTTGTAAAATCAGAATTTGTAATTTTCAGGAAATAATTTTTCGGATTGTAAAATTCTGATTTTCGGTTAAACAATAAATTACAATTGTAAAAATTACAATTTTCCGGAAAAAGAAAATCAGAATTTTACAACTTTCCGGAACAAAATTCTGATATATTTTAGGATTGTAAATTTCTGATTTTAAATATGAAATAAACTTTCCGGAAAGAATTTTAATGAACATTTTATTGTAGTAGAGGAACAGAATTTGTAATTTGTGAAATTATTTGTAAAATCAGAAATTGTAATTTTTAGAAAAGAAGTATACAATTTCTGATTTTCCTCTTTCCGGAAATTGTAAATTACTCTGAAAATTGTAATTCTGAAATCAGAATTTGTAATTTTATTGAAGGAAATGGAGTTACAATTTTCCGGAAAGAGATGAAATCAGAATTTGTAATTTCCGGAAAGAAAAAAATAAATTACAATTCTTGAAAGTGCAGGAAATAGAAAATTCTGATTATTTTTCGGATTGTAAATTCTGATTTTTGGTTGAGTAAAAAATTATAATTGTAGAATTACAATTTTCCGAAAAAAGATAAAATCAGAATTTGTAATTTCCGGAAATAATTTAAAATTATTAATACCTTCCGGAAAATAAATATAAAATCAGAATTTGTAATTTGTAAAATTATTTGTAAAATCAGAATTGTATTTTACAGAAAAATCTGAATTTACAACCTTCCGGAAATAATTTACAATTACAATAAGAATTACAATAAAATTTTCAATAAATATGAACTCTTACCGTTGTTGGATTTGATATTGTCAAATTAACAATACTAAAATTACCAACTGCAGTTAATGGAAAATGGACAGTTGGATTACTAAATAATTTAGGCCAAATCTGCCAAAAATTTAAATTTTTTTTTAATTAAAAAAAAATTTTTTTTTACAAGGTTTGCTTCTATAGGAATTTCAAATCCTTTAATTTTGTCAGTATCCACTTTTACTGTTGTTTGTATTTTCTTTCCTTCTAAAGCTAGCCATTTACGTCTCAATCTTGAGAATAAATAATGATCAATTTCTGCCAAGTTTTGAGGGAGTTTCATTCCATAAGAGAACCATTGTCCATCAGGGGAATTTAAAGGGATTCCTAAAAATGAGATATTAGAGTTTTTATTAGACATCAGAAAATTGTAAAATTTAAAAATTGTAAATCTTTGTTACTTTCTTTCTAGGAAATTACAAATTCTGATTTTATAATTATTTTCCGGAAAGAAGTTTAAATTTTCAAGTAAATAATTTACAAATTGTAAAAACATTTTTTCCAGTAAATTTTCCCTTCAGGAAAAGAAAAATGCAATTTTACACTTTTCCGGAAAAAAAATTTACATTTGTAAATTCTGATTTTTTATTGTTTTTCCAGAAAATTACAAATTCTGTTTTTAAATAATTGTTGGTTATTTCCTTTCCGGAAGATTACGAATTCTTTTTATTTTTTCCGGAAAAAAATCTGAAATTTGTAATTATTTCCGGAAAATTACAAAATTACAAATTCTGATTTTTACAAATTACAAAATTACAAATTCTGATTTTTACAAATTGTAAAATTTCAAATTCTGATTTTTACAAATTACAAAATTACAAATTCTGATTTTTACAAATTACAAAATTACAAATTCTGATTTTTACAAATTACAAAATTACAAATTCTGATTTTTACAAATTACAAAATTACAAATTCTGATTTTTACAAATTGTAAAATTTCAAATTCTGATTTTTACAAATTACAAAATTACAAATTCTGATTTTTACAAATTACAAAATTACAAATTCTGATTTTTACAAATTACAAAATTACAAATTCTGATTTTTACAAATTACAAAATTACAAATTCTGATTTTTACAAATTACAAAATTACAAATTCTGATTTTTACAAATTGTAAAATTTCAAATTCTGATTTTTACAAATTACAAAATTACAAATTCTGATTTTTACAAATTACAAAATTACAAATTCTGATTTTTACAAATTGTAAAATTTCAAATTCTGATTTTTACAAATTACAAAATTACAAATTCTGATTTTTACAAATTACAAAATTACAAATTCTGATTTTTACAAATTACAAAATTACAAATTCTGATTTTTACAAATTACAAAATTACAAATTCTGATTTTTACAAATTACAAAATTACAAATTCTGATTTTTACAAATTGTAAAATTTCAAATTCTGATTTTTACAAATTACAAAATTACAAATTCTGATTTTTACAAATTACAAAATTACAAATTCTGATTTTTACAAATTACAAAATTACAAATTCTGATTTTTACAAATTACAAAATTACAAATTCTGATTTTTACAAATTGTAAAATTTCAAATTCTGATTTTTACAAATTACAAAATTACAAATTCTGATTTTTACAAATTACAAAATTACAAATTCTGATTTTTACAAATTACAAAATTACAAATTCTGATTTTTACAAATTACAAAATTACAAATTCTGATTTTTACAAATTGTAAAATTTCAAAATAATTTCCTACCCAAATAACAATCTTGTGGACAAGAAGCTTCTGGAACAAAACTTATGTTTGCCAAATTTTTAGCTATCCAAGGTTTAAGTTTAGAATTGTGAATAAAAGTTTTGTTGACCATCGACAAGGAAAAACGAGGATCTTTATTTAGGAATGAAACGCGAAGAATTTGAAGAGGCAAAGTAGTGCTCATAAGCTGAAAAAAAGAAATAAAGGTAATTGTAAATTCTGATTTTATTTTTTTTCAGGAAAATTACAAATTCTGAGTTTGTAATTATTTTCCGGAAAATTGTAAATTTGGGTTCCTATTTCTTTCAGGAAAATTATAAAATCAGAACAATTAATTTTTACAAACTTTTCCAGAAAGGATTTTTTTTTAATTTTGGTTTTGTAATTCTTTTCCGGAAAATTGTTAAATTTTTTCTGATTCCTTCCGGAATTGTAAATATTCTAATTTTCTTTCCGGAAAACAATAAATTAGTTTTTATATATTTTCCGGAAAATTGTAAATTCTGGTTTTAAAGAATTTTAATTCCAGATTTATTTCCTTCCGGAATTGTAAAATTATTTTTGGTTATTTTTTTCCGGAAAGTTGTAATTGTAAGTTCTCATTTTCTTTCCGGAACCGATAAACTCTTTTTATATAGTTTCTGGAAAAGTGCAAATTCTGATTTCAAAAATATTTTCCGGAAAAGTAAAATTCTGATTTTTATTTGTTTTCCGGAAAGTTGTAATTGTAAATTCACATTTTCTTTCCGGAAACTTATTTATTTTTCAGGAAAATTACAAATTCTGATTTTACAAATAATTCTATAAATCCGGAAAATTGTAATTTCTTCCGGAAAATTACAAATTCTGATTTTACAAATAATTCTACAAATCCGGAAAATTGTAATTTCTTCCGGAAAAGTGCAAATTCTGATTTTGAAATTGTTTTCCGGAATATTAAAATTCTGATTTTTATTTATTTTCCGAAAAGTTGTTTCCACAAGACATTATTCTTTCCGGAAAGTTTTAAAAAAATAAAAAACTTACAATTAACGATTTAATATAAACACCCCCAACAAAACCTTCATTAAACACAATTTTATTTGGTATACTATAAAGTGAAGTTGAATTTGTAATTTCAAAATAAATAGAAAATTTGTATAAAGAAAATGTTGTTTGAATAAAAAATAAATTTTTTTCTTCTGAAGAAGGATTAGTTGATTTTTCAAAATTAGTACATTGTTGTTGTAAACAGTTAAAATTTAGGGTTAATTTAAATAGAGCAGAAGAATTTGAAGGAATTAAAAAATTAGAAGGCTTAAAAAAAATTATATTTCTCATTTAATTTTTAAATTTAATTTTTAATACAGTCAAAGCCCTCAGAGTTTATACTCCCAAAATTAGGTAAATATTAATTTTTTAAAGAAGCATTTTTTTCCTAAATTAAGCAGAGGTGGGGGTCGGAACAGTCAAAGGTGTCTGAAGTCAAAAAATTCCAACCCACCACTGGTCTCTAAGTGGGGAATTCATCCTAAGCGACACCCCTTTATTTAAGGTTGATAACCGGTTAATTTCCGCCTGTGGCGGTTCCAATGGGGAATTTTAAAGGCATTTGAGCCGCTACATGAGCTAATTAACCCGGACACCAAAAAAACTAAAAAAAATATATTTTTAATAATTTAAAATTAAAATGGTACATTTTTGATTTGTTGTTTTGGCATTTTTTTATTGTTAGAATGTTGAGATTCAAAAGTTAAATTAGTAAATTCAATAAATTGTAAAGTTATAAAATTGTTCAAATTTATTGGAAAATTGAATTTAAGCACTTCAATAGGAATTGGGTTTGGGTTAAATAAAGTAAACTTGAAAAAAGGGAAAAAATTAATTTTTGAGAAAAAATTATCTAAAAAAATAAATTAGGATGGAAAGATCCGGACCCAAAAAAAATAATCAAAAAAAAAAAGAATCTCCGAACTTCTTACCAAAATCTTCCGTTAAAATACAAACCAGGGATCGTACCAAGATAAAAACAAAATTCCCGATTTTGGCAATCGGGAATTCCCAACCAGAGCTGATGAAAATGAAATTTTGCCCACAACGAAACGAAAACGAAAAAAAGGTAAAAAAAATTTCAAACGAAAACGAAAATCATAAAAAATCCATGAAAATAACAAAAAACAAAACGAAACAAAAATTTTCGTGCAGCTCTGATCCCAACTCAAAAATTGTCTGGAATTCCCGATTTTGGCAATCGGGAATTTTGTAGGTGCAATCCCTAATACAAACAGTATTTTTTTTCCTAGTGAGGAATTCCTTGTGTGTTGAAACTCTCCTCCCCCAATCCCGAAACACACTCTCTAGTCACAAGACAACTACTTTTAAAAAATTAGGATCCGGAAAGTAAGAAAAATTTTCGAGTATTTCCCAGTCCTCCCAACCTTCAAATTAAAATTTTAAAAAATTTTAATTAAAAAAAAATACCAAAATAGAACGATTCTCTCCCTTTTTTAAAAGACCAAAATTAAAAATATTTTGCTCAATAGAATGTAAAGTGATCTGAAATTTATATTTAAAATTAATTTTTACTAAAATTAAAAAAATACTAACATTTATTTCTCCATCAAATATATACAAAGGCAATTGAAAATTTGTGAGATTTGTGTTGATAATAATATGCGATGAAGAAAGGTTAGTTGGTGAAGGAATGGAATTTTTAAATAAAATTTTTAGAGAAGGCAAAGATTGGCCGGGAGAAATTATTATAGGCGATTCGATAAGAAAAATCTGTAAAAAATTTTTAAATTAAAAAAATTAAAGTTCGACCACAGGCTGGGCCAGGGAAAAGGGTATCAGGGCCGGGTAGCCTGGAAACCGAGTATTTTGATAGAATCCGATTATTCCGGTTTTTGTGGTTTCGTTGATTAAAATAGAAACTATAGTCGAGATGGGACTGTACCAAGGCCTGAGTTTTTCATGGACCCAGAGTCCAGGCCCAAGCATTTTTTGACCTTCCTCGGTTTTTCCTGGGCCTGGGTTATTTCTGGACTATAGGCTCAGGATTCGGCCCAGGTCAATAAATCAAACCCAGAATCCAGAACCGGCCCAGGCATTTCAAAAACCTCGATCCTCTAATGAAAAACCCAGGTCCGGGCAGAAAAAATTTAAAAATTTTTACAAACCTCAAAATAATCTTTTCCATTTTCTTCAATTTCAGCTCCAAAAATAGCCAAAGGAAAAGGGCATGTATTAGTTAAAATTATTTCACGTCTCCGAAAAGGTTTTAAATTTTTATGGAAAGACAATTCATTTAAATTGTATTCAAGTTCACTGAAAAAAAATTTTTAAAAATTAAAAAAATTTCAAAAAATTCCAAAAAAAAAATTCTAAAAAAAAATTTTTTTGACTTGCAAAAAAATTAAAAAGATCCAAAAAAAATTTCAGAAATTTTTTTTACATTTTTCAAAAATTTCAAAAAAAAATTCAGAAAAATTTTTCTCAAAAGAATTTCCAAAAATTTTTTTTTATTAACTATACCCTTCATAAAGTTGAGCGATAAAAGGCACTGTAACATTAAAATTTCCTCCTCTACTTACAGCCATTATTTTTCCTTGTTTTTTAAAAATACGGCCAATTTTTGTTTTGGTTGTTGAATTATTATTTTTGTGAGTAATTTTGTCGTCAATAAATGTATCAATATTTATGTTAGCAATGTCTATTAAGCCTGTAAAAGGAAGGTAAAAAAATAAATTTGAAGCGGAATTTTTAGTAAAATAAAAAATCAAAATTTAAAAAATAAATCAAAAATCAGAATTTTTGAAAAATCAGAATTCTGATTTTTTTCAGAAAATTGAATTTGTTTTCTGATTCTTTCTATGGAAATTCTGATTTTTTCTGCTGATTTTTTCTCCAAAAATCCTGATTTTCTGATGTCTATTAAGCCTGAAAAATGAAGGGGAAAAATAAATTTAGAATCAGAATTTTTAGTAAAATAAAAATCAGAATTTTCTGAAAATAAAATCAGAAAAAATCAGAAGTTCAAAATCAGAATTCTGATTTTTTCAAAAAATTCTGATTGTTTTCTCAGTTAATTCTGATACTTTTTCTGATTATTTTCTTCGAAAATTCTCATTTTATAATATTTATTAGGCTTGAAAATAATGGGGAAACTAAATAAACTTGAAACAGAATTTTATTAAAATAAAAATCAGAATTAATTTGTCAAAATAAATTAAATTTAATTCAGAAAATAAATAAAAAGAAAAATAAACTTGGCAGAAAATCAGAATATTTTAAAAAATAACTAAAAGAAAATCAGAATTTAAAATTCTGATTTTCTTTTCCAAAAAATTCTGTCATTTTTCTGATTTTTTCACCGAAAATTCTGATTTTTTTTTATCCTTTTCCTATAGAATTCTGATTTTTTATTAATTTTCAGAATTTAATAGAATAAAAATCAGAATTTAAATTCTGATCTTTTATCCTTTTCCTATAGAATTCTGATTTTTTATTAATTTTCAGAATTTAATAGAATAAAAATCAGAATTTAAATTCTGATCTTTTATCCTTTTCCTATAGAATTCTGATTTTTTATTAATTTTCAGAATTTAATAGAATAAAAATCAGAATTTAAATTCTGATCTTTTATCCTTTTCCTATAGAATTCTGATTTTTTATTAATTTTCAGAATTTAATAGAATAAAAATCAGAATTTAAATTCTGATTTTTTTATATCCTTTTCCTATAGAATTCTGATTTTTTATTAATTTTCAGAATTTAATAGAATAAAAATCAGAATTTAAATTCTGATCTTTTATCCTTTTCCTATAGAATTCTGATTTTTTATTAATTTTCAGAATTTAATAGAATAAAAATCAGAATTTAAATTCTGATTTTTTTATATCCTTTTCCTATAGAATTCTGATTTTTTATTAATTTTCAGAATTTAATAGAATAAAAATCAGAATTTAAATTCTGATCTTTTATCCTTTTCCTATAGAATTCTGATTTTTTATTAATTTTCAGAATTTAATAGAATAAAAATCAGAATTTAAATTCTGATTTTTTTATATCCTTTTCCTATAGAATTCTGATTTTTTATTAATTTTCAGAATTTAATAGAATAAAAATCAGAATTTAAATTCTGATTTTTTTATATCCTTTTCCTATAGAATTCTGATTTTTTATTAATTTTCAGAATTTAATAGAATAAAAATCAGAATTTAAATTCTGATTTTTTTATATCCTTTTCCTATAGAATTCTGATTTTTTATTAATTTTCAGAATTTAATAGAATAAAAATCAGAATTTAAATTCTGATCTTTTATCCTTTTCCTATAGAATTCTGATTTTTTATTAATTTTCAGAATTTAATAGAATAAAAATCAGAATTTAAATTCTGATCTTTTATCCTTTTCCTATAAAATTCTGATTTTTTATTAATTTTCAGAATTTAATAGAATAAAAATCAGAATTTAAATTCTGATTTTTTTATATCCTTTTCCTATAGAATTCTGATTTTTTATTAATTTTCAGAATTTAATAGAATAAAAATCAGAATTTAAATTCTGATCTTTTATCCTTTTCCTATAGAATTCTGATTTTTTATTAATTTTCAGAATTTAATAGAATAAAAATCAGAATTTAAATTCTGATTTTTTTATATCCTTTTCCTATAGAATTCTGATTTTTTATTAATTTTCAGAATTTAATAGAATAAAAATCAGAATTTAAATTCTGATCTTTTATCCTTTTCCTATAAAATTCTGATTTTTATTTATTTTCAGAATTTAATAGAATAAAAATCAGAATTTAAATTCTGATTTTTTTATATCCTTTTCCTATAGAATTCTGATTTTTTATTAATTTTCAGAATTTAATAGAATAAAAATCAGAATTTAAATTCTGATTTTTTATTTATTTTCAGAATTTAGTACAAACAAAATCAGAATTTAAAATTCTGATTTTAATTCAATAAAAACAAACCTGGTTGTTGTCCACGCGTTGCCGACTTCAACGATATTGGAGGATGTGTTTCATATTGAATATAAATCATTTTTGATTTGTCAGAATAAATTGAATCAATTTCTACACTTTTTTCTAATGTGGAAAACACAGTTAATTTGAGTGGAGACAAAAATTGTTTTCCTGCTTTTACAAGACCAAAATCTAATAAATTTGTTGTTGAAAAGAGATCACGTCGAAGAGTAACCTTTTTAAAATTAATTAAAAATCAGAATTTAAAGAAAAAATAAATAAAAATCAGAACTTGTAAAAATCAGAATTTCCTCGGAATAAATAAAAATCAGAATTTGTAAAAATCAGAAATTGTAAAAATTTACAAAAATAAACTTAAAATCAGAATTTCCTCGTAATAAATAAGAATCAGAATTTGTAAAAAAATTTTACTTGAAAAACCAGAATTTTACAAAAACAAACTTGAATAAATTAAAACCAGAATTAAAATAAACTTGAAATTACAAATTGAAAAAAAAAATAAATTTGTAATTTTAATTAAATCAGAAATTATAAAAATAAACTTGAAAATCAGAATTTTCTTCTGTTAGTTTTGTAAAATTCTGATTTTCAAGTTTGTAAATTATTTTTTACAATTTCTGATTTAATTAAAATTACAAATTTCTTTTTACAATTTCAATTTTATTTTTATTCTGATTTTATTTTCAAAAATTTCAGAAGCAATTAAAAATATTAAATTCTGATTTTTGTAAATTCTGATTTTCAAGTTTATTTTTGAGAAATTCTGATTTTTACTATATTTATTTATTCTGTAAATTCTTAGAAATCAGAATTTCCCCCAAAATAAAATTTAGAAATTTAATTAAACTTGAAAATTACAAATTGTAAAAAATCAGAAATTAAAAAACCTGTGTTTCAACCGGAATTGTAATTAAACCTATTTTTGACTTGTAAAATGAGCGTCTCTCATTTTCATCATTAACCTCTTCCAACAGAGAATATTTAATAAAAATAAATGAAGTTGTGTTTCGTTCAACGTTTCCAATAATTTTTGCTACAGCTATTTTTCTTGTTTCAAAAGACAGTAAAATCTAAATAAAAAATAGTTGCATTTCCGTTAAATGTCCGCAAATTTTTCCAGAGGATTCAGAGAGGATTCACTTTTGTTCTGAATCATTGACTAGGAAAGGTTGCGAGGTGTCCGACCCATATCTTGGCCAGATCAAAAAACGGGCAAAAACGCCTCAAAATCCCTTCTAGAAAGGGCACATTCTCTATCGAATGAGCCCGGTCTAGACCGTTTTTAGGTCGGACACCTCGCAACCTTCCCTAGTGAATCATGTTGATTTTAGTGTGATTCGAATCAGATCGGTGACAAGATCATTACAATGTGTAATATACTTTTTGACCGCAAAATTACCTAATCTTTGTCCTTTTTATGGTTTTTTTAAATTTTCGGGGACATAAATCTCACAATCAGCCCGCATGCATTTCCACAACTAGAAAAGTGCTACTATTCGACTTAGACTGACGAAACAAAAGAATATAGATCGAATGAGTTTGGGTAAAGTAATAGTACAACCGACGAATTTGCACGCATATAACGGAAAAATACCAAAAATATTCTAAAAAATTTTTAATTTACCGATTTTATTGAATTATTTGATTTAATTAAAAATTCTGTTGGAAACTCTAATTGAATATTACAATCACTAGAAAATATTTCCAAAATTCGAAGAGTTGTAAAATGTGGATTATGCAATTGAATTGGTGTTGAGAATGTTGAATTTATTGGTAAACGAATATTTGAAAGAGGTCTGAAAAAAATAAATTTTAATACTAAAATTAAGAGTAATATTAAGAGACAAGCACGTAGCCAAGGGAAGAAGGACATTTTCAAGATTGATCCCCCTCCCTTCGAGAATTTCCGGGTTACGTGCCGTACCAAGGTCTGTGTGTTCCACATTTTTCCTTTTTCTTAGGTTAAATCTTCATAATAAAACGATGATTTGAGTACAATCATGGGAAACGAAACTGCTATAAAAAAGAGAGCAAAGAAAGGGGTGAATTGAGAAAGTCGGGTCGGATTGTAAAAAAGTTTAGGTTTTGGGTAACCCGGCCCATCCATGGTGTAGAACTAAAAGGAAAATATTTTTGGATGGTTTTGGAAGGGAAAAATAGGACACCGGCTCGTGAAGAAGAAGGGTATTTTCTGAGCTAGCTCAATGAGCCCACCCAGCACCTTAAGACGGGCACGTAGCTATGGGAAGACGGACTACTCGGAATAGTTGAACTTAAATAAAAAATCAAAAAATCCATACTTTATTCTATAAACATTCCCACTGAGTTGGCCACGCACTTTATGAACAAAAACGCCAATAGAAGTAAACAAAGACAAAATTTCTTCTTTTAAAGGAGGCTCTTCTGATGTAGGCAAAAAATAAATGTGAAAAGAAATGCGTTGTTTGGGCATTAAATTCTAATTAAAAAATAAATTTTAATTAAATAAATTAAAAAAAGAAACCTTTTCAAACGAAGAAGAACAATGAAAATTAATTCCGGAACTCAAAATATTTGAAAGTACAATTTTTGAATTGCCTGGGTTTGTGATGTAAATTATTCGGTGAACAAGAACCTGTGTAAAATTAATTAAAAATTTAAAAAGAAAATCAGAATTTGTAATTAATTTTATGGTAGGAAAGAGAAATTACAATTTACGAGGATTTTGTAAATTTGTAAAAAATAATTGTAAAATCAAAATTTATAATTTTACTGCACGAAATTACAATTTTCCGGTAGGAAGAAAATCAGAAAATGTAAAATATTAAAATTACAAATTCTGACTTTCTTTCCGCAAATTGTAATTCTGATTTTCTTTTATTAAATCAGAATTTGTAATTTTACGGGAGGGAGTAAAAATTACAAATTCTGATTTTTTTACAAAATCAGAATTTGTAGTTACAATTTCCGGAAAAATAAATAAAAAATCAGAATTACAAATTGCAACTTTCCGGAAAATCAGAATTTGTAAATGTCATGAAATTACTTATTATCATTTCCCGCCCCCAATTTTGTCAATAAAAGGGGAGAGGACCCAGGCCAAACGCTCTCAGTTTTGGATCTTGTTTTTGGCCGGGTCCTCTCCCCGACCGGCGCATTTCTTTTTGTATTTTATTTATTTAAATTAATAAACGTTTTAAAGGAGAGGTTTTTGTTTAATTAACCGGGCGGACGCGCTCCGTTGATTGGGTTCGCCCAATCAACGGAGCCCAACGTCCGGCCCTGCCCAAAAATATATTATGGTGCTCCCAGGGCGGTTTTGCTCAACTTCCGCCCAAATTTTTTCTTTCTTGTGTTTTGTGTATAAAAATTTTTTTTATTGGCAGTCATCAATCAAAAATTTACTTTTTCCATCCAATTTACTTTAAATAATTTTTCTTAATTATCGCAAAAAAACGAGTTAACCTAAATTTTAAACTAAAACGCCCAAAAATTACACTTCTTTATAAATAGTTTATCTGCACAATTTTTTTCATTTTTTGCAAACATAATTTTTTTAAATATTTTCTCTCCCTTATTGCGCACATAATTTTCTTCGTGCCCCGTCTTATACCCATCCAGGATTCCAGTCATCGCGTATTTACTCGTGAGCTTCCTCAGAGTTTCCCAAGTCCTCTAATCATTCGTATTACCCAATATCTCCATCTACCGTAGACAAAGAAAAAGCCTGTGTTAGCTTAACAATATTTATTCGAAACAACCATTTTACAAATTAAAATTTTTAAAAGGACGGCGGATCATAGGAAAGTCTTCTTGAGGCTTCTTCCGCATTTCCCTCATCTTTATCCCAACCAGAAATAAGGTCAGAAAGGCCGAAAAGATTGTCACGCCAAAAATGAGGGGGGACCAAAATTCCTTTCCAGGTGGAGGTGCCTCAAAGAGTCGAGGAGCCTGAAGAGCACAAAATGTTGGTTCCTCCCAATCCGCAATACCAAAACAGTAGAGGGAGCAGTTGTGATAGGGCATGCAGGTTCTTGAAGTAAAAGTGACCTCAGCGAGTCCTAAGAAACCGAAATTAAGAAATAAGGTCCCGATTCATTCATTGGCCACTCAGGAGTCTTAGTCGGCCGCTAAACTTTTGAGTCCCGTTCTGGGCATTTTGCTAGCAATTTCTTTAAATTTAAGGGCCAATTGGAAAGTTTGGGACGGAATAAAAAGATTTTGGGAAAAAAAAATACTTGCGAGGTTAATTTTAATTCAAAGAAGTTTTCGTCGTCAAAATTTCGGAGTTTGCGGATCTGGAGTCAGAGGGATTTGACACAGCCACAGAGGATTTGGAATCAAAAACACCAAGGGAGGCACGTTATAAAAGGAATCAACAAAGAAAGGCGGAAATGGCAATCGAACTCGAGGGGATCAAGACAAAAATGAGGAGCATTGAGGACATAAACACGGAGAGAGGAGCCTCGGGACTACCTTATCCTAGCTTTTTCAACGGCACAGAGGACTTTTTAACCTATTTGAAGAGGTTCAATAGGGTAGCTACGGCACACGGTTGGCAACCCCCTAGGTGTTGCCAAATATTACCAATATATTTGCGGGGGTCGGCGCTGGCAATTTATGAAGGAATGCCGGAGGAGGAAAAAACGTCCTGGAGGGCTTTGACGGATGGACTAGCTGACCGGCTAAAAAAGGTCTCAACTCGGGAGATGGCAAGGCTAAAAATGATGGAGCGATATCAAAAGCCGGGGGAGTCAGTTGAGGAGTTTGCTCAGGCCCTTAGGTGCTTGGTGGAGCGCGCATATCCGGACTCCTCGCTGGAAGTGGACCTCTCGGGACTGGCACTAAATCCAGACATACGGACTAATGTGAAAGGCCAGCATGAGGAGATGGCAAGGAAATTTAGGGACGAGCAGTGCCGCGATCGGTTTCGGGCGGGGTTGATACCCGAAATCCGAGAAAAAGTGATATTTATGGAGGACCCTGGGACCTTGTCAGAGGCGATTTCACAAGCTAGACGGGTGGAAGAATTGACTGGAGCGATTAAAGAGGACGTTTGGAGGAGGACTAAGGAAATAGAAGTTAAAGCGACGCTGGCGGAAGTCAATGAAATAAGGGCAAATAGAAACCAGGAAAATTGGAAGGGAAGAGAAGGAAATAATTATCAGAATCAAACCCAAGATTTTCGACAGTACTCAAATAGAGGAAATCAATGGGGACAGAGAGGAAATACAGGATGGAACCGAGGAGCTCAAAATCGTTGGCAATCCGGGAACCAGTCTTACCGGGACAATGAAAATTCTAGAAATAATTACCAAAGGGGACGAGGATGGAATAGGAACCCTAATATGATTGACGTACCAAGTTTTCGAGGAAGAGGGACAAGAGGAAGAGGATCGAGTTTTGCCCGGGGTGCCCGCATAAACGAAGTAACCTTTCCCTATATATGTCTGTTTGCCGTCATATTTCTGCCCATAATACAATGCCAATTTCAAATATGCCCTGAAAATTACCCTGAGGGGAGTGGGACTATCATGGATTTTCCAGAAGAGCACAACTGTACGATACCAATGGAGGAAGCACCCAAATTATCGAAAATCAATATTTATGTCCCAATAAGGTTGCCAAAGAAATTCCCAGTTTTTCGGTGCCATCGTTGGAATGTAAGGATGTGCACGGAGTCATATCTAGGAATTTATCGGAAGGAGAAAGATTCAAACATATTTTTTTCAAAAATTTCAAAAGAGGAATGTTGGCACACGTGGGATACTCAGTTATTGCAAAGAAGTGGAGAGAAAGCGTGGCAAACACCGAGCGACTGGCAAAAGGAGTACGCATTTTTCGGAGTAAAGTGTAAAAATGTGACGGGCATAACATTAGAGGAAGGATCGGGAGCAATTTTAGAGGGGAAAAAATTGGTGACTAGTTGGGGTGATGAATTTCTCGTTAGTAAAAAGGAAGATGAGAAAGAGGGATGGACAAAAACAGTAGAGTTTGAAGAAATATTGATGTGGAAAATACCCGACCCCACTTATTGGAATACACATTTTCGCGTAGGACCGGTAGGCGCAGAAATATGGGCACCAAAGGCGATTGTTGTCGATGAATTAAAATATTCCTTTATCTATCACACAAACAGTGCCCACCCCGAAAATTTACATGGACTCCCAGAAACAGCCATTCGAATGGAAAATGATGTGTTTATTGAAATAATAGAGGAAAATGAAGAAAATAGTACTAGAGTAAAAAGACAGGCAAATACTGGATTTTTAAAGAAAAATAGGAAAATGTTCGAAATAAGGACTACGCTGGAAACCACGACGCAAAGCACTAAAAGGTGGGAAACCACGATCCCTCCAACGACGAGGAGTGAAACAAGAGCGAGGTCATCAGAAGTAAAATCTACAACACCAATTTGGCGAGTAACGCCTCGGGCCCCTATTACCACGCAAAGCACGAAAAGGATAACTTTTGAAACAACCACGAGTCCAAGGACAACCAGAGGGACACCCGCAAAGCCTATAACAAGCAGGACAACCCCAAAAATTACCCAAAGAATAATTAGTAACACGAAACGGACAACGCCGGCGCAAAACTTATTTACCCAAAAATATACTGTTGGAACGACCCCCAGTCCAAGAACAACTCGTAGAATACCCGTAACACCGAGAACCACGCCTAAAAAGCCAAGTACCTCTACAATTAGGACGACAACCACTAGAAAAATAATTCCAACAATTAGGGCATCGGAAATTCAAAATAAGCCATATTTAAAAGAAAATACCCGGCTAGAACAAAAATTAACGAAAATACAAACCACCACAGAAAAGGTAACAGAAAGTGAACCGCGCTCAGAGAAAATAGTGGGGACAACGGAGGAAGGTACCACAACTTTAGTTATGAAAAGGGAAGTGACCGACAAGCCATGGATGGACCCAAAGGACGAGAACCACGCCAATTCTAGGTTAAATTATTTAGACTGGAAAACAGAACAGAGGCGGGTAGTTGAAGCCCGAGAAAAATGGATTGCAGATTGCTATAGCAGGAACAGTCAATTAGCGATTGCAAAGGCTTTAGCCAGGGAAATGCCGGAGCAGGCGGCGCGGTCTCTTTATAATCGGGACGATATAACCGCAACTCTACTAAACACTCAGGATGGGAAAATTCGTTGGCAAATAAACAGATGCCAACAGGTTAAAGCTGAGTCTGTTGAATGGAACCAAATGATAGGAAGCGAGTGCTATAAAGAGACACCAGTGATAGTAAATAAAAAGAAATATTTTCTTAAACCCGGGAGCAGAGATTTGATTTCCGCAGGCACTAAATTGAATTGTCTGAAGAAAAGAAAACTAGAAGGGGACCACAAATTAAATAACACGAAAATAGAAGAATTGAGTATAAGTAAATCATTTCAAACAAGCCCACGAATTAATAGACAAAATCCACTCATTTTCAATTTGGGAAGTATTTTTGAAACCGATCAAACAAGATTAGCTCAAAATATGCAGGACCTCACGAAAGGATTAAATAGACCCGAACTAATCTTTCCAGAAGAGGAGCTGGACGAGTATGAATTTGAACAGGAAAGGAATTCAACTAAGGGAACAGTGAAGGCCATAATTGCACACGGAAATAAGGCATTTCAGACGATGGTTGAACACGGAAATGTGATAGTTTCAAAGTCATCTGAAATACTTGAAAAGGGAAAAACCTTCTGGGAAGATCCATTCGGAATAAAGTCTACTATTAAGATGATAATAGCAGCTGTAGCAGGAGTAGCCTTATTAATCGGGGTATGTGTAATCTATTGGAAGGGCAAAATATATTTTATGCTGGTGATAAACGGAATCAGAACAGGGATAAATATAGTCACTACAATAATAAGTTGGATACAACCCAGGAGGCAAAGTCAGCGAATAACAGTGTCCGCTGTAGAAAGGAGGCAGACCCCGTCAGCACCTTTGGCAGAGGAAGCGCTCGAGGAAGAGGCCTATATCCTAGGTTACATACCGAAAGTGTGCCAGATAGGGGCCAAAAGGAGGAGATGTTACATAAACGTGAGCTTAAATGGGAAGAAAACGCGGGCACTATTTGACACAGGCGCGGATATAACTTATGTGAGCAAAAAGACAGCGGAGGCGTGTGGAATGAAAATTAATAATGGGGATTTTCCACAGGCCCAGGCAGCTAACTCAACCCCGATATGCTTAATTGGCTCTTCAAATACAGTAGTTGAAATAGGAAACTTCCGAGCACTTTTCCCCATTTTAATTTCCGAGAATGACGGTTGTCCCGGAGGCGCTATAATTGGAACGGATCTAATGGAAGAGATAAACAGACAGGACGAGGATTATACCATTGGCCTTGACTTTAAAAAGGGGGAAGTGAAGCTCGGAGGTCGGACGCTGCCCATGGTACAAGCGATAAATTTTGAATGGAAGCCAATAGCGGTACATCTGTTAAAAACACACATACTCCCGGCAATGTCGGACTCTATGGTCTGGGGAAGAATAACCAAAGGAGCCGGACCGGAAGAACAATTTCTGACAGTTGAAAGCGATCATAAATATTTTCCACTTAGAGTCGGAAAATGCTTAGTTCAACCAATGGCAAGAAGGATCGTTCCCTTGAGGTTGTTAAATTTCGGAAACTCGGAAATCGAAGTGCACGCGAATTCGAAGTTAGCGAATTTAGAACCGATCGGGAACGAACCAAAAATAGAGACGGTAATTAAGGAAAATGATCTATGTATGACAGATAAAGAATGGAAAGAGTTTAAAGAAGAGGTTGACCAAATACCCGAGGAGGCAAACTGGATAAATAGACTGCCTGATGAACCAAAAAGTAAAAAAGGAAAATCCATATTTGAGAGAATAGCGCTAGAGGGGAGCATTTTGAGTCAAGAAGGAATATCGGAATTAAAACAAATATTGGAAACAAATAAGGATGCATTTATGGAAGAGGACGGGAAAATAGGCAATTTTAGGGGAAAGACCGTACACCGAATCGACTTAATGGATGGAGCAAGACCATTACAGAATCGACCCTACAGATACCCCCTCCATTTACAAACAGAAATCGAAAGACAAATTAAAGTTTTACTAAAGCAAAATATTATTAGGCCATCGAGTTCAGCGTGGGCCTCACCGATTGTTCTTGCTAGGAAAACAGACGGAAGTTACAGATTTTGCGTAGACTATCGCCGACTAAACTCTATTACCAAAAAACAAACATACTACCTCCCTAGGATTCAGGACTTACTAGATTCTGCAATGGGTAAACAGATTTTTTCAGTTTTCGACATGTCCGCAGGCTTTCACCAAATTAGATTAGCAAAGGGACATGAGGAGAGGAGCGCTTTTATTTGCCACTGTGGACTTTTTGAATATTTACGCGTACCCTTCGGACTGTCAGGAGCCCCTACAACATTTCAAAGAGCAATGGAAGAAGTAAGGCAGGCATGTTCGAGGAGTTTTCTTGTCTATTTGGATGACTGCATTTTAGGCTCGGAGGATGAGAAGAGTCACTTGAATGACTTGGGGGCATTTTTAAAGACAATAAAAGAAGCAGGCTTAAAACTAAAACCGGAAAAGTGCAAAGTGGGGCAATCGGAAATCAGATATCTGGGGCATTTAATCTCAGCCAAAGGCATAAGAATTGATCCAAGGGACCTTGAACCTATAATGAAGTTGAAAAAACCCAATACAATTACGGAACTTAGGTCGTTGATAGGAATGCTATCCTACTTCCGGAAATTCACACCAAATTTCGCAGAGGTGATGAGTCCAATTTATGACCTGACAAAGAAGGAAAATACGCGTGAATGGGGGGAAACACACGAAAGAGCATTAAATCTAATGAAAAAATTATTAACATCAGCTCCCGTTTTGGGAGCTGTTGTTAATTTTTTTGGCGCCGCCTAAGCTAGGAAGGACATTCACAGTTGAGACGGATGCGAGCGTTACGGCCATTGCTGGGTGCCTCTTACAACAAGGGAAGGATGAAAATTGGCACCCGGTGGCATACTTTAGCCGAAAATTGAATAAGCATGAAAAGCGATACGCCGTCGTGGAATTGGAAGCCCTAGCAATAGTGGCGTCGTTAAAGAATTTCCGACCTTACTTGGAAGGTGCTGGAAAGTCTAAAGTAATAACGGACAATTCGGCGTTGACGTCTCTCTTTCGGAGAAAGGACTTGGAAGGAAGGTTAGCAAAATATCAAATCGCGATTATGGCCTACGATGTGGATATAATTTATCGACCGGGAAATAAAAACAATTTTTGCGACCATTTAAGCAGATTTATTGAAAATGAAACCCTAGAAAGCACGCCGGAAATTAACCTGATAAAACTTACAAAGAAAATTAATTCGGAGGACATGAGGATAGCCCAAAACGAGGATGAATATATAGGACGAATAAGGAAAGATTTAGCCGAAAACGGTGAAAATGAGAAATGGAGAGAGTGGGAAGGAATAGTCTTTGCGAAAGAAAAAGGTGAATTAAGAGTTCTTGTTCCGGAGAAATTAAAGAAAAGGGTGCTTGCCGAATACCATGAAGACCCATTACAGGGAGGGCACCTGGGAGAAAAGAGGACCCTTGAGAAAATTAAAAGATTAATGTTCTGGAATAAAATGAGCGAAGACGTGAGTGAATTTGTCAGAAAATGCGACCAGTGCCAGAGGAGAAAAATAATCGGGTTACACCAGAGCAAGGAACCCATCACCCCAATAGAGCCTGCGAGGAGACCGTTTCAAAGGATTCATGTTGACTTGATGGGACCGGTACCAAAAGCAAAAAGTGGCTATAAATACGTATTGATGGTCGTTGACTCATTTTCCAAAATGATGATTCCTATACCTTTGCGCGAGCAGCAGGCGGAAACAGTAATGAATGCAATAATCACGCATGTCATAACAAAATTCGGAGTTCCGGAGACCATAGTATCGGACCAAGGAACACAATTTGTAAGCACTATCTTCAAGGAGGTGGCTGAATTATTTGCGATAAAACTTAATACAACCACACCCTATCATCAGTCCGCAAATGGACAATGTGAGAGGTATAATCGGACCCTGGCGGATATGGTTGCCACGACCACGAAGGGGAAAAACTGGCCGGAAGCCCTCCCTTTACTAGCCTTCGCATATAACACTTCGTTCAATAACCAAATAGGAGAAACACCTTTCTTTGTTGCCCATGGGTACCAAGCAAGACTGCCGTCGGAAAATGCAATTAATAGAATCGAGAAAGAGGAGGAAACCTCGGGTTATGTGCAGGAACTGAAGGAGAGGATGGACGAAGTGCACAATAGGGTTAGGGCCAAACTTAATTTGAATATGGAAAAAATGAGACAACAACAGAAAACAACTAATAGTATAGATTGGAAGGAGGGAGACTGGGTATTGGCAAAAATTGAGGAAAAAACGAGTAAATTCGGAGATAAATTCCAGGGACCGTACCAGATTATTCGAATAGAAAAACCAAACCTTGTAATTGAGGACAAGGAGAGTGGATCCCAGAGAACAATACATGGAGATAAATGTAAAAGATTCCACCGCGAGGAAACCCCATGCCCGAATGAGAGTGAAGAGGAAGCTCACGAAGTAAACACTAACCCAAAGAATTGCGATAATACTGAAATGCTCCGAATAAACCGCGTCGCATTTTTTCACAATAAAAATATAAATATTTACAGATCGGATAAAGAAATTAATTATAAAATTATGACATCACAAAACATTAATGGACCAGATGAGGATTCAATTGACGTTTTACATGAGGACGAAGTGGATCCGGAAGCTATTAACAATCACAGGTGGGAAACGGCGGAGCGGAATTGGAATCCAAACCGTATGACTTGGGAAAACAAATTAATTTTGGAAAGGAAAAAGGAAAAGGCAACCGAAAAATCCCAAGAAAAGTATAGGAAAGACTATGAGGAATACATAAATAAGGAAATTAAACGAAGAAAAGGGGAAAGAGAAAAACGGCACAAGCTAAGGGACCTTATGGAACTAGAGAAAGAAAACGCAATTAAACTTTTAAAAAGGAATTTAAACAATGCTTTCAGATCCGGTCAGTCCAAGGAGCATCAGGAGGAATCACGACGCAAGCGAGAGGAGCAAGCAGTTTGGAAAAATACTGCTGCGGGGTGGCCCGCCCCAAATGACGTAAAAAGAGAGGAGAGAAGAAAAATCGAGGGGCAGATAACCAGAGAAATTTTGTTGAAATATGCTGAAAATAATTCAAAGAAAGTTAACTTGGGAGAAGGTGAAGGTTTCGTAGAAATGGGGACAATTCAATTAAGAAGGGGAGATAGCACTTACGATGAGCTGGTGAGTGAAATAATGAGAGATCCGACCATACTGATATCGCTAAGGAAAGAGGTGGAGGAAGAATGGCAGAGGAAAACCAAAAGAGATTGGGGAAGGAAGCCTGAAGGAAATTGGGGAAGTGGATATGGACGAGGACAGCGCGAATACGGAAGATCGCCAATAAGAAGCGTCAGGAATGAGCTATGCCCAACCAAAAGAATGAGGGAAGAGGAGGAAGTTAAGCCAGAAAGCAAACGCGACGAAAGGAAGAGGAAGCTAATGGAGGAGTGGAAGAAATTGGAAGAGGAGGAGAAGGAGGAAGAAAAGAAGAGGAAGGAAGAAGAGGAGAAGAAACAGAGGGAAGAAGAAGAAAGGATGAAGGAGGAAGAGGAAAGGCAAAGGAAGGAGTGTGAGAAAAAGAACTTGGAAGAGAAGTGGAGAGAGGGGGAGGAAAAGAAACAAGGGTTGGACATGCAAGAAGTTTTGTTTGAATTTGGGAAGAAATTATTCAGATTGGAAGGAAAAGCGTACCATCAATATCAGGATTTGAGAAGCTTAAGGAAGGAATGGGAAGAAAAATTAAATAATGAAGGTCGAGACAAGTGGGAGAAACAGAAAGGAAGCAAGGGAGAGGACCGTGAGTGAGGAAGGGAAAGGAATATGTGGTGATGGGATATGTAAAAAAAAAGAATATTGTTAAAGGGGAAAAATAATTCTTGGGTGATGGGATTAGTTAAAAATAATTGTTGAAAACATACAAATTTAAATGTGCCAATACACCCCCTTTTTTCCGCACCGACTAACACCCCCGGGAGAGGAAGTAAGCTTTTAGCCAATGTTTTAGTTATCCGTTAAAATCTTTCTCGGGGGTAACCCATTATATTGTTACCCCATAATATTTTATCCCCAATTATTATTATTATTTACCAAATGCGGGGGAGCCTTCGGCAACAACAACAACATGAAGCACCATAAAAAACATCAGCCAGGGGAAAAAGCGAGAAAGTACCTGAAGGAGAATTCAATTCACAATTTAAATTAAAATTACCATCGATAGGCTCAGAGGAGTTGGCAATTAAAACAGAAATTTTGGGAATGAAAGGACCAGCTTAAGAAGGGCCAAGGAATGGGAGGAACAAACAAGGACCAAAGGAACACCCACCCAAAACATTGACTAAAAACACAAAAATTAACAAAAGGGAAATCAAAAGAAGCTACAGAAAGTTGACGATTGAAATTGAACACGTGCGCCGCGCGAACAAAAATTATTAAAAATAAAACACTAGCCAAAGGAGAGAAATAGCTATAGCCCTTCCCTTTTACCCATAGAACAAAAAGCAAAAATTTGGAAATAAAAATTTTTTGGAAAAAGAACGAAAGCGGACAAAAATTATACAAAAGGAAAATAAACAAAATTTTGGGATTAAAAATAATTTAAGCGCAGGTGGAGGAATGGAATAAACAGAAACTGGAAATGGAAAATGAATAAAAATAAACAGGCGACTAGAAAAGAAAGAAGATGACTAGAAATTGAGAAGGACTAGAAGGGAGGATGTGACTAGAAGAAGGGGATTCGAGAATGACTAGAAAATAAAAAGAAAGGAAAGATAAACAGTGAAAAAGGGGAGAAGGAGAATCAAAAAGGGGATGGAAAGTTGTGCAGTAAAAAAAAAAAGGGGAGAAGCCAAAATGGGTTAAAATCAATAAAGAGGGCAGAAATGGGAAAAAAGAAAAATTAAAAGGAAAATAAAAAAAAAAAATTTTAAAATTGAAGAGAATGAAGAAAATGCAAAAAAAGATTGCTTTAATAGTATGAAAAATAACTACAAGGATCAAATGTCACAAAAATACGGAATGCCAAAAGTACGCCAAAAATACGCATAATTTTAAGAAAATGGGCGCGGATTCAAAAACACTAACCGAGCACATTTTGGGCACTTTTCTTTCATGGGATATCTAATATAACAGAAACTCCACCGATTGATATGCAATCATTGGAACGCCAGAAAATTGAAATTCAAAGATTAAGTATTGAAAAAAAAAATGGGGCTCTATCGACAGAATGCCAATCAAAAGAAATTAAACCTTCACAACACTCTTTACTTCGTCCAGATGAACCAGGAATCACCAGGAGGCCCCCCCCCGCTGTGGAATGTCATGAAATTACTTATTATCATTTCCCGCCCCCAATTTTGTCAATAAAAGGGGAGAGGACCCAGGCCAAACGCTCTCAGTTTTGGATCTTGTTTTTGGCCGGGTCCTCTCCCCGACCGGCGCATTTCTTTTTGTATTTTATTTATTTAAATTAATAAACGTTTTAAAGGAGAGGTTTTTGTTTAATTAACCGGGCGGACGCGCTCCGTTGATTGGGTTCGCCCAATCAACGGAGCCCAACGTCCGGCCCTGCCCAAAAATATATTAGTAAAATATTAAAATTACAAATTCCGGAAAAATAAATAAAAAATCAGAATTTGTAATTGTAAAAAATAGTCAACTTACCCCAAACGTTGTAATTCCAAAGTCAGTCATTTCCTCTTCAAATAATTTAATTTTTTGTTTATTATCCTTTGTAAAATCGTGGCTATCAAGCTTCTTATTTGTAACAATTGGCAACAAAATACTGTCTTGGTAAGAAATATCTTGAAAATAGTGAAGTTCTGATCCAATTTGAACAAAAGCGTGATAAACAGCGTCTGTTGAATCCTCCCCAAATGAAAGAATTTTTTTATTGTTGTCAAGGGTAGATAAATGTTCGTTGATTAAACAGAGAATGCAGCTAGATTGTAATGATAAGAAGAGAAAATAACTACGGCTAAGGCACATTTCTGAAAAGTTAAATTACAAATTGTAAAAATTGTAGCAAGTAAATTAATCAGAATAATTTGTTTTCCGGATTGTAAAATTATTCTGATTTTTGGTTAGAGAAAAATCAGAATTTATAATTTACCGGAAGAAACTGCAATTTTCCGGAATTGTAAAATTATTTGTAAAATCAGAATTTGTAATTTTCCGGATTTGTAATTACAATTTTCCGGTTGGTCAGACAAAAATCAGAAAATAAGCTTTATGAAAGAAATTACACATTTCCGGATTTGTAAAATTCCGGAAAAAAATCTGAATTGTAAAATTCTGATTTTTGGTTAGACAAAAATCAGCATTTGTAATTTTCCGGAAGAATTACAAATAATTTTACAAATTGTAATTTCTTCCGGAAAGTTGTAATCTCTTAAAAAAATCAGAAATTACAATCCAGAAAATTATTTCCTCCGGAAAATTACAAATTCTGATTTTACAAATAATTTTACAAATCCGAAAAATTGTAAAATCAGAATTTGTAATTTTCCGGAAGAAATTATTTTTCCGGATTGTAATTTCTGATTTTTGTTTAAAAAGATTACAATTGTAAAAATTATAAATAACCAGAAAAGATAAAAAAAATCAGAATTTGTAATTTCCAGAAAATATAATTCTGATTATTTTATGCTGCATCCCTCCTAATCAAATAAACAAACTAAAAATAAATGATGTATTCACGTGCATTCACAGGCACAAATATTTTGACCTTTTCCTATATTAAAAGGAATCCCGACCGTTATCAGAGTTTATCACAATTCCCGACCCTTATATTATTATTTGTTATTCACTTGTTTACCCCAATCTTGACCTGTTAATGTCCCCTATAAATACTCATCCAAAATGGTCATTCATCTTATCTTAATATCTAATTAGAAGTGTTTATGTGAGTTCTGGCCAGACTCTTGTAATTGTCCCCTTTCCCTCTTTTCGCTATGTATATATTTTTATTTGTAAATAGTTAAATGTAAATAAATAATTTAAAGAATATAATTTGAATAATCCTCGAAAGGCTTCGGAACCCAATCCCAACATTTGGTGCCACTTGTCCCGGGCAAGCCTTGTCGAGAGAAAATGCGCAAGAAATGAAAGCACATAAAAAAAAACGGAATTCCAGTAAAGTCGAAATTAGAAATAATTAAATGTGCTAAAATAAAATAAAGTGATTAAGAAATCCTCAAAAATTGAGAGCTCGAGCTTAAACTCCTTAAATGGTCTAATTGTAAGAATTTTGCAAAAAAAAAAATGGAATTTTTTTAAGAAATGAGAAAAATTTTCTCAAATTAAGAGTCTCTTCTGCAGCCTAAAAAATTAAAAGAATATTGAAATAAAAATTAGGAAAATGGAAGATAAAGTTGAATAAGTCAAAAACGAACGATAAAAGCCTAAAGAAAATAAAATTTAAAAATAAAGTTGAGCTAGAAGAATGACATGAAATCGCTTGATAAAAATTAAAAGAGATTGGTTAAAAATTATTAGTAAACCGTTTGTTTTAAATCAAAAATAAGAGAAACAATGTAGCGCCGCAGTATTTAAAAATACTCTTTGCTACCTCTGCATATCTCTTATCTAACGTAAATAAAAAGATATAATAATGAAGGCAGGTGAAGCTGGGTGCACACTCTGTCGGCTTAGTGCCAAGTACTTAATATAATGAAGAAAATCTGTACAGTAATGAAATGAATCAAGGCGGGTGCAGCTAGGTGCACACTCCGTCGGCTAGGTGCCCTGAAAAGGATATTAAGCGGGTAAAGCTGGGTGCATACGCCGCAGGCTTAAAGAGCCAAATACTCCTTGAGATAGTAGAAATATGTATCTCGAAATAAATTTTGTGAATATTGTATTGGTAATAGATTTAAAACAACTAAAACTAAAAAAAAAATATACTATTTGTGAAAATTTGTGTGAAAAAAAAATTTTTTTTCAAGCGCAGAAATTTTATTAAAAGAAATGATCAGAATGAATATAAATTTTCTTAGGCTCAATACAACGAAAACAATTGCGCAAAAATGAGAAAAAAAAAGGCATGCAAAATAATTTAAAAAAAAAGTATAGTATGAAATTGAGTAAAACAAGAAAGTATTTTTTCAAATAAACGTGTTAAAATGTTTTGTCAGTTAAACTCATCCTGCAACTAAAAACAGAGGCTATTATATAAAACAAAAGCAAAAAAAAAAATCCCTATTTAGAATTGAAAAAAAAATATAGGCCGCTCACTTAATGAAAAGACAGAATCAGAAAAAAAATAAAATAACCTTACAAAAGATAAAACAGAGAGATAAAAGAGATCAAACAGAGAATATGTATTTTTGAAAAATGAAAACCTGCTTAAAATAATAAAAAGCAAAAGAATAAAACCGTCAAAACCTACGTTTAGAAAACGTAAGACTCACGAGTATTGATACAATATTGTACTTAAATATTGTAAAACGTAGATATTGTAAAACGATGTTATAGATAAAATCTAAAAGGTTATTAGAATAATTAACTTAGCAGTTCAAAACAAGTCATTATCGCAAAAAGACCACTCACTAATGCAGAGAATGTGATAATCAAACAGCTAAAATAAAATAATACTCATAAATGCAGAGAAATGGTATTTTAAATTGAGATTTAACATAAATTTTTTTGATATGAGAGAATTTTAATAAATGAGCAATACCACAAATAACTATTGTTGCTAACTTGACAAATCAATGTGAATTCTATTAGATAAAGGAGCCCACATATTATTGTTAGGTAAAAGGATGGCATAAAACTTAAAAATTAATAAAATTCAACCCCCTGAAATATACGGCATAGTAGAGATTGGAGAGAGAATAGTACCTACTATAGGAAAAGTAGAGATTAAATTTAAAACCGCTGCTTCCGAGAAGAAAAAAGCACAAAACTCCCGCTTTATCTGATTTCAAAAAAAAACACAATTAATTAATAATGCAGGACAAAAAGAAATCTTACTATGGAAGAGCGAGAAAAATTAGAAATAGAACATGAAAAAAGGCGAGTGTAGTAAAAAAAAAATGAAAATGACAATTTTTACATTATAAATTGCTCCGACAATTTAAACAAACATTGAAATTCCGGCTATTGACGACCTTACCAAGTATCGGAAAAATATCAAGCAGAATTAAATAAACATTTGAAAATGTTAAAAATAGGAGTAATTAAAAAAAATATGAGATAAGAGAAGCAAATAAAATAGAACTAAAAGAATATATGTAGGTCTTCACCCATCCCTAAAAAAATAGGAGATTCACCGGCAAATCGAATGTTTAAAAGGGAAATGAATACCTAAATTGATAAGCTGAAACACCGGCAGGGAAAAAAATCAAATACCGTCAGAAAATAAACATTAGTCTCGCCGAGAAAAACACTAATTTGTTTTAAAATAATGAAATGCCCGAAGAAATTGTTAGTAAAATAATTCACCGGGACTTGATAAAAGCCGTCAATTTTCAACAAGTCACACGCAAAAGTCGCACATGGAGTAATATTTTTTAGAAAATTTGTTGAGAAAACCAAAAGTAAGATTTAATAAAATAACATGTAGTACATAATCCCAAAACCGAGAAAAAAGTAGAGAAAAATCCCCTGTCTTAAATTGGGAGAATCGACCGAAACATCAGAAGAAGATAACTTCCTACAACGATAAAAACATAGGCCTCTGCAGCAAAATCAACTCAGGAAGGATGAAGAAATGTTCAAAAAATCAACTAAATGGAAACAAAAAGTCTGCTCTGCAACTTGAAAACAAAAAAGGAACTCAACTAAAATCGCTGCTCTTCTACAAAGTGTTTGACTGGATTGTAATAAAACCCCTTTTAACATTTATTGCTAACTATCCAAATTTCACCTCACTTTGTTTTCCGTCTATTTACCAAAAATTTTTCTGTACTCATGTAAAACAACCCATAACCCTTTCTTTTTCAACGTAATATCCCTATAATTAATTTTTCGGAGAATTTGGCAAAAAAAAAAGCTGAAAAAAAAAAGAAACATTAAAGAAGAAAACTAAAGAATAATTCAAAGCGAATTATAGCTTTTACAATAATTAATAAAAGTATACTAGTAATTTGAAAGCCGTCGCCAAGACGAGAGACAATCAAAATAAAAATTAAAATTTTAAAGATAAAGCTTGGTCGGAGTAAAATTGTAAGGAAGTATTAAAAAAAAAACCGTCGTTCGGAATTGTACGATGAGGAAATTAAATTCTTAAATCTTGTAGAATATTAAAAAAAATATATATTACATTAATAAAATAGCCTAAATTACCCTCATTTTAAAAAAAAAAATTAAACTACAATTTTGAACGTGGACGTTCAAATAAAGGGGGAAGGAATGCTGCATCCCTCCTAATCAAATAAACAAACTAAAAATAAATGATGTATTCACGTGCATTCACAGGCACAAATATTTTGACCTTTTCCTATATTAAAAGGAATCCCGACCGTTATCAGAGTTTATCACAATTCCCGACCCTTATATTATTATTTGTTATTCACTTGTTTACCCCAATCTTGACCTGTTAATGTCCCCTATAAATACTCATCCAAAATGGTCATTCATCTTATCTTAATATCTAATTAGAAGTGTTTATGTGAGTTCTGGCCAGACTCTTGTAATTGTCCCCTTTCCCTCTTTTCGCTATGTATATATTTTTATTTGTAAATAGTTAAATGTAAATAAATAATTTAAAGAATATAATTTGAATAATCCTCGAAAGGCTTCGGAACCCAATCCCAACATTTTACAATTGTGAATTTCTGATTTTTGGTTAAACAAAGAAAAAAACTTTTAAAGAAGGAAGTTGAAATTACAATTTACAGGAAATAAGAGGAAAATTACAATTACAAATTAAATTAAGACTCTTTCAAATTTTCACGTGTGCTTAATTTAAATGACTTTTTATCCCTTATTATTTAAGAGTTAGAGAAAAATAATTAACGAGACAGTATAGATTTTAAGGAGATTTGCACAATTAGAGTAATTAAATTTTTAATTGTTAGAGAACATTTTGCCAAAGCACATTTTGCCAATAAGGGTAAAAGTTTACTTTTTGTCAACAAACTTAGTGGTGAAACGTCGATTTTTTCATTTGTTGGCAAAATATGTTATTGGTCATATGTCGGCCTTTTTTGCCTCTTGTTGCGTTGACTCACATTTTGCCAAAACACATTTTGCCAATAAGGACAAAAACTTACTTTTTGTCAACAAACTTACTGGCGAAACGTGTGTTTTTGCCGTTGTTGGCAAAATGTGGTATTGGTCATATATGGAAATCTTTTTTTGTCTTTTGTTTAACGTTTCGTGTTTCTGCTTCTGTTCGTCTTTTGCGTTCGTTTTTTTCTTTTTTTTTGTAAAATTTAACTAAATTTTTTTTCAAATTTTTAGAATAATCAATCACTCCAACTTCCCCTATGTTTCGGTTAAATTCAAATATTTTAACTTCTCTTACTCAATGTCAACAACTCGCAGTTTTGTCAATTAGAGGAATTGCTCGTATACCTCATTGGGAGTACCACATTCGATTTGACCCCAAAGTGGGAAGGAAACGACCAGCACAGGATGTTCTCGATCGTTTTAGGCGTTTAAACAATGGTTTTTTTATTATTTTTTTAAATTTTATTGTAAGGAAGGGAAGATCCGTATTTGGCCCTAGACAATTTTTTTTTGTTAAAGATGTACAAAATGGTCACTCGATCATTTGCTAACGGTTGCTTGATTATGTACTCGGTAACTTAACCTATGCTGTTTTTCTGACCTTTTTGTACATCTTTAACAAAAAATTGACTGGGAGTAGGTGGAACCCAATAAGAGCCTGGAAAACGTGGCCATGATTGGTAGAGCACCTTAGCGGAACCCCATCTTGTTACACAATCCACTCGCTCTGACGGGGACCCAGTACCCCAGTAACTGTACAAAGGAATGTTTTGCTGGGTATTTTTAACAGCCCTCCACACTTGTGCCCACAAGGAGGACCAAATTGCAATTAACTGCTAGTCACGAGCTTGGAGAATCAATGCCGATAGGGGCTAAATTTTATTAAATTTATTTTTGAGGTATGTGGATTAGAGCTAGAGCTGGACGTAATCATGCAAATTATATGAAAGAGGATTTAAACCAAATGGTTGCAATGCAATGGGAGACGTGCACCAAATCTGAGTGTCATATGCTTGATAAGGTTTTTTTTACTATTTTACCTTTTTATTTACCTTTTTCGGTTTTCTGTTGATATGAGTATAAGGGCTTATTTAATTTTTGTCAGAAATTTCGACACGTACCGGATCGGGGGGTTTATTTTGGCTTACTTTCCCTTTGTTAGGGCTTTTCCAATCTTTGCTTACTTTCCCTATCTACCACACATGGTGGCCAGAAATACCGGGATGGACATATCGGGGGGATATTTCAATGTACGGTCAGCTACTCTACCGGTTTCACGACCTCTTCGATTTATCTCCCTAACGAGGAACATGACACCTGGCTTTATAACTGAAAATCACCTTCACCCAAGCAATTTCCCAGCACTAAATTTTTTAAAAAATATTTCCATTGTCGATCAAGTGTGGAAAAGACTGCAAAAAAGCCCGTTTCTCGTTTCTTTTTTTAATAAAATTTTTACAAAAATCCCGCTTAAAAAAATAAAATTTTTAGATGATGACTCCCTTCTGGCTTCGACAACGCCACTATGTCAACGACGACCTCGAACCTTTCCACACCCGTTATGGAATTACTGGCCCCCGTGTTAACTGCAAGAAAAAATTGACTCGGGAACGGCCCAAAATTTTGTTGGATGATTTGACTTCTGATCGTTTCTTTGATAGATTGCCTGCTTCAATGACAAAATCAAAATTGGCGATAGATGCACAAAAGTCTGAGTTGCCAAAATTGTTGAGGGATGTAACTAGGAAGAGTTTGCGCCTTTTGACTGATGGAAATAAATAAATATTGGTTTAAATTAGTTTTTTTTTTGGAGGTTTTTAGGGTAGCAATCTGGGCCTTAAGGGACGACTAGTATTTTGTTTACTTGGAGGGTATCTATACAGAGTTCTTTAGGGTGTACGTGTTTCAAGTCATGGATTGTCGGGGTGGAGTAGTTGTTTAACTTTTTATGATCAGCCTAGGCCTTAATGGGAATGGACATGTTCGAGTTCTGTAGTTTTCCTGGGACGATTTGTCAGTGTTCTGGTGTAGTTTTCTTTACCCAATTTGTTGTAGAGGTTAAGGAGGCTGAAGCCGTGTTGAGAAAAAAGTTAAATCGAATCGGGTTTTAAAAATTTTCTTTGGACCAGATTTCTGGTAATCAGAGCAATTCACTAGATTAAAATAGTACCAACCGCAGCCTTAACGAATGACCATGTCGGAGTTCTGTGGCTTGTAAGAGACGGTACTCTTGGGTTTGGGTATTTTAGTGTCGAACGGTTATCCCTCAAACGTTTGTCGGGTTCTGGTTCAATGGTTTCCCCAATAAAGTTTTTCGGGGTTTTTGAGACAATTTTGCTACCTTAATTTGTTTTATTTCTTCTTCTTTTCAATAAAATTGGTTTATTCAATTTATTTTTGTTCTTTAAATGTTCCTTATACATTTTTATTTTAGCCGTGAAAATTTTTTCTTTTAATTCGATTTTTAGAAGAAATGAAGTTGCTTTCAATTATGATCCTCCACAAAAATCCGTCTCTTGGACAAACAAAACTTCTTAAAGGAGAATACGAACTTGGAAGCTTCAGTTTCTTTACTAAGCGTAATGCACAGGTTTCTATTTTTTAATTTTTGGGACTTCTTTCAGATGTCATGGACCCTTCCTCGTCTCTGGTTTAGGTCTCATCTTCATTTTTCCTTACCTTCATGCCTAACATTCTCCACAACCCAACGAATATAAGTGACAAAATGAAGTAGGAATGAATAACTGATATTTAAACTATTGAGAGAGCCCCCCTCCCTCTTGGCCCATTCAAGCTATGGGCCAAGTGGGGAAATTTTATATCCAGAACGTACCAGGTCTTGTGGGGCCAGTATAGTCAAAAATTACTTTATTACTCGATTTAAAATTAATTTTATATTTTCTAGGAATTTATGCAATTCACCGCAAAATTGGTTTCTGACCGTTCAGCCACTCCCAGTCGAAGTACAATTAAAGAAGGGGAATATTTTGTGCATTGTTTTGTAAGGCATGACAGTTTGGTGGGCGTCTGTTTGACTGATGAAGAGTTTGTTTTTTTTTAAATTTTTTGGGGCTTGATGTAGAGGGTGACATATCGGGGAAATAATTCCTTACGCATTTACTTTGGTTCTAACAATAAACATGAAAACTTTTTCCTTTGACGTGTTTGAGTTATGTAAGTTGCTTTGGGTCGTGAAACTAGTAGAGTAGTTGGTAATAATGAACCTGACAGACCCCCTTTTTTCCTCCCCAAGTTTTACTCTATAATTTTACAGAATGGTCAAACTTTTTCCTTTCTCCCATCCCTATTGCCTTTCTACAAATCCTACAATCAATTAAAAACATAACAGTTTTTCCTTGCTTCCTTCCCAATTGCCAAAAGTTGTAGAAAGGCAATTGGAATGGAAGAAAAGAAAAAGTCTGACCATTCTGGAAGAATATAAGGGAAAAACTGGGGAGGAAAAAAGGAGGTCTGTCAGGTTCAATATTACCGAGTAGTTTTTCGTACATTGAAATTTACTGGTATGTCTGCCCCAGTCCCGTATTAAGGATTTTTTTTTCATGGGAGGGCCAAGGGGAGAAATTTCAATTCGGAATGCCATTCCAAATTTAAATTTGGAATGCCCTCCTGCTTACGGGCCTGGTCTGCCGCGATATATGCCTACTCCCATATAAATATTGAAATGTTGTAATTTCAACCATAATTCCCTTGTAAATTAATTTGTTTTTTCTTCTTCAAAAATTTTAAAAAATATTTTTTTAAACAGATATCAATCTCGTGTAGCCTTTGCACTTTTAAACAAAGTTTTAGCTGACTTTTCTGATCGAATTCCTCAAAGTTCTTGGGCATTAATTCAAAGTGAGAGGGATTGTAATTATGACCAATTGCCAATGTTTCTTGCAAAATGGCAAAATCCACGGGAAGCTGATGCTCTTACTCGTGTTCAGGTTTTTCTTTTAAATTTTGGACAATCATAGGCGAAAAAATCTCACTTTTTTGCTCATCATTCTCCCAATTTTCTTTCCCGTGGCGCGAACTTTGCGGACCCGAAGTTTGCGGACCCGAAATTTGCGGAACGAAAGTTGCGGACCCGAAGGTTGCGGACCTGATTTTTGCGGAACCAAGATTTTAGGACCGACACTTGAGTAAAAGGAAAAAATTAAAAATTTTATTTTTCGATGATCCCGGCAGAGTTTACCATGATCATGAACATTGTCTGTTATTTTATGGAGAAAATTGGGAAGAGGGAGGGGGGCTATAATGAGGGTGAGGGCCCTAATCCTTAATTTACCCAATCATTCTATACTTTTTGTAAAAAAAATTTTTTTTTAAAGGATGAAGTAGAAGAAACTAAAGTTGTTTTGCACAACACAATGCAGTCAGTTTTGGAACGTGGAGAAAAACTTGATGATTTAATTAAAGCAAGTGAAAATTTGTCTGATCAAAGCAAAATGTTTTATACGCAAGCGAGGAAAATGAATAGATGCTGCAATTATGTTTAGAAAGAGACAGGGACACACAAGAGATTGAGATGAGGTTTTTTTTTTAATATCCAAAAATTTTATTTAAAGACAAAATTTATTGCCCTATCTTCAAAAAAAATTTTTTTTTGGAAAAAAAATTTTTTTTTGAGGATACAAAATTCCTTTTTCGATTTTTAAATTAATCTCTTGGGTATCTTTTTCCTATTAAATTATTTCCTAAATTTTATTGAAAACTATGAAGATAGGAATGATCAAAAATTAGAAATTTTTGGGAATATATTGGGCACATTCGGTACAGGGCTGTACGCCAAAATTTTCGTGTGATACACTAAACGCCAATTTTTCAAATTTTTAAAACACGCGAAACGCCAAAAATGATCGCCAAACGCTATGATATTCGGGTACAGCCCAAGTAGGCGCGCGGCCATAACGGCGCAAAGCCATAACTTGCTTCAAGATTTCCGAATCTTTCGAAATTTAGTATTAAACGATTCCTCTCATCGAGCTAAAGAGATTGGTACCAAAATTATTAAGTTCCGGAAATTTTCCAGCAAGTTATGGCTTTGCGCCTACATGGCCGCGCGCCCACTTGGGCGTGTCCCATGATATTCGGGTAGAGTGATTACGGACCTTGGAACTCGATAAAAAATAAACTAAAACGAAAAGGGCAATAAATTATAAATTTTGTTTCTTAAAATTCGAGATTATATGTGTGTATTTCCATTCCAGTATATACCTATTATATATATCTCCTTTTATTCTAATTGTAAGACTTTCCTCTCCATATCTTTCAAAAACGCCACAGACAATTTTATTATCTAAAAACACACTTTGACTATATATAAAAAGCATTTAGAATTCTTTTACTAGGGAGACATATCAGGGTGGTATCAGAATCCTGTCCCTGGTTCTAAGCTACAAACGGGATTTAAAGGGACTGGGCCATTAGGGCGCGAGCATATAAAACAGTGAGTTGCTTGTTAAAAAATATAAAATATTGCAATAATAACTCTCATGTCTTTATCTACGTTCTCCAAAAATTTCAGAATTTCTGATCAAGAATTTCGGAAATTGTGGCCAAAAATGTTGATTTTCCGAAAAAACCCTAATTTTTCGCGGTTTATCGACTATAACTTCAGAAATATTCGATGAAAAATTCTGAAATTTCTGGAGGAGGTAGTCAATGATGTTAAAGAAATTTGAGAAAATTTTCATAAATTTAAGTTTCGCCTAAGTGTCAGTTTCTAGTGCTGGCGCCCTAATGGCCCCGCGCCCTAATGGCCCCAACCCGATTTAAAGGTCTAATCCCGCGGGATCTTGTCCCATTCGCTTTTTAAAATAGCCGTTTTGAACTAGCCGTTTGAACTTTTTGAAATAGCCGTTTTCTGATTGCCTTGCGCTCGCCATAAGCGGGATGACAAATAATATCCAGAGCCTAATGGCCATAGATCGTGAAGCCCAAAGAGTAGCTTGTAGTACATTGAAATATCCCCCGATATGTTTAGCTTATATTTTATAAAAAAATTTTCTCGAAAATTTAAAAATAAACACAAATATTTATATTTATTTTTAAATGTAAAAAAAAAGAGTATTTTTTATACTCTTACAAAAAGTAAAAAATTAGCGATATAATTTTGAGTGTAAGGAAGAGGAGAGAGAAAAAAAGACTAGAAGAAAAAATTCTTTTTTTTTCTTGGGGAGAAAATTTCTTTAAAAATTTTTTTTTCAATTTTTCTGTGATATTTAAATATTCGGTAACATTTCTCGATTATTAGGATAATTTAAAGCAAATTCTGAAGTTTTGCCAGAAGCGCCGCCACTCCTTTTGCCATAAATTCCACCTGAATAGGGCAACATTGCTGCTGCTCGTTTTCCATAAATTCCGCCTTTAAAAATGAGGGAGAAAATTTTTTAAATGAAAAAAAATATTTCTGAATGAGTTTTTAGCTTGAAAACTCTTAAACATACAATAAATTGACAAAATAAAATAGTGGGCATCAAAGGGGTTCGAACCCTCCCCATTATAAGGGAGAAACCAAGAGCGATACCACTACACCAAAATGGGGTTTTTTTTAATTCAAAAATTTTTTGAGGTAGTTTTTAGCTTGAAAAACTTTAAAAAGTAAAGAAATAGTTAAAATAAAATAGAGGGCACCAAAAGGATTCGAACCCTTGCCGTTATAGGGGAGAAACTAGGAGTGATACCACTACACCACGAAATTTTCTTTTATAATTTTAATATTTTCTGGCCTGTGTGTAAATTTTGAGAGGAATTTTTAAAAAATTAATTTTTTGTAAAAATTTATTTCTAAAAAGTGCCTGAATACGGCAATAGGGCAGCTGCTCGTTTATCCAAAAATTCGTCCAAATCTTCATTTGTTGGAGTTAAATTTTGCATTCGAAAACGAATGTCATTTAAGCTTTTCCTCAATGCTGCGGTTGGGTAACCTTGAAATTTTTGAAAAATTGGGAGGGTCTTTTGAGTTAAAAAATTTTTTTTGAAAGTTTTTCTAACCTGCTCTAACAGTCAAAGGCCCATCAAAAATCAAAAGAAGGGCAAATAATAAATAAAATATTTTTAGAATATTTGGGCATAAAATTGGGAAAATTGTAGTATTATTAGAATGCATTTTTAGAAGAAAAATTTTTTTAGTGTTTGAAAATTAACTCTAAAAATGAGAAGAAAAAGGGTTAAATTTAAATTTTAGTTTTTAATAGGAGACAGAAAACTTGAAAGCCTACGGGTGAAGATAATTATAGGTGGGGAACCTAACCCAGCGCCAGCAGCTATAACTCTTGACTGGGTGAACTTTTTGAATTTGTCTTAGTTTCATTTAATAGAGCATTAAATTTGCTACAAAATAAATCTAAAAATGTGGGGAAAAGTCATTTTTAAAAATTTTATTTAAAAAGAAGATAGGCTTAAAAGCTTTGGGTGAGGACGTCATTAGTTACTAGCGCCATAACTATAACTATTGAACGGATAAATTTTTTCAAAAGGATCTTTATAACGTTGGATAGAGCATTAAATTTGTTACAAAAAATACAAATTGATTAAAAAAATTTTTTTCAATTTTTAATTAGGGACAAGAAACCTGCTTTATAGGGCTTTGGGGGAGGAGAACACTAGCCTAACTTCAGGCTGTAACTTTTGAACGGATGAATATTTTTTAACAAGTTTGGTGTCATTCGATAGAGCATTAAATTTGCTACAAAATACGCTAATTGAAGAAAATTTTTGTAAATTTGTTTAAAAAGTTATACTCGAAAAACCTGCTAAAACCTGACTTTTTCTTGATTTTTAGGACATAATTTTTTGTCTACCTTTCCAAAAATTTTGTTTCCTTTTTTATTTTATAGCAAATTTTCTGCTCTTTCGAATGACACCAAAATTGTTAAAAAATTTAAATTCATTCAAAAGTTATAAAGGCTAAACGCCTCCTTGGTTCTGCTCTCCCGCCTACTGTTAGGCACCCATTTAAAAAATGTAACAATTAAAAGCAAGTCGATTTTTGAGCTTTAATTTATTTTTAAGGAAGTTGGGACGTTAAAATATCCAGCTGAGGTAGTCTTTTCATTTCAAAATTATTTTTAGACTGAAATTCAAAAAAAATATTTTTAACCCCCTCCGAAGGGAACACTCCCAGACGGCCGTTCGCTCTACTTTGAGTTAAAAATAAAATTTTTATTTGGGTTTATCAACTCATTTGTGGCCAAAAAAGGGGTGAATAGATGATTTAAATAGTAAAAACATTTAATTTAGCTTTGAAAAAAAATTTTTTTTCTTGGAAAATTTAAAATAAAAGGAGACTTAATAGGGGGAAAATTAAGGGGGGAACTAAAAGGCTTATAAATTTGGGGGGAAATTAAATGGGGGGGGGGGGGATTAAATTTAATTTTAATCGTTTTTAAAATAAGCCCTGGAAACCTTTAAACTTTTTTTTGAATTCAATTTTGGAAGAAGAAAATAAATTTATTTTTTTTTTATTTTTGTGTGTGGGTGGATAAAGGAAAATAGATGAGGAAGGGAGGAATAAAAGGAGGGGAAAATTTCATTTTCTGGGTAATTCCAAAAAAAATTTTTCCTGTTGAATTAGTTAAGGGAACCGGGGGAATGATAAATAAATTTATTTGGGTTAAGCACAGAAAACTAATCTGCCATTAAAGGGTTTTGGAAGGTTTTGGATGTTTTCTACAGGAAGAACGGGTATAGAAGGAATAGCCCAGAAGGTCGACTAAAGGAAGAATATTAAGGAATTGTGGTGGTATATACAGTAGAGTTGGTCCCCGACGGGTGGAGGGGGGGGGGGTGGCCATGGGGAGAAGAGACAGTGCCACGGAGGGGGGGGGGGGTTCCTTGATTTTTCCTTGATTCAAGCTCAAGAATTTGGCCAAGGTCCTTACTTAAAATCTATACAAATCAGAGGGAATTGAAAATCTGTCCTCCGTCTTATAAAAGGATTTAGGAATTTTTTTAATTTTAAAAACACCCAAAGAAAAAATAGGGGAGGAGAAGTTAAGAGGGGAGAGGAGAAAGGTCAAAATGTGCACTCTTGAATATGTTCTTTTTTTATTTCCTCAATATTTTTTGTTCGTACATACTTTTATTTGGAAGGAAACGGAAATTGGACTATTCATTGTGTTTGGGTTTAGGGAGGTTTTTTTTAATTTTCCTTCCAGGAAGGCAAAAAAATTTTTTTTTAATTTTCTGATTTTTCAACAATAACAAAAAAAATAACAAACATTTTTAAATTGAAACTAAATTATAAAAAAAACTTGGCAACAATAATAAATAGAAAATAATAATAAATAAAAAATGAGTGTGACAACCTTTTTTGTGGGGGAGAGGTTTGGGGAGAAAAAGGGGGAAAGTAGGCATAACTGAGTATGCGGACCTCTCAAACTTGAACTGCTACAACTTTTCGTTGGATAAACTTTTTGAAACAAACTTTCTTTTATTTGATAGAGGGAAGAATTAGCTACAAAATGAAGGAAGAATTTGAATTTTAGGTTGATTAGAGACCAAGTTATGGGGAAAAATCGGAAAGTAGGCTTAAATTAAGTATGCGAACCTACCAAACTTGAACTACTACAACTTTTTGTTGGATTAAGTTTTTAAAACAAACTTTTTTTTATTTGATAGAGGAGAGGATTAGCTACAAAATGGAGGAAGAATTTTAAATTTAGATTGATTATAGGGGAAGAAGGGTTGGGGGGAATAGGCATAACTGAGTATGCGAACCTACCAAACTTGGACGGCCACAACTTTTGAATGGATAAACTTTTTGAAATTAACTTTTTTTATTTGATAGAGAAGAGGATTAGCTACAAAATGAAGTAAAAATTAAAATTCTAGGTTGAGTAGAAATTTAGTTAAGGTCAAAAAACTAACAATCACTTGACAATTTTGAGTTTCTTTAAAGTTTTTTGACCTCAACTTTTTTTGTATTTGTCTTTAGGATTAAATTTTGGGCTCATTTTGTAGCTAATTTAATTCTCTATTTAATGATATCACAACCATCTCAAAATCTTTTTCCTTTAAAAAGTTGTAGGAGTTGGCGTCAGGTTGGTTCGAATACTCGCTTAGCCAATTTTCCCTTTATTTTTTTAAAAGGTAGAAAAAAATTGAAAGGAATGGCAAAATTTCAAAATAGCGTGCCTTCTATTAAAAACATTTTTATTAAATATTTTATGCGCAAAAATGATGAGAATGGGTCATGGGGTTTAAAAAATGGCAATTTTGGCAATAAATTGGTATAGGGGAAAATTGGAGGAAAGAGGGAAAATTGGTGGAAAGTTGCCTAAATATAATTGAAAATAAATTTTTAATAAAATCTAAAATTCTGTGAAAATAGGATTAAAATAGAGGGAGTTGAGTTGAGTAAAAATTCTGTTAGAGCTCTATAAATGGAATACGAAAAAAAAACACAGGCTGATTAAAACACAGCCCCTCCCTCTTCACCAATTGTTTCCCTTTGAATGATCTTCAACTGTTCGACTGTAACGTTGAAAAAATAGGCTTCTAGTGATAAACTGTGTGAGAATTAGTGATGTGCGAAACTCTCGGTCTCCGTTCCCGAGTCGGGAAATTTCCCGGATTTTTTGAAGACTCGGTCTCGGTGTTTTACTCTCAGAAAACGAGATTCAAAAAAAAATTCGAAAAAAATTTTCCCCATCCTTTTTCGATTCTTCTTCAACCTTCCCTTCCTCCCCTAAAAAATATTTTTTTTATTTTATTTTTATTTTCCCGCCAAAAAATTTTTTTCTTTTTTTTTCAATTAAAATTTCCCCGCAACCAATTTAACTATTCCTTTAGGGCAATGACCAAAAAATTTTTTTTCAAACCCCTATCCTCTTTTTTCTTCTTTAAAATCAATTTTTTCGGCCAATGAGGATATGCCACGCGCGATATTTTGACAAACGATCAGGTTCATCTCCTCTCCCTTTGTTTTTGCCCTTTCTTCTCCCTTCCCTTCTTCTTCCCTTCTTTCCCCCTCTTCCCCCTTCCTTTCTTCCCCTCTTTCTTCCCTTCTTCCCTTTGCTTTGCTAACAACTCGCGCAATAATTTTTGCCTTTTTCTCCTTTTTCCCCCTTTTTTCCTCCTTTGCGTGAAGAAAAAAAAATTTTTTTTTCATGCAAACCTACCCCCTCCTCCCCAGTTTACCCAACACCTCCCCTCCTCCCCCCTCCCCTCTACTAACTAAACACGCCCAAAAATCAAAAAAATGTTTGCTTCTCACATAAAAAATCTTCTTGTTTTAACTGCTACTTTTATATATTAATTGCCGCCTTTTCTCCCTTTTTAAAAAAATCAACGGGAAAAAATCAACGAGAAAAATCAACGAGATCTGGGAAAAGTTGCTACAACAAGGGCGAGAGAGAGAAAAAAAAGTTTGAAAAATAGAACAAGAGAACAACAAAAACAACAAATTCTGGATATTGAACAACTTGTTGCTACAATAATTAAAACAAGTTTAAATAAACAATGTTAAACGAAGATAATTATAGAAGCAGAAAAAGAATAAAACAATCGAGATTTAGTAACAGTGTTTCTGGTTGCCTAGTTATCTTTTTTGTAAGTTAGAGAAAAAAAGAAAACATGTTTTGTTGGAATGAGAATTAAAACATTTTCAGAATTTAATTTAAACATTTTTCAGAATTAAATCTGAACATTTTATTTCATTAAAACATTTTCAGAATTTTATCAAAACTTTTTTCAGAATTTTATCTGAACATTTTTCAGAATTTTATCTGAACATTTTATTTCATTAAAACATTTTCAGAATTTTATTAAAACATTTTCAGAATTTTATTTGAACATAAAATATTTTCAGAATTTTTTCAAAACATTTACAGAATTTTGTTTCAGAATTCAATCAAAACATTTTCTAGAATTCTCCTAAAACATTTTCAGAATTTTATCAAAACATTTTCAGAATTTTATTTGAACATAAAACATTTTCAGAATTTTATTTGAACATAAAACATTTTCAGAATTTTATTTGAACATAAAACATTTTCAGAATTTTATTCAAACATTTTTTCAGTTAACTCAAATTCAACCCTCCTCAAGCACCATCAGATTATTTGCACGTTCAGTTCCTCGGGGCTACCAACCGCCTCCTACTTCCCCTTTAGGTAATTAAAAAATTTATTGAAAATCAAGTTTTAATTTAAAAGTGCTTGGCTTTTAGTGACCTTGACTTTCCCATCTATTTTTTTATTTTTAAATTTCTAGTTGAGGATGTACCAGTTATGCAATACAAGCAGTACAAACCCCCTTCTCGTTTCTCCCACCCTTCGAGTAACAATTTGCCGTCATTCAAACACCCATCGGTCGCTGGAGAAGCTAAAGAACCTTTAATGGTTAATACTTTAATACAGGTGAATTATAGGAATTAAATAATTTTTTTTTAATTTTTTGTTAGGTGTTTGGGCCAGAAAAAGGAGATGAAACTGAAACTGAGGTGAATTTTATTTAATGTTTTTATTGCTTTATTTAATGTTTGACAAAATGTTATGTTTTTATTAAATTCTGATTTTATTTTTTATTTGTTTTTAATTGTTTTCAATGTTTTGTTTCTATTAAATTCTGTTTGTTTAATATTTGTTTGTTTTTATAATATTCTGATTTCGTCTTTTATGTTATGTTTTTGTAAAATTCTGACTTTGTTTTTCTAATATCTGTTTGTTTTTATTAATTTCTGATTTTATTTTTTATGTTTTGTTATGTTTTTAAAACATTCTGGGGTTGTTTTTAATTGTTTTCAAGTTTTGTTTCTATTAAATTCTGATTTTTAAATGTTTGTTTTTAAGATATTCTGATTTCGTCATTTAATGTTTATTCTATCGTGTTGTTTTTATTTAATTCTGATTTTATGTTCTGCTTTATTTTGTTAAACGAACACTTCTTTATTATAAAAAGTTTTGAGTTAATTAAATATATTTAGAAGCAAAGACTGTCAACATTTGTTGGGGAAACATCTAGCGAGCAAAATTCACCTACCCCTCCCACTGAATTGTTGAACGGTCAAAAACGCGTGACGCTTGTATGTTTAAAAAAATATTATTTTAAAAGGCAAAAAAAATTTTTTTTTTAATTTTTAGACAAGACAATTGGACACCCTTGGAAGGTATAAAAAATTTTTTATTAAAAAAATTGGCCAAAAATTGCTTGTTTAAACAAATTTGCTTCAAGTTTTCACCCCAATTTTTTGCATAAACTTGCTAAAAAAATTATTTTTAGTGTAAAAACAAATATTTGTTTTAATATTAGAGTAGCAACAATAATTTATTGCTCAATTCATTACATCAACAGAAAAAAAAACTTGTTTCTAAAAATGATAGCAAATGATTAAAGAATAAATAGGGGAGTTTGTTGATATTTTGTGTGTTGTTGTAAAAGATAGGCAAACAAAGGAAAATTAAATTGCGCGAATTAAACAAAAGTTTTTTTGAAGGACTTTTATAAATTGCAATTTTAATAAAAACAATGTTTTAAAAACAATGTTTTTAGAACAAGGACGAAGAAATTTATTAAAGTTGTAATGTTTGTTTTAGGTGTGTTTTGATGTTACTGTTTTTGTTGTTTGTTTTATTAAGTTTGTTTGGTTGTGTTTTGATGTTGTTCTGATTTTATTTATTTGTTGTAATGTTTGTTTTAGGTGTGTTTTGATGGTATTCTGATTTTGTTTGTTTTATTAAGTTTGGTTGTGTTTTGATGTTGTTCTGATTTTTTTTATTAAGTTGTTTGGCTTGTTTAAGTATGTTTTGATGATATTTTTATTTTATTTTAATATGTTTGTTTGATCATGTTTTTGTGATTCTGATTTTGTTTGACTTTGTTCTGGAGTGTTTTATCATGTTTTGATGATATTCTGATTTTGTTTGTTCTAATGTTTTTCAGATTTATTATGTTTTGTTAAATTATTTAGATGTTTGGATTAAATTCTGATTTCATGATGTTTTAACTATTTATTAGTAAGCAAAACAACTTAATTTGCGCGATCAAAACTTTAAAAGAAACCATGTTTTTATAATTAAAAATGTTTTTACAATTTCAGAACTTTTGTGCCTGCCAATCAAACAGTTTCAACTGCAAATCCAAAAATAGTAACATGTTTCTTCTTTAAATAGAAATAAATAATCATTAATAACAGGCAATTGTAAAAGCTTTTGCTGCTTCAAATTCTTCCCAAATATCGGAAGCACAACTTCGAGAAGAATTAGGCAAAGAATTGGAACAATCTGTTTCTCTTATACTTGATGAGCTGGGTAGGAAAGACAAAACGACTAAACGTCCAGCTACTTTGACCACTCAATCTGTACCTGCAGAAGAGTTGGAACGATTAGAAGCAGAGGAAAGTGAAGCAACAACAACACCAAAAGAAACTGAAAATTCTGTTGTTTCAACTAGAGAAGCAACTAGTGTACAAACTGCTTCAACTACAAGTGGTGAATTTTCTGAAAAAAAAATTCTGAAAAAAAATTCTGAAAAAAAATTCTGAATTTTTAAAAATAAGTTTTCCCTTTAATTCTGATCATTTTTTAAGTTGCTCCATTAGTAGTCTTTCCAAAAACTAGCAAAGAACCGATAGAGGTTGTCCCAGCAACAAACGTTGCAACAACAGAAGCAACGAGTGAGAAGGAGAAAAAAGATGAAGCAACAACCGTTGGAATTAAAGAAGAACATAACAAAGAGGAAAATGAAATTGCAAGTACAAAAGAAACTTTAACTGAAGAAAATATTGAAGAGATAAAATCTACTACAATCGCACCTGCGCAAATTTACAAGAGCGCAGAGAAGAAAAGTGAAGCTGAAACAAATTTACCTGTTACAACAACAATAAATATTGGTAGTTTTTTGTTTTTATTTGTTTTATTTTAACTCTGATTTTATGTATTTTAAATGTTCGTATTTATATGTTGTGTTTGTTGTGTGTGTGATTGTTTTGAACATGTTTTGATATGTTTTGTTTGATGTTTTGAATGTTTTGATTTGTTTTGATTTTTGAATGTTTTGAACATGTTCTGGTTTTGTTTATTTTTGATGTTTGTTGGTTTGATGTTTTTGTTGTTTTAATCTTGTTCTGTTTTTAGTTATGTTTTGTTTGCGTTTTATTACTTGTGTTGTTCTAATCTTGTTTTGTTGGAATGTTTTGTTTGTTGTTTTTTTTGTTGTTTTGTTCGTTTTAAATTCTGGTATAATTCTGAAATTTTTAGAAGAATCTCCAACAACCCCTACAATTGTTAAACAAGAAGAAACTAAAGAAGAAACTTTAGAAAAACCAACATATCCAACAGAAGAAGAAAAAGAAGGGGTAACAATAGAAGGATCTTTAATATTTGATAAGAAAACAACAATACCAGAAGAAATAGCTTTTAACGAAGATGAAGCTTCCATAACTGAGACAATAGGAGAAGAGAAGAAAACAACAGTAGCAACAACATTAGAGGCAACAACAACACTCCAAACAACAATCCAAACAACACCAGAAACATTGTTGCAAACAAATTCTGAAAATGTTTTGAGTAAAGAACAACAAGAGGTTGAAGAAGAAGAAATAAAAGAACAACAAAAACAAACAACATTAAATGTTGTTGGGAATAGGGAAGTTCCTGGCCCTGGGTGGCAACGAACTGATTTTGAGGAAGGGCAGCTTTGGGTGCAATGCAAACCTCCTTCAATAAGGGTAATTAATTTCTGGAGCATTAAAAAATTTTTTTTTAATTTTTCCAAAAAAATTTTTTTTCAAAGGCCCTCCTCTGGCCCTGGCCAACTAACAGAACCTTTGAAAACGGTGTTTTGTTTGCCAAAGACTTTCATGAGGAGTCTGATTGTTATGCGGAATTAGACAAGGATAGTGGTGGGGGAGAGGCTCGCTTGGATATAGGTCCAGGAAAATGTGGATTGGCTGGGTCTAAAGCTGTGAGTTTTATTTTAAATTAATTTTAAAAAATGAAGGGGAAAAAGGGAAAAATAAAAGAAATAACCTTTACTTCCACTAATTTAAATAAAAAAAAAGTCCAATTTTTTACAACTTTTTTCCTTACTTTTAATTTTGTTGATGGATTTTATGAAGCAAAAAAATGAAGCAAAAAAGAATTCTTATAATTTATGGAAGCATTGTTTTTGCAATGTTTTTAATTTTTAATATTTGTGTTTTTATTGAATTATATAGTATGTTGTTTTGAAATTCTTGTTTTTATTTTTATGTTTTGTTGTTCTGGTTTAATAATTTGTTTTAATTCTGATTTTTTATAAGATGTTTTGTTTGTGTTTTAATGTTTGAGTTTTATTCTGATTTTTAAATTCTGATTTTCTGGAAGTTTGTTTTCTCTAACATAGTTTCCGGAAAACTTCTCCGGAAGAATAAATTCTGGTTTTTTTTTGAAATTCTGATTTTAGCATGTTCTATGTTTTCTTAATGTTCGTTTTAAATTCTGGTTTTTTTGAAATTCTGATTTAACATGTTCTATGTTTTCTTAATGTTCGTTTTAAATTCTGGTTTTTTTGAAATTCTGGTTTTTTTGAAATTCTGATTTAACATGTTTTAGTGTTTTCCTAATGTTCGTTTTAAATTCTGGTTTTTTTAATAATTAAAGTTGGGAAAACACAAAAACATCATTAAAACATATTTATTAAATTATTTCAGAATTCTTCACAAACACCCCAAAACCTTTCTTTAGTGCTTATGTTTGCCCCACGGCGTTCTTTAGTGATTGCAGGCCCTGAGGCAAGGAAATAATTATAAAAAATATTTTTATAATAAAAATTTATTGTTTAATAGGGAGGAAATGGGATAAATAAAAAATTTATTAAAAAATATAATTTTTTTTTAATTTTATTAGTCACGCAATTTGACTTGTTTTCTTGACTATTTCCCCCTATTTTCTAGTCAATTAAAAAATTATTAAAAAATTCCAAAGAAATTTTTTAAGTTCTCATTTTTGGTTCAATGTTATACCCCAGTATTGCCCACACAAAAGCAACAATTAACAGCAGACTTGGCCATTCAAAAACCTCTTGCCAGTCCAGTAATGACCAAAACTATCGAATTGAGTCAAACCCCTCCTCGTTGTGAATACTCTTTGAGGAGAAACACGCCGGATGGCCCTCTTCTTCAACGCGCAACTCTAGGCCAGACAATATATCATCGGTGGGAGTGTGAGGGAGGGCAAGACGTTGCTGAACAATTTGGGATACTTTTGGTTGGAAAAATTTTAATTAAAAAAAATTAATTTATTTTTTAGAGTGATTGTGTGGTTGCTAATTTAACACAAGAAAAAACAAATAATAATAATAGCTCTCCTGGCAAAACTTCAATGGTTGAATTAATTGATAGTGAAGGGTAAATAAATAAATTAATTAAAAATAAATCTTTCCGGAAAATTTGTTAGGGAAAATGAATGAAAATACACCTTCCGGAAAATAACAAGATAGGGGTAAAAATAAAAATAAATAATACAATAGCTTTACGGAAAATACAAATAATATAAAATTCCGGAAAATAGATTAATATAAGAAAAGTTTTTTTCCGGAAAGCTTCTCTAATAATGTATCCGAAAATTTTATTTCTGGTATTAATACTATTCCGGGAATAATAAATGATCATCCTTCCGGAAAACACTTGGAAATTGAAAAAATACATTTTTTGTTATTTTCTGGAAGATGTATTACTCGTGTGTTTTCTTTAATAAATTACTAATTTAAAAAATCCAAAAATTAAACTAAAAAAATTAAATTTTAAAAGCTGTTCAACAGATCCTTTGATTGTAGATGACCCTGAATATGAAAAGGAAAATTTAGTTGCATATGCAAGAGCGAGAGTCTTCTCGCTTCGACCGGAATCACATTTTCTGAGGTTTTCGTGTAAATTAAGTCTTTGCCTACGTCAAAATGATGGATGTTTAGGACTAACTGTGGGTTTAAATAAAATCTTATTTTTCCGGAAAATACAAAAATAAATAAGTGTTCCGGAAAAGAAATTAACGTAAAAAGAAAAATACATTTTAATACATGGGCTTTCCGGAAAATACAAAATATATAAATTCCGGAAAGTATATTTTCGAAAATACTAAAAATATATAAATATTCCGGAAAGTGTTTTCCGGAAAATACAAAATAAATATGAATTTGCCGGAAAGTGTATTTCCGAAAAATACAAAATGTATAAATTCCGGATAGTGTATTTCCGGAAAATACAAAAATATATAAATATTCAGGAAAGTGTTTTCCGGAAAATACAAAATATATAAATTCCGGATAGTGTATTTCCGGAAAATACAAAAATATATAAATATTCAGGAAAGTGTTTTCCGGAAAATACAAAATATATAAATTCCGGATAGTGTATTTCCGGAAAATACAAAAATATATAAATATTCAGGAAAGTGTTTTCCGGAAAATACAAAATATATAAATTCCGGATAGTGTATTTCCGGAAAATACAAAAATATATAAATTCCGGAAAGTATATTTATTTCCGGAAAATACTAAAAATATATAAATATTCCGGAAAATACGTTCTCATAAATTTAAATATACATCCCTTAATATTTTCCGGAAGGTATTTCCGGAAGAATATACGTACCAGAAAATAATTTGTTTCTCTAACAAGAAAATATATTTTCTTGTACTAATACAATTCCGGAAATTATTAAAATAAATTCCGGAAAAATACTTAAAAATACTTATAAAAACAAAAAATACATTTATACAAGAGACATTTAAATTAACAACCAATTAATTTGTAGCCACCTTCCTGTCCCCCAACAAATGCCAGTCGTATACCCTCCCACCATCACCCTTCAGAAAAAGCGCCTGCAGCTTTAAGTCAACATTTGCTCTCTCCCCAACTTACAGTTAATTCTGGCAGTTCAACAGCCACAACTTCGTCTACTCCTCCTCGTCTGCCTTTCCATGGTTCTGCTGCTTCTTTTGGAGGAACTGGTAAATCATCACTTGTTGATTCTGCGTGGACTATTGGACTTGTTTTGGGTGTGTCTGTATTGCTTGGTCTATTTTTTGGATTGGCTACATTTCTGATTCAGTCTCATCATAGGAAAAATCGGCAAAAAAGACTTGTTCAATGGGTAGGATAATTTTTGTATTTTTTGTAAAACACAAAAAAACACAGAAAATACAAAAATACAAAAAACACAAACAACACAAACCCAGAAAATACAAGAAAACACAAAAAATACATAAACACACAAAAACACATTTTAACAAAAACAGGTACTTGCTCGTCCCCCCTCTTCCTCTTCTGGATCAGCTACAAGCAGCCAAGAAGTGGGATATATTGGAAGAAGGGGAATTAGTATAGAAGCAATCCAACTACATTCTGATGATTATTCACCTACAGAAGCTGCAACAAATACAAATAATAAATTGTGTTCTCCTTCAAGTTCAGAGTCTGGGCGTAGTAATAAAAGTAATAGGGAGAATAATACAAATTAATTGGAAAAAACACACATTTTTAAAAGCGGTGAATTCTCTCTCTATTTTCTTTTATCTTTTCTTTTCTCTAACAGTATCCGGAAAGTTTATTTTCTGTTATTTATTTTAAAATACATTTTGTAAGAATACATCCGGAAAATATTAATATTAATATAAATTCCGGAAAATATAAATATTCATGAAATGTATTTTATACTTTCCGGAAAGTATTATTCCATTTCCGGAAAACATTTTTAAAAAATTCCGGAAAATACATTTTATTATTTCTGAAAATAGAATGTATTTTTCCTGTTCCGGAAAATACTTAAAAATAGATTCCGGAAAATACATACCCTTATTTCCTGTTCCGGAAAATAATTAAAATAATTTCCGGAAAATACAGATTTCCGGAAAATACACACCTTTATTTCCTGTTCCGGAAATATTAAAATAGATTCCGGAAAAGACAACCTTTATTTTCTGTTCCGGAAAGTAATTAAAATTAATTTCCGGAAAATACATATGTATTTTCTATTTTCCTATAAAAAAAGGAAAATACATTTCCGGAAAGTAAGTGAATATTTTCTAAATAAATAGTCATTTCCGGAAATTTTAATTTTACTTCCGGAAAATACATAAATACATATGTATACCTTTAGGAGTCTTGAACCACAAAGCAATTTTAACCCCCAAATTTTAAATTTTCGTATAAAATTTTTAATTCAGGAATTTTCCTAAAAAACTCATTCTTTCACAAATATTATTCATTCTCTTTTATTTTTTTATTTTCTTGAAGCCATATATTTTGTGGAATGATTCACTCACATTTTTTAAAAATTCTTGCCATTTAAAATAAACAAACAAAAAATACAACAATATTAAAATAAAAATATTTTTAAAAGATTTTTGTATTTCCATAAACTTGTGCCTTTGTTATTTTTTAATTGTGCTCTTGTTTCTTTTTCTTTTTGCAATTTATTTAATAAATTTTAAAGAAAAAATTTTTTATTAAAAAATTAATTTAAAAAAAATTTTAATTTAAAAATGAGTTCAACAAAAACTAAGCGTGAAGGGAAGGATTCACATACTGAACAAGAAATGAATGAGATTCAGGAAGTCTTTCAGTAAGTTAAATAAACATATATGAAAATAAATACAAAAAACACGGGAAATTTAATTTTCCGGAAAATACAAGTTTTGTTTTTATAGGGAAAAATACATGTGGAAAGTATGTGAATATTAATTCAATAAACATTTCGGAAAGGTATTACAAAAACACTTCCGGAAATAAATAAAATGAAAAACATGAGAAAATACATTTCCGGAAAATACAAATATTATATTTCTTTAGAGAAATACACTCCGGAAAAAATACATTTCCGGAAAAGTATATGAATATTATCCCAGTAAACATTTCCGGAAAGTTATTTCAAAAACACTTCCGGAAATAAATGAAAAACACGAGAAAATACATTTCCGGAAAATACAAAAATATTTCTCGAGAGAAATAAATACATTCCGGAAAAAAGAAATATATTTCCGGAAAACTATTTGAATATTACCCCAATAAACATTTCCATAAAATTATTCCGGAAATTTATCTTTCTGTAAACAAAAATACATCTCCGTATGTTTCCGGAAATATTTTTAAACCACTGAGGTCTTCTTTCTATAATTTAATTAACCCTTTTAGATTTTATGACACTAAAGGCGACGGAAGAGTTAAGGTAGATCAACTAGGCCATTGTTTGCGATCTTTGGGTCTCTGCCCGACTGAAGCACAAATAGCTAAATTGACTGAAAATAATGCTTCTGAACGTATTTCTGTTGAACAGGCAAGGGAAATAATTAAAAAATAAAATTTGGAAAAATTTTAAGTTTCTTCCAATGTTACATTCTATTCGTAAAGAGGGTGCTGCTGATAGAGATGAGACTGAATTATCCGCTTTTCTAGAGAATATGGACAGAGATAGGTAAATTGATCCGAAAATACTTCTGCTTTCAGATAATGTGTTTTCCGGAAATGTGTTTTCCGGAAATGTGTTTTCCGGAAATGTGTTTTCCGGAAATGTGTTTTCCGGAAATGTGTTTTCCGGAAATGTATTTTCCGGAAATGTATTTTCCGGAAATGTATTTCTTTTTATAAAATATTTCCGGAAAATACAAATAAAATTATAGCTTCCGGAAATTAAATAGACAATTCTGGAAATAATTATGCTTTCAAGAAATGTATTTCCGGAAACTTTTTCCGGAAAATAAAATTATTGTATTTCTTTTCATTTTCCGGAAAATACAGAAAAAATAAAATAATTTCCGGAAAAATAAAATAATTTCATAAAATGTTTCCGGAAAATACAGACAATTTCGGAAGACAATTCCGGAAAGTTACATATAAAATACACAAAATACATATTTAATAAATCTATCTCTTTCCGGAAAATACATAAATACAAATTAATTCTTTTCTCTAGTTCTGGTTCCGTATTCCAATCAGACCTACGTCGAATGCTTACAGTTTTTGGGGAGCCTCTAAGTGAGGGTGAATATGAACAAATAACTGCTGGACGTGAAAAAGAAGAGGGAAAAATTAATATTTCTGAATTGGTTCAGACTTTGTTAAGTTTTAAGTAGAGAAAAGATGTTGGCAAAATTCTGTAAATCCCTCTATTAAAACACTTTTTTAGTCATAACTTTTTTCATACTTAACCGATTCGAATAATTTTGATATCATTCGAAAGCTCTGAATGTGCTTATTCTTTTTCTCAAAAGGATCGATATGATCCGTTCACTCCCCAATAAAGTTATAGACGGATATAGAACAAATGTCACGATTGCCCTCACTTAACAGATCGTAACTTTGTAAGGAATGAGTGGACCTGATCGATCTATTTAAGAAAAAGAATAAGCACATTCAGAGCTTTCGAATGATATCAAAATTATTTTAATTGGTTAAAATTCAAAAGAGTTATAGCCCTAAAAGAATTATGAAACTCGCAAGACTCTAATGTCCTGTTTCTATTATTAAAAAAATTTTTCTACCCCCATATTATTTTATCTTTTTTTTTTAATTAAAGCTTTATTTATAAAAATATTTAAATGTCAAAATCATTCTTCCCTTTTTTTCATAATTATTGTGATGCCTTAAAAAATGTTTTTTAGTCTCTCCCCTCAAAGTTCCCTCATTATTTATTTTATTATTTTTTTTCTTTTTTTAATGAAATTTTTAAAAAATTGTAAAATAAAGAGCACAGAGAACGTTAAATAAAATAATTTTTTATATATTTTGTTTTTTTTTGTTTTTTGTGTTTTAATCTGTTCTGGGCAATCCTTTTTTAATATACACGAGTCTCGTGATAATTAAATTTAGTATTTTTATGGAAAATTGGAGAGGATTCTTTGCTTCTTTTTTAGTAACACTTAACAGTCTGGGCATATTTAATTTTCCTGGGAAAACTAACCGGAAAATACATTTGCAGAAAATAAATTATAAATAAATATATACAATTCCGGAAAATACGTATGCTTTCATAGAATGTATTTCCGAAAACTTTTTCCGGAATTAAAATATTTCCGGAAAATACAAATTAAATATACAATCCGGAAAATGCATTTCCGGAAAATACAAAATAATATATAAACTTCCGGAAAATACATTTCCGGAAAATACAAAATAAAATATAACCTTCCGGAAAATACAATCCGGGAAAATACAAATTAAATATACAATCCGGAAAATACATTTCCGGAAAATACAAAATAAAATATAACCTTCCGGAAAATACATTTCCGGAAAATACAAAATAAAATATAACCTTCCGGAAAATACATTTCCGGAAAATACAAAATAAAATATAACCTTCCGGAAAATACATTTCCGGAAAATACAAAATAAAATATAACCTTCCGGAAAATACAATCCGGGAAAATACAAATTAAATATACAATCCGGAAAATACATTTCCGGAAAATACAAAATAAAATATAACCTTCCGGAAAATACATTTCCGGAAAATACAAAATAAAATATAACCTTCCGGAAAATACAATCCGGGAAAATACAAATTAAATATACAATCCGGAAAATACATTTCCGGAAAATACAAAATAAAATATAACCTTCCGGAAAATACATTTCCGGAAAATACAAAATAAAATATAACCTTCCGGAAAATACATTTCCGGAAAATACAAAATAAAATATAACCTTCCGGAAAATACAATCCGGGAAAATACAAATTAAATATACAATCCGGAAAATACATTTCCGGAAAATACAAAATAAAATATAACCTTCCGGAAAATACAATCCGGGAAAATACAAATTAAATATACAATCCGGAAAATACATTTCCGGAAAATACAAAATAAAATATAACCTTCCGGAAAATACATTTCCGGAAAATACAAAATAAAATATAACCTTCCGGAAAATACATTTCCGGAAAATACAAAATAAAATATAACCTTCCGGAAAATACATTTCCGGAAAATACAAAATAAAATATAACCTTCCGGAAAATACAATCCGGGAAAATACAAATTAAATATACAATCCGGAAAATACATTTCCGGAAAATACAAAATAAAATATAACCTTCCGGAAAATACATTTCCGGAAAATACAAAATAAAATATAACCTTCCGGAAAATACAATCCGGGAAAATACAAATTAAATATACAATCCGGAAAATACATTTCCGGAAAATACAAAATAAAATATAACCTTCCGGAAAATACATTTCCGGAAAATACAAAATAAAATATAACCTTCCGGAAAATACATTTCCGGAAAATACAAAATAAAATATAACCTTCCGGAAAATACAATCCGGGAAAATACAAATTAAATATACAATCCGGAAAATACATTTCCGGAAAATACAAAATAAAATATAACCTTCCGGAAAATACATTTCCGGAAAATACAAAATAAAATATAACCTTCCGGAAAATACATTTCCGGAAAATACAAAATAAAATATAACCTTCCGGAAAATACATTTCCGGAAAATACAAAATAAAATATAACCTTCCGGAAAATACATTTCCGGAAAATACAAAATAAAATATAACCTTCCGGAAAATACATTTCCGGAAAATACAAAATAAAATATAACCTTCCGGAAAATACTTGTATATTTTCAGGAAATATATTTCCGGAAATTTCCTGAAAAATAATAAAGTAATTTCATATAAACAATTCCGGAAAACACAAATTAAATACAAAACGGAAATTAAATAGACAATTCCGGAAAGTTAATATAAAATACATTTTTGTATTTTATCGAAAATACAGGAGAATATTCCCCTCAGAATCTCTCTTCCTATTTTTGATTAAAATTATCACAGACTCCAATGTCAATAAATTTATATTAATTTTTGCAAATCTTTCAAAATTTATTTTAAAAAATTATTTACACAAAAAATTGAACGTAATTAATTAAAATTATAAAAAAATAGATTGATTAATTAATGGCAGAGATATCGGCTTTTTTGGGTGGAGAATAAGTATATAAAATGATTACATTAAGAAAACTGGTTTATACAAATTAATTATAAATCAAAATTTGATCGATAGAGGAAGAGTTTATTGAAAGAATTTATTTTTGTGTGGTTTAATCTCTGACTTATACCAACCCTCTCAGAGTTATCCCAACACCCCAAAAATGACCAAAATTCAATAGGGACACTTGAGTCTGGACATTTTTATTTTCTAAAGGGATCATACGAGTCTGATGCAAAAAATTCAAAATTGAGAAAAAGGGATACTTGTGTCTGGACGCTAAATATTTTTAAAAAGGACCGTTTGAGTCTGATACGAGACTGATATAAGTCGACACAAGTCAGATTTAAAAAGTAAAACAAAATACAATCTTATTCTTAGGTTGAAGTAAAAGGAAAAAAAATTTTTAAATAGAAAAAATAAGAAAATAAAAGAAAGCTGCGAGTTATAGAAAGAAGGAATGTTGAAAAATTAACTACAAAAGAAGAAATTAATTGTTTTGGTTAATTAATTATTATTTAACTCCAACACTTAAAAATACGAGAGCGAGAGAAAAAAAGAAAAATGCACACAACGGCAGTTATACACTTTTGTATTTTCTTTCCGGAAAAATTCCGGAAAGTTTAATTAAGCCTATTTAATTTTTGAGATGTGCGCAAACTGGACAAAAATAAAACGCCAAAAAATAAAAAGGGCTATTAGAGTCTGAAAATTAAAAAAATTTTAATAAAATTTTCAACTCTAATAGAAAGGACATTTTAATTATTTTAGAAATTTTTTTAATATAATTTTCAACTCTAATAGAAAGGACATTTTAAATTTTTGATAAAACGCCAAAAAAATAAAAAGGGCTATTAGAGTCTGAAAAAAAATTTTTTAAGAAAATTTTCAACTCTAATAGAAAGGACATTTTAATTTTTTTTATTTTGCACACCTCAACAGGCTTAAAATTTTTTTTGAAAATTTTCAAGTCAAACTGCCATTCCTCTTTCGACGTTCACCCCACGGCTGTGCCCAACCATTGTCTTTAACCATATGGATTAGCTCTATGATATACTTGCCTTCTTTGTATTTTTGGCTGCTTTCGTAAGCGTGCTCCTTAAAATATTTAGGGAAATTTTTGGAATTTTTGTTGAAAATATTTTTTGGGGTGACACTTGAGTCTGGACATTTCAAGGACTTAAAATGGGCTAAAAAATTTTTTAAACTCACATATTTCCATCCGAGTGTAGTCTTACAACATTCACACTATAAATAATTTTTTTAAAAATATTTTCTTAAAATATTCTCTACTTGAATATCAGCAACAGCATGCAGTCCAGTAAGCAAAACTCTTTCCTCTGCTGTACCACAAACAATATTAACTACTGAATTAAAAAGATATGCTTTGCCTTGACTGCCTTGGAATGATTTGGAGATTAACTAGAAAATTAGGGAGAAATTATGAGAAAAAAAGAAAATTAATTTATTAAGTCCTCCCCCTCTAACAGAAGTGCTGAACCTAGTGAACGCCAACTTCTCTAACTTAGGGCTGGATAAACTTATTAAAATTCTTTTGGTACCGTTCGATAGAGAAGAAAATTTACTACAAAATGGACAAGGAAAAATAATTTTTGGAGGAAAAATAAAAATGTTATGGTCCAAAAACAGACAAAAACGTCCAAAATTTGGAGTTTTTTGACCACAATTTTTCTGAAAAATTAAATAAGATAAAGACTCCGGTAGCATTTTGTAGGAAATTTTCTCCTCTATCGAATGATACTTAAACCTTCTTTAAAGGTTCGGCCATTCAAAAGATATAGGACTCAAACCTAGCCGACTTTTAACAGTTGCGAGACACTACAGGAAAAGGAGAGGTTTTCTCTGACTGTTAGAGAAAACAGTTTTATTACTGAAAAACTAGGTTCTCCTATAACCCAAAAACCCTAAAAAATGTTTTAAAAAAGCCAACCTCGTTGTGATCTGCCAGGTTTGCTCGACAATGAGCACAACTATAAGTACGAGCGCCTGAGGGCAAATAAGCCTAAAATTGAATTTAATAATTTAATTTTGAATTAGAAACAAACTTGAAAGGTTTTTGGCTTTTTCTGAGCTTGGGATTGGGCAGAGGGAGGCATTTGAGCGACCGCTGCCATTTTTTAATAAAATAAAAATATAATTTAATTTTAATTAATTAATACATGTGTTTCTGTAAAAATTAAGTTAATTATTAATTAATTTTAAAAAGTGTAGTTATGGTGTAGTTGGTAACGACGTCGACTTTGGCTTGGAGGGGGTGGTGGGTTCGAGTCCTATTGGTGGAAAATAGTTTTTGCCTTAACGGGAACCTCACAGAAAAATTTTTTAAAATTTTTATAAAAATTTTTAACACCCCTAGAATTTTTTCCAAGACTCTAATGGGTAAGGTAATTGGTACGGATGTCGAATTAAAGTTATGGGGGTTGGTTGGTTCGACTTCGGTTGGTGGAAAATAATTTTTATTTCGACAGGGACCACTCAGAAAATTAAAAAAAATCTTTTAAAAATTTCTAGAAAAATTTTCAGTACCCCCAGAAAATTTTCAAAACCCCTAGAAAATTTTCAGCACCCCCAAAAATTTTTAAGACTCTAACGGCCCTATAAAAAATATTTTTCCTATAAGAAGACTGACTATAACCTAATTTTCTTCTCAACATTAAATAGACTAACAGTGACAGTTTTGATTTCATCGTGTCCAAAGAAGGCTAAAAAACTATAAAAAAGGTAAAAAAAATAAATTGATAACACTCTTGGGAAGTGAAAAAGCATTTTTTCAAAAAATATTTGCTTAGCACGGGGTTCTTTTTTTCATTGACTAAAATATATTTATATTTTCCCTCCTCTTTCTATCAGCTGTTGAGGGAAAGAAAAAGACGAACAAAAGGCGGCAAATGCTGCAATCCACTACCTACCTTTTAGTGTGTTTGTTAGAAAGAAAGGAGAGCTCCCCCATATTTTGCCAAAAACACATTTCGCCAATAAGGCAAAAATTCCTCATTTTGTCATCAAGTATGTTGACAAAATGAGGGTGTTTAGCCTTATTGGCGAAATGTGATTTTGGCAAAATAAGGACACGAAAAAAGAGGGAAAAGTAAAGAAGTAAACCAACCGAACCAAAAATTTTTTAGACAGAGAATATTTTTCCTCTCTTTTTATTTTTCTTTATTTCTACGTGTTTATTTGCTTGACTGCTCAATTTTTAGCAATGAGGATATTTGAGTCGCAGCTTTATTTAGAGGATTGCCCCAACTTTCCGCTCAATTTTCTTTGTAAAAAGGCTATCCCAAAAGAACAGTCATAGAATAGAAGGTAACCCAAAAAATCGAAATAGATGGCCAATAGAGTCTGAGAAAAAAATATATTACCCAGGAAGGAGCATTAGAGTCATTAAGAAACCGTGGAAGACTCTAAAATTGTCTCCCTCACACATCACTTTTCTTTAAGATAAGATCAAAATTTGGCCAGAGGGGCGACTAATAGAGAGATTCCACTTTAGTCCATTTCAAATAGAGGTATGAAAAGGACCATTAGAGTCCCAGAAAGTTGATCAATTTCAGTAATTATTTTGCAGACTTTAATGGCACCCAAACCAAAAATAGGACTCTAGTGACTTGGATGAGATAGTACTCTAATGGCCTACAAATAAATCCTAAGGGGACCATTAGAGCCCAAGGAAGCTGAACAATTTCATGGCTCCTTCCCCCGACTCTACTGGCACCCAGACCAACAATAGGACTCTAGTGGCTTGCAGATGATAGTACTCTAATGGCTTACAAGTGACAACCTAAAGGACCATTAGAGTCCAAAGAAGTTGAACAGTTACATGGTTCTTTCCCAGACTCTGATGGCTTGCAAATAGTCCTAAAAGGACCATTAGAGTCAGGTAAGTTGATAAATTTTATGGCACGTTCCAAGACTGTAATGGCACCCAAACCAAAATAGGACTACATATAATGGCTTACAAATAGAATCCTAAAAGGACCATTAGAGTCCCAGAGAGGTAATCAATATATGCGGCGAGTTCCCAGACTTATAGGGTAAAAAAAGAGCAAAAATAAATGTTGTAAAAACAAGTTTAGAGGGGGAAAATAGGGAAAAAAATTAAAAATAAACCAGGAAAAATAAGAAAAAATCAGAATCCTTCCCCTATTTTTTCCCTTCAAAAAAAAGAAAAAATAAATAAATAAAAATAAAACAAGTCTCGTGTGCACAAAATAAAATCATTAATTTTTTTCTGTTTTTTCTTGTCCTCATGTGTTGTCACAACCAGTCACATTTTTTTCTTATTTACAAGATGGGGAGTAACAAACACTTTTTTTAATAAACCTCATTTTTGGTCCTCTATTTGTTTATTATTTTTTTTTTTGAGGAAAAAGTGCAAATGGAAACATTTTTTGTTTAATATTTTTGAATATTTTTGAAGTATTTTTGAATAGGTTTTTGACAAAAAAAATGCAGGAAAAATGGGGGAAATGAGGGGAAATAAGGTTTTTGAGAGTAGAGGACACTAGAGTTTAGAGGGAGTTTTTAAAGAATCCTTTCGGTAGAGTGAGGCAAAATCGCATTTCCGGAATCCCGTGATGGGATTTTTCCAGCACTTCGTACGGGACGGGATCCCGCGGGATTAATCCCGGTAATCCCGTTCGTCGCTTAAAACCCGGGATTCCGGGACGGGATCAGTCCCGTGCCGCAATGTACCTTCCGGGTCTATTTAAAGAAAGGGGCACTTTTGAGTCTTGGTGGAGGGTGGTAGCAAGGATCGGCTGAATTTCTTATAGAAAAGGTCGGCTGAATTTTGGAAAGGGATTTAATAAAAGGAGGAAGTAAAAGTAGGTGACACTTGAGTCTGAGAAAAAAATTTAATTTTTAATCCTTGTCATCCTCCTACAAGGAAACAAAATTTTTTCAAAATGAAGAAGAAAGTTTTTAAAAAATGCTTCTTAAAAAAGCAAATGGATTGGATTAAATAGAGGAAGAAGAAAAAAAATTTTAAAGAGCATAGACATTTAAAAAAGGGCGGGCGTCTTTCCAGCTTTTTTTAAAAAATAAAAATCCAAGGGACACGCCCAAAACGGCGCGCGGCCATAACGGCGTTTAGCCATAACTTGCTTCAAGATTTCCAAATCCGCTCAAATTTAGTATCAAACGACTCCTCTCATCGAGCTAAAGAGATTGGTACCAGAATTGATAAGGGCCAGAAATTTTCCAGCAAATTATGGCTAAACGCCGTTATGGCCTCGCGCCGTTTTGGGCTGTAAAATCCAAGGGAGAAAAAAAGAATTTTTATTTTTTAATTGATGACAATCGCCCTCATTTTTATAGGAAAAAATTTTTTTTGCTTTCTTTTGTGTTTTAGCGCAAATGCTTTTTATTATGTACATAAATGGAAACTCTCCACCAATTCTATTTTTATTCACCCCTAGGGAGATTTAATAATGCAAATGTGCAGAGGAGGGTGTGCGCAAATTTTTGGCGTTTTGGATTTTTTGGAAATTTTTTTTGGATTTTTTGAAAATTTCTTTATTTTTAGAGGTAGTCTTGTTTTCCATTAGATTATGCTCTAAAAGGTACATTAGAGTCTTATTCAAAATTAGTCTATTTCTTCGTTAAGTTCTCGGACTCTAATGTCCTACTTAACAGGAAAGGTGTAAGAGACGTTTTTAATTTTTTAAAAAATTTTTCTGAAATTTTTTAAAAATTTTTTGAAGATTTTTGGGCTTGTTAGACCCTTCCCTGAGCTTCGGTTGGGGTCAGTTGAGCGTGGCCGGTTGAGCGTGAGCCGACCTTTGAACGGCTATAACTTTTTGCTGCTTGATCCAATACGAATGAATCATATATCATTCGAAAGCCCTCGATAAACGCTATCTTTTTTCCAATTTGATGGATCAAGTCTAATCGCTATTTAAAAAGTTTCAAGTCGATAAGTGTGAAAAACAACGATTTTCTGCACTTATCGACTTGTAATATTTTAACCGGTGATCAGACTTATCTATCCAGTTGGGATAAAGATTGGGCACGTCGAGGGCTTTCAAACGATATAAAGTTTATTCGAATTTGATCAAGCTTAAAAAAGTTATAGCCGATCAAAGTTGGCTGACGCTCAACCGGCCACGCTCAACTGGCCCGCTCCGCCTGAGCTTCAAAAAAATTCCCGCTCAAAATCATTCCCCTTTGCGTTTTTGGCGTTTTCAAAAAATTTGCGCACACTTGCAAAAATATCAGAAAAATTCTCCATTTAAATTCCCTTTTTAATTATTCTCCATTTACGACCTAAAAAATGCAACGACCAAAAATTAGATCATAAACGGAGGATAAAATTGGAAAGAATTTAGCGTTCTAAAAATGGATTAAATAAAGTAGTTGAATTATTTATAGTGGAGAGAGAGAGAAAAGCTTGGAAGAATAAAAATAAATAAAATTAAAAATTTAATTTACTTAATTTAACTGTAAATGGAAAATGGAAATTTTGGAAAATTTTGGAAATAAAAAAATTTTCAAAAAAATTTTTAGAAAATTTTTTTAAATTTCAGGGCGACATTTGTGCACATCGACATTTGCCCACAACTACTAAAAATATCTACTTTTCGTCCCATATCTTTTTTGTTTTTCAAAATTTCTGAATGATTCTTTATACCATTCGAAAGCTCTAAATGTGTAGAATCTTTTTCTTAACGGGACTGTGTCACTAGGTTGATTTCTTAAAAAGTTAGAGCCGTATAAACACGGTCAATCGTGTTTTTAGACGTTTATTTGACTACAACTTTTGATAGAATGTTCTGATCGGGAAGGTCTTGTTAACTAAAATAATCGGCTCTTTCAGAGCTTTCGAATGACATAAAATTTATTCGTAACGATTAAAAATTGGAAAAGTTATGGACTAAAAATTAGACTAAAACAATGAGACTGAAATGTCCTCTTCTGGTTTTAGATATTTTAAAAATTTTATAAGAAGTTGACATTTTGAAATATTAGCCTGCTAATGCCTTCGAAACATCAAAAAAAGTTAGAGAAACAGAAAATTGGTCTAATTTGGATTTTCTTGGGGGTTTTTCAATTTTTTTAAAAATTTTTTGGAGGTTTGGCCTGGCTTTGTTTTCACGTTTTTATTTATTTTTGTCAACTTTTCAGATAAATTCAATGCTTCCAAAAAGCAAATATTCCAAATTTTTCAATTTAATTCTTGAAGACAAAGTAATTTTAGCTTCTTGCAAGTCTTGTGAATACAAAAAGACTTTAAAAAATGCGCAGGTTTTTTTTAAATTTTTATTTGGGGAGAGAGGAGGTTTTAGGGCTTGGTTCTAACGGCGGTTTTTATGCTGGGTAGTAGAGATCGGTATTTTTGGAAAGCCTGGGCCTTTCTTGGGTTTTGGGTTGATTTATTGACCTGGGCTGAATCATGGGCCTGTAGTCTAGTAAGAACCAGAGCTGCGTCGAAATTTCGATTTTCGACTTTCGATTTCCGAATTTCGAAGATTTTTTTATTTCGACGCAGCTCTAGTAAGAACCCAGAAGGTTAAAAAATGCCTGGGCGAGGTTGGCTTTCACCTAGAACAATTGTTTTTGAAACGAAACACGAAAATCACAACAGACTAGGGATTGGACTGGATCCTGCCGTGGATTTTTCTGGAATCCTTATTCAAATAAAGAGTTAAAAAATCTTGGAAAGGTGTCTTCTGTCTACCTTTCTTGCTCAGGTCATTAACTAGTTATTGTTAACCAAGCCCAACCCTTTCCAAATTTCATGTGTTTAAAGCCGTATATGTTTTTGAGCTGTAGGCCCATGATCCGCCCGGATTTAAAAGTATTGAAAAAATCCTGGGGAGAGGATCTGGGTTCAGGAGGGGGTTCTCAAGGCTAACAAGCAGCCAGGCCCGTAGCCAGGATTTTTTTCGGGGGGGGGGGGGGGCAAGGGGGGGGAAATTTTTACTTTCAGCGCCGTAGGCGAAAATTTTGAGAATTTTAGAAGGCCGTAGGCCAAAAAAATTCACTTTTTTTGCCCCAGCCCTTCCCCAAATTTTTCCCTTTTCCCCATTTTGGGGGGGGGGGAATTCCCCTACCCCCCCCCTGGCTACGGGCCTGCAAGCAGCCGTCTTGTTAAGCTTTTGCTGGGGGCATTAACCAAGCCCAACCCTTTCCAAATTTTTTAGGCATCCAAAAGCAGTCTTCGCCACCATTTAACTAAACACCCCGAAGAAATGGCACAATTACTGGAATTTGAGGAAACTGAAAACAAAAATAAAATTTTGCGGACACCTAGAAGAGGCGTTAGAAAATCGATCAACATAAATTCTAGTGAAGGAAGTACTTCAAAAACGGGAAGAAAAAAATTGAAAGATGAGGATGATGAAGAGGAGGAAGATGAGCCACAAACTAGTGAAAATTGTGAGAGAGGTTTTTTTGAGGTTTTTGTGGGTAGGAAAAGCTTTATAGGGTGGGAAATGGATCGTGAAATCAGTGGAAACCTTTTGTGGAACTGGGGCCCCAGACCGGGAAGCAATGGCGTATTCAGAAGAGCTAGCGGGCTAGGAGGGGGGGGGGGGCACATCGGCCAAATTTAAATGACCGTCATTTAAAAAAATTTTTAGCCCCCCCTTGTCCCGAAATCGACCCCTTGGCTACGCCCTTATTGAAAAGCACGACTGACTGTGTTTATCTCCAGCCTTAAGATGGGGGCTATTTGTATTTGGATTTTGGGAGAATTAATTAGTGAATTATAGGAGCCCCCATTTTTTCTTATTTTGGAAAAAGAGGGGCTTATTCCACATTTATTGGAGTGAATTCATCTTTCTTATTTTCCTCAACCTCATTTTTTAAAATTAAAATTGGGCTTGACATCCATAGAAAATTCAAAAAAAAAATTTTTCTCAGCTCAATGGGACAGAACAGGAAGTATGACTAAACGAATAGACGAAGCTATAATTCAAATGATTTGTACAGATATTTTCCCATTGTCAATTACAGACGGTCCTGGCTTTAGAAACTTTCTTAAAGTTGTTGCTCCTAAATATGTTCCAAAGTATAATTTTTTTAATTTTTTTGGGGATTTTTTGAGTATTTTCGGGGATGGAAGAGATGAGGCTTGAAGATTTTTTTGGGGTTTAAGAAAAATTTTTTGTTGATTTTCGAAGCCGATTTCCCTCCAATTTTCACTTTCAATCATCGACTACCATCCCTTTAATTAATTTTAACTTTTTTCAAAAAAATCCAATTTTGCTAATTTTGGTACCATTCGATTAAGCTCGTCGAGACGCGTCGAATGATATATTACACTTGGGTATTTTGACCAAAATGGGAAGATTGGCGTTTTGGCGCACAGCCCTAGGTGAAGGTGTGTGAGGGGGGCTACAATTAGAATTATTTTTTAAATTAAAAAAATTATTTTTTTAAGAAGTCGTTGGACACTTTCAAGATCACATTTACCCTCTTTATACGAAAAAATTCGTTCACGTATAATTAATCAATTAGAAGATGCCAAATACATTTCAATAACAACGGACACTTGGGATGGAGATTGTAATACAAATACAACAAAAAAGGAAACAAGCGATCATACTTTACTTTCTGTTACGGGTAAATATTTTTATTAAAATCAGAATTTTATTAAAACATGGAAACCTTATGCTAATCAGAATTTAAATAAAACATGAAAATAACCAGAAAAACAGTCAAAAACTAATCAGAATTTTATTAAAACATTTGTGTTTATTTGAATGTTCAGATTAAATTCTGATTTTGGTGTTTTTATTAAAAACCAGAATTTTATAAAAACATGAAATAACAGAGAATTCCGTTTAAACTTAAAAATCAGAAATTAATTTAAACAAAAAAAGAACCAGAATTTTATAAAAACATGTCAGCTAAAAATTAATCAGAATAAATGTTTGGATTAATTTCTGATTTTTCCGTTTTTTGCCTTTTTTTTCTGCCCCTTTGGCATTTTAATAAAATCAGAATTTTATTAAAACATCTTGACGGACATTAGTGTTTGACAAACATTAAAACATTACTAAAAACCAGAATTTAATAAAAACAATGAAATAAAAAATGAATTTCGTTTAATCACAAAAAATCAGAAATTAATTTAAACATGAAGAAAAACATTCTTTTTGTTTTAATAAAAAACACAATCAGAATTTCTATTAAACAAGAAAAAAAACCAGAATTTTATTTAAACATGAAAAATTAGTAATAATCAGAATTTAAATAAAACATCGCTTTTTTAAAATCAGAATTTAATTAAAACACTCGTGTTTTTCTGATGTTTTTATAAAAATCAGAATTTTATCTAAACATACATAATTAAAACAAATAATTTTTTTAATTTATCAGCCCATTTCATCAATAAACAAATGGAACCTTCATTTTGTGTTTTGGCTGCACGTGGAATAAAGCCTGATATGAATATTCATCTTTTACTTCAACAAATATTTAATGAATTTAAAATTGAAGATAAAATACATGTAATATTAAGAGGGGGAGCTATGGATACGGGTTCCCATAGTATTTGGTGCCAAGCACATATTTTAACTTTGGTAAACAAATTACTATTTTTAATTAATTAAAAATCAGAATTTATGTTTGTTTGAATTAAAATTCTGATTTTGTTTATTAAAACAAAAAGGGGGATGTGTTTATTCTCCATGTTTAGATTAAATTCTGATTTTTTTTGTTTTTATCTGTTGTTTTTATTAAATTCTGATTTTGTTTTATTAAAACAGGAAGGAATCAGAATTTTATATAAACATGAAGAAAAATCAGAATTAAATTTGAACATGTAAATGTCTAAATGATACATGTTCCCTACATGTTTAGATTAAATTCTGATTTTTTTTTGTTTTTATTTGTTGTTTTTATTAAATTCTGATTTTGTTTAGTAAAACAAAACGATGTTTTTATTTTACATGTTAAGATTAAATTCTGATTTTTCTTGTTCTTAATGTTTTTATTTGATGTTTTCATAAAATTCTGATTTTTTGTTTATAAAAAATCAGAATTTTATATAAACAAGAAGAAAAATCAGAATTAAATTTGAACATGGAAATGCTGTAATGTTTATTCTCTACATGTTTAGATTAATTTCTGATTGGTAATTCTTCGGTTGTCGCCCCCCCCTTTTTTTATGCTTCCCTGACCATTTTGAGCTTTTTTGCTTTGACATATAATAATTTATATATCATTCGAAAGAGCTATCCGAGTTGAGTTGATTGGTACTATGATCGGTTAGATTTGGCAATTTTGAACAAAATTATGAAAGCTAAATCCTTTGTGGACGTTTTTTGTGATGTTGAAAGGGATTAAAACAATTGCTCATAACTATGTTGATTTAATTCAGATTTCGACGATTCTAGTGAAGTTCGACTCAGCTCGAAGTGCTCTTTCGAATGTATATAAAAGTTCATAGAAATTTCATGGAAAATGTAAAAAAATAGAACATAAAAAAAGGGGGGGCGACAACCGAAGAATTACCTTCTGATTTTTTCTGTTTAATTAAAATTCTGGTTTTTATAAACAAGTATATATTAAATTAATTTTAAGGCTATATCTGATGGTTTTAAGCAAATTGATGGATTTACCGAAATTATTAACAGAGTAAAAGATTTTATTCGACGAATCAAAAAACAACAAAATTTATTACGTGATTTTCATCAATTTAATTCTTTTCTTGAAATTTCTGAACGTGATTTGTTTAAGGTAAATTCATCTATAATTAAGTTTGTTTAAATTAAATTCTGCTTCTCACATGTTCAAATTTAATTCTGATTATCTCAAATGTCTAAACAAATTTCTGATTTTTATGTTTTAATAAAATTCTGATTCCACTGCATGTTCGAATTAAATTCTGTTTCTATGTTTATCTAAAATTCTGATTTCTTTTTCCTTTGTTTATATCAAATTTGTGTTCATGTTGGAATTAAATTCTGATTTACGTTTAAATTAAATTCTCTCACATGTTCAAATAAAATTCTGAATTTTAATTTCTGAATTAAATTCTGATTTTTTATGTTTGAAGAAAATTCTGTTCTTCCTGTTTTGTTTATATTAAATTCTGTTTTTTCCAAACATTTCTTTATTTAAGGGAAACGAAGTTCGTTGGAACAGTTGTTATGAAATGTTAAATTTACTTGTTTCAAACATGAATTCTGTAAATATATTAGCTATGGATAACGATAAACTTCCATTTTTTTCACTTGCGGATTGGTAGGGGAAAAATTAATTTTTTTTTGAAATTTTATTTTTTTTTTGTTTTTAGGACAATGATGGAACATTTAACAAAAATTTTAAGACCAATTTATAATGCAATTTCATTTTTACAAAAAAGAACGAGTTCTGTTGGGTATATTATCCCTTTAATGAAGGCAATAGAATTAGATTTAATTATACAACCTGTTGCTTTAGAATTCCCTAGAGTTAGGGCAGCGATTGTTAATGGAATAAAGTGTAGAATGGCGGGTGAGTTGGAATGTTAAATATTCTGGTTTTTATAAAAACATTAAAAATCAGAATTTTATATGAACATTTAAATAATTCTGATTTCAATAAAATTCTGGTTTTTAGAGAATTTTGATTTTAAAAATATTCTGATTTTTTAAAAATAATTCTGATTTCCGAAACATTCTGATTTTTTCAAATTCTGATTTTTAGAAAATTCTGAATTTTAACAAATTCTGATTTTTAAGAAATTCTGTTTTCTGGAAGAAATTCTGATTTAAAAAAATTCTGATTTCTGAAAGAATTCTGATTTTTTAATTTTCGTGTAAAATTTTTTTATTTAATTTTTAAAAGGTTGGGAAGATGAAGCAGTTCTAATCATTCCAACTCTGTTAGATCCTTATTTCAAAATGACTTTATTCCCAGTTGAAAAACATATGCAATATAAAGACTATCTTATTTATGAAATTCGAAAACAATGCCCTCCAATTATTGTGGTAATTAAATTATTTAATGTTTTTATAAAATTCTGATTCTTTCTCATGTTTAAATTAAATTCTGATTCTCTCATGTTTAAATTAAATTCTGGTCTTTCTTGTTTTTATAAAATTCTGGTTTTTTTCTTTGTTTTTATAAAATTCTGATTTTTTAAAAACAAATAGTGATGTTTTTCCCTCATGTTTAAATTAAATTCTGATTTTTTTAACGAGATTCTGTTCTTGTTTTTATATAATTCTGATTTTATTTTCCTTGTTTTTTCTCTTGTTCATTTAAAATTCTGGTTTTATATTATATAATTATATTTAAATTAATTTATTTTTAAAGCATCAAAATGAATTTGGATCTATATCAACAACAACTACAAACGAATCCAATCCATTCAAACGAGTTAAAAATTATTTATCTGGAAATACAAGTCTTGAAAATGATTCAATTTCGCCTCCAGTGCTAGATGAGCGATTTCAAATTTATTCGGTGATTTTTTTTAAATTAAATTTCTGAAAAAATTCCGATTTTCCAGAAGAAATTCTGAAAAAATTGTGAAAAAATATTCTGATTTTTCAGAAATAAATTCTAAAAAAAATTCTGATTTTAAAAAAAAAAATTCTGAAAAATATTCTGATTTTCCACAAGAAATTCCAAACAAGAATTCTGATTTTTCAGGAAGTAGAAGATTATTTAACTTCCCCAACAGAAACAGAATTTCACGATGTCTCCTCCTATTGG